GACGCTCGTGGGGGCGGAGAGGGTGCCACCGTCCACAAAGCGCGATGCCGCAGCGGTGGCCCACACGGCACGCAACAGCTGCGTAGGGGAAACAGCGGAGTAACATGTTTTCATGGGTAGAGACGGAGAAGAGGAGAAAAAGGAACAGGAAAGTTGATTTTGGATGGCCGGTTTTGGGGTGTGCATACATTAACGGTGTTTTGCCCGACACCATCGTGACTCCCTCCTCGGATGAGGGCATATTTTTCTCACAAAGCGAATTTTCCATATTCTTCATTTTGCATCTTTTTTCATGGGGAATACATACGTATGAAGTGGCAGACCCGTTTTCAAAGTCCGCCTCCTAAGCTCCCCGTCGCAAGTTTTTCCTCTTCGCCAAATCGGCGGCAGTCACTGCCTGGCCGCGTGAGAGGCCGTCAGCCGGGTTGTCCGCCGATCTGACATACGCGTACGACGCCTCCAAAGCGAGGCGATGGAACAAATGTACCACCCGCCGTAGCTCAGGTTGCAGAGCCTGGGACTTAGTGTGACCCTTTGACAGCGTATGCTGTACCGTTGTATTGTCTACTCGGATAGCCACTTGCCCATAGAAGCGGTGGCCGAAGGCACGCAGAGCGTAATAAACAGCGCGCATCTCCGCGGAGACGGTGATGGGCGGCATTACCTGCCATCACCCTCCAGTAGCCGCGTTCTCCCCATTAGAAAGGAACAGCATCGCTCCCCACCCTTCCATGGATGCGTCGGTCACCATCACCGCTGTCGGCCGCTGGTGCAAAGGCGGGGATACCGGAGCATTGGCCAGCACGCGGCGAAACCAATCCTGAAAAAGGCCCACCGCCATCAGGGTAAGGTTGGCGCAATCGCTGATCATCAAAAATGCCTCGATTCAACTGCGACAGGCGACGGCGCGCAAGTTTGAGGGCGAAGTAGTCATCAACGACGAAAATTCGGAGGATGCTCGACGCGTGCAGCAACTCGGACACGAAATCGTTCCAGATCCGCTACCGTCATTTTCGACCACGGCGATGCTTCTCTCAGATGACGGATAAACTTGTCACGCATCCTCACTGTGCGATCGGTATGATGGAAAACCACACCTAAAAAGGTGTAGGGATCATCGAGTACTTGACTGTCGCCGATAGTCGCACCAACGGCCTGTGCAGTCTGTGCTGTCCGCCAAAACTAAGTCATCACGTCCTCGCGAGAACCAACTGCTCGCACGTTGTCGATCGATGTAGTGAGCCTGACTCCCACCGCGTGTGCGAATTGCGGTAAAACAACCTCTGCATCTCCCGCCAAAACCCGCGTGACCGTGTGCAGGAGTTCCGGGCTTACCCTGTAGCCCATCGGCAATGGGGTTAGCTGCACCAGTTTTCCCCGGGACGTCCGGCAGCGAAACAGGCATCGCCATGACCGGGGGCAGCGGCAGCTGGAAAAAGGACGCCTTGAGGTCGATCAGCCCAGCGGCTGGTGCATAGACGGCCGGTAAGTGGTAGGAAATGTGAGTCATCGGAACGAGCGGGTCGTACACGTCGCTGGCGTTCTTCGCTTCTGCCCACGCAATGAAGCGTCGCCGAATGCCACTTTCCTTTTCTTCTACGACCGTAAAGGGGCGAAACCACCCTCGAGTCTCCTGCGCGTCTGCGTCTTCCAAGATGCCAGCATTGATGAGCTGAGTCGCGTCTGTTTCGTGAAGCGTGCCTGTCGGCTCCGCGTCCTGCGTGTGCGGCTCACCCCCGATGGTGTGCCAGACGTTGCCAAAGCGACTGCGCGTGGTGGAATTCATACGTGCCACCACCGCGTCCAGGTTCATTCGGTGAGGCGTCGACCTTCAGTAACGGCAGCGTCAGCGTCTGCTCCTGTGAGGCCACACGGCCCGTCTTGTGTCGCCGGGGGAGCGTATGGCGAGAACCCCCCCCCCCCGGGGCAATTTGCACGCCATTTCCGGCGGGACCCATGGATCTTCTACTTCGTGCGCGGCGTCGGTGCAAAGGCTCGAGACATCACTTTGCGTCATTGTCTCCGTACGATTCAACCCTGCGGAGTGCGGCCCGATGTAGCGGGCGGTGCTGCGAGAGAAAGGCCTCCGGATTGTCCGCGTGCTTTCCCAAAGTGGTGACCGTGTGCAGACCTGGTAGGGTTGCAACCTCCGTTGTTTGGTAGATGTGCATCGCCGCGTGCACCAGCGCTCCTCGTTTGATGGAATGAGCCGAGTGTCCGTACCTCTTCAGGAAACTGCCCATCCGCTGAGTAAACATCGTGGCCATTGGAGAAATTCTTGACGGGCAACTTCGCCAGCGCCTGGCGAATTATCGCGGCATCCGGGTTGGTGATCGTGACTCACCTGCCCTGCCTGTCGGGGTCCACCTTGAAGGTCTACGTGTGGAACGAGAAATCGATGATGAGTGCCGTCGGATCCACCATGTGGTCCTTGAATGCCGCGGCGGGTAGCATCTCCACAACCGCCCAGCGACTCGCCGTGAGCCACGCCACTCAAAACATCACGGCATCCCGCTCGTTGGGAATCGCCTGGAGAATCTCTTGGTAGTGCTCGAACGTCATCGGCGTCGCCTGGTGGATGGGGGTCATGGCCTTCATTTTGCGGAGCGCCTTGGCAAACATCTGGCCAAGGTCGAGCGGTTTCGTCAGGAACCGGTGCAGAATACCGTAGTACTGTAGTGCGCTGGAAGGGCTGATGTCCAGCGTATACAGGAAGGCAGCTACGGTGCTTGGTGTCGCGGGGGCCTGATGGTGCTGCAGGTACTCGAGGTACCGCCGCACGACGGATTTGTGCATCGCCCATGTCGAGGGTTCCCACATCATCATCGCGACCTCCGCTGCTCCTTCTACGTCCGCGCGAATGCTGGGACATGCCTGTACTGACGGATCTGCGTGAGGTAGCGGACTCGGGGGAAACAAATAGGCGGGACCCTCTTGTGGGGTCCACCCCCCAGGTTGGGCGATCGGCATCGCTTGCAGGAAAAGAGTCGTTCCCGAGGGACAAAGCGCCGCTTTGCGGGATGCCAGCATGGGGATTCGTGCTTTTGTCTTGCTGGAGCTACGGACGGAGGATGAAGGGGCAAGAAGAAACGGGCTTTCCTGCCATCGTGACCATCTCACGATGCTCTTGCGATTTGGGCGGACGAGCCCATTCCGGAAATTTCAATTTCTCTTTTCCTTTTATGGCTGGGAAGCCTCGAACCCCCACGAGATCGAAGACAGAACATTTCGAAATCCATAGGCGAGGCTAAATAACCACCTCGCTGTAAAACCAATAGGATGAAAACAGAAAACGAAAACTCATTTGACTTACTCACGCTGAGGGTCTATTCGTATCGGATTTGAGAAAGCAAAATCGGCTTGGTAGAAAAACTACATTTCGTGAGGGCCCACGTGACTCGGTTCTGGTCTGGCGCCCTCTTTGCAGAGATCCCCACCTAACCTTACATGACAAATGTTCTTGTGGAGTCGACCAGCTCCATTAAGTTCGCTACTCTCGAAACCTCCTCTTTAGACTTACTCCGTGGCGGCAAAGAGGCTACTAGCATTTGCGCGTGTCAAATTGGGAAAACGAAAACAATCAATGGGAAAAACGAAAACAATCAAGGGTAAACGAAAAACAATCAATGGGAAAATGAAAACTATTACCGGGACTCCGTACCGCGCTGTTAGGTTCACTGGGTTGGGCGGGCGGGTCGTTAAAATATTTCGTGCTCGGTCTTGGATACTCTTGCTCACCTAAACTTGTTAGCTATCATTTTCCGTCAGCGATACAATAATGAAGGATGGGGAGGAAAATTGTTGAAGCATAACTGCGCAGGGATTCATTAGAGATCACTTACGACTCGGACACGGTGTTAGGCACTCCTGCCAAACCTTTTTCCATTGAAATACTTATATATATATATATATACATTTTTTCCACGCTTCCGCGAGGGGCTGACGGAGCTCACTGGCTTCACTCCTACGACAAGCTAGTACCAATCGGTGCGCTATTTGAAGCAGCGGCTTCGGGCACTTCTGTGCCGGCGGTTGTGTGGCAAGCGTCGGTCTCATTGACGCAGCAGGATAGCGCGTCTGCCACGGCACTTTGGCCTGTGGCTCGCCTTCTTTGAGGCTGCTCTTTTGAGCATTTGACGCTGCTTGGGCCTCTGCCCGTTTTGCTGCTGCTTGCCTGTAGCACAATGCTACTTCCGCGAAGCTGATGTTGGTGCTGGACATTTTTTTGCTGTTGAGGGTCACGGGAGCGTCGGCCGGGATCCACGGCTTCTCCGCCGGCCTCCCGTGTTTTCCCTTTAAAAAAGGAGGGGCAGGCTTCTCGGTGCTCTTAGCCGCTGCCGGTCGGTAAGATGAGAAGCCCTTCTTCTTCTGGGCCGGCAGTAAACACCGCCGTGCCAGAGCCGCGTGTGGGCCCTCGCCGTCGTCTCCGTACACGTGGTAACGGAACGCCTATAGATCCGTTTTCCCCGGGTTACCCGAAAGCAGCACGACTTCGCGGAAGAAGTAGTACAGCTCCCGTCCCAGAACCTCGAAAAACTGCTCCTCGCTGGTTACGCGGAAATCGGCGTGTAATGCCAGAATGCTCCGAAGACGCAGCGCGTTGAAGTTGGCCGTGTGCGCCACCATGCCCATCAGCGCGGTGATCGCAGCCTGACCACCGGACGCTTCCACACTTTGTGTGAAGGCGGGGTAGTTGCCGACATAGCCGGCGCGCACCCAGAGCTCGTCGGTGACCGCTGGGTAATCCCCGATCATCCCTCTCTTCCACTTCCCTGTAGCAACAGCGTCGGTGGGCGGTTTTTCCGCGTGTTACATCTCGGGATCGGGCTTCGCTGGAGACGCGTCGCCACAGAAAAATCCAGGCGGGGTGCGCATGGGTGAGGAGTTCAGCCCGGGGACCTGAGGCCGGGCTGGCTGCGCAAAGGAACCTGCCTTCGGTTGCCCTGACGTACCCAGGGACCAGTTCATCGCAGTTGGTGTGACCCCAGGCGTAGCCCCCTGTCGGGGTCGGCGGTGGTTGACGTCGCAGTGGCGTCGGCAACGTTTCCATAGGCGGCGGCGGCTGGACCTCGACAATTCGCATACGGGCGCCACGCGATGGTAGAATACGTGCTGGCGGCGTGAGCCGTTGGCCGTGCTCCCGTGCGAATCGCCGCCGCGATGCGATCCCTGCCATTTCTGGGGGACCTCGCCGTCACTGTCGGAAGTATCCGGAAGGGGCAACGCATTCGCCTGAGCCCGCGCGGATTCCTCTGCGCTCGTTGGTGTCTTCTTCGCCAGTAATTCGTCTTTGTTTTTTCAGCTGGCTCTTGAGCTCCTCACACTCCGTCTTGCAGCCTTCTGCTTCGACTGGACAACGCGGCGGACTGGATCTGAGCCTCGGGTAAGGGTGACCCCGAAGGCCGGCAACAGTCTCGGTCAGCTCCACGATGCACAGCATCCTTCACAGCAGCTGCTGCGTTTAACCGGTCAAGATGCTCCTTCTGGGACTGCAGCTCCCGCTGTAAGAAGCCTACTTCAGCTTGGTGCCAAGCAGCTGCCGTGGCGGCTTCTCTCCGTGCATGTTCTGCGTCCAACGAAGCTGTCATCTCGCGCACCTCAGCCCGCGTCTCGGCGCGCTCAGCACGCACGTCAGCCTCGCGTGCTGCCATCTGGACCGAGAGTTGCGCACGCTCTTGTGTTGCGTGGTTCTTGAGAGTGGCTGCGTACTGTTGCACAGTCGCTTGACCCAAACCTTCCTGGTACGCCAATGCCCGCTCCCGACCGCTAAGGTCGGAGAAGTAAGCGTTGAGGTGCTGCTGCTGCTGCAGTAAGGTCGAAAGTGACGTGCCAAGAAAGAGGACCATTGCTCCAGCTGGGCTGTAATACGAGCGGAGCGTCCATTGGAATCCTGCATCACTTCCAGAACGCTTTCCAGGAAAGCTGTCTGCTGTGGTGCTCTGAAATCGGCGACGACTTCACGGAGAGCGGCAAAGGGAGCCACGCCTTGAGGTGTGGAGACGAAGATCGTTCCGTTGTCGACGCGCACTTCCGACTCGTACCACCGCAGATTGTTATGGTCGTCGTAGACTATAAAGGACACGAAAGCTGATCCATTTCGTTCCATGAACCTGTACAGCGCACTCTTCCATGCGGTCCACTCTTGCGAAGTGTATGTGTGCAAGGGACCGTTGGTGGGAACTGTGACGGGGGCGTTCGAGGACATCTGCTCTTGAGAGAAAATGTGTGGAGGTCGAAGGTGTGGTTGTGTAGTGTGGTGGAGGACTCGAAAAAGAAGTTAGAGGCGGAAGTCGAAGACGGTCGGAAGGGTAGAAGAGAGGAAAATAGGCTACTAAAGTCCATTTCAACATCCTACCGTTGCATCATGACATCATTCCTAGCTCAGGCTTCGAACAGATACAGAGTTTCCTTTAACAAAATATATATATGGAGAGAGAAAAGAAGGCTGCGGGAAAGACAAAACATGCGAACTTTTTTTTGACTTCACTCCCCAGAAAAAGGAGTTGCCGGGAAAAAAAGATTTTGGTGTCTTTGCCGCGCTCGTTAAAAGGGAAAAAAAAGAAGGGAGGGGAATATGGGCAGCAACTTTTCGTGGTCGGGGTGGAAATCAAAAAAAAGGGGGGTGGTAGTTCATTGAAGCCCACACTCCTCCTCTCCTGCGCAATAATAATAAAAACACCAAACACCTAGAAAAAAAAAGAGGAATAGTCGTAGGCGTGGTAGAGAAAGAGATAGAGAGGTAAAGACGTGTACAGCTGCTTCGAAAACAACACAAGCAGCGACAACATGTCGAGCGTGAGCGAGGCACTTTTCTTCACACAAACTTCCACGGCACGCTCGGCTCGATGTAATTTCTTCTTCCTTTCTGTTACCAATTTTATTTTATTTTTGGCACTAATTTGGTCGTCTATCTCTCCGCTTTTCCTCCTTTGTTCTGCAGCGCAGAAAGAAATAATAATAATAATAATAATAATAATAATAATAATAATAATAAAGAAAACGTCGTTTTTCATTTCATTTTCTTTTCGTTTGCCAGAACTATTTAAAGGAACAATATTGGGCGAGGAAGAACAAAAGATTAAAGAAATCTCTACTAAAATGAAATATGAGGAAGGGCAAACGGCCTCTTAGGCGATGCTTCGGAACGTCGACGTGAGGGACATGCATAGAAAGGAGGGAAAAAAGGCCCTAGCAATGAAAAGAAGGAAGAAAAAATAAAAGAACGATGCGGATGAAAAACTGAAGCGAAGAAACAAAAATAACGATCCAAGAGACTTGCCTTCATTAGATTTCTCTACGTCTTTGTGCCTTCCAAAAAGCTGTACACGCTGGAGGCAGTACTGCAGAGCAGGTTTGCACCCCTTAATGGTGCCAGACATGCACGGCAAGACTGTCACTCCTCGCCTTCACGCCCTCTCCGACGTACTTCACACGGTCCTACGTCGGCCTCTGTTCAAAGTCCGGCTCATATGGCTTCATCGGCCGTCCCAAGCGGAGCTCCCCAACGGTGGAAATGTAAGGCGCAAGAGCGTACACAGAGGAAGAATCCGGCAAGGAAAAAAGCGCATCCACTAAATGGGAAACAGAACAGGAGGAGTGAAGTGCAGAACGCGACTCGGCTTGAAGGGAAGAGGAAAGGCTTACAAAGAAAAGAACAGAAATGGGAGGTTCATGAGCACCTTGATACTTGGGCCGCACACGACAGCGTTTAGCGCCTTCCACGCCGTGACCATCGCCCCGCGAAATCTATACATGAAACTTAACGAAATTAAGAAAGGAAAACAAAAGAGAGAGAGAAAGGCGATTAAAGCCAGCTCCGAAGCAGCGCTGGGAACAAATTTAAAAAAGCGTTGGCCGCCTTTCCTCATTAGTACTTTTCTCTGCACCTTCGATGACGGACACGGCACTCCGAAGCCGACAGCGAGAGGCAGAAACAAACAAAAAAATTCTGTGAGAGATGTGCCATCAACAGTAAGCATACGCTTCATTGCGGTGCCCCTCCAGTGAAGCGGCTACCTCAAGGGGTAGGCGCGTTTACACAAAGAAGAATCGAAAAAAGTACTACTGCTGCAATTTTCCCCGCGGACATCATTTCGCGGAGCGATGGATCTTTCCACGCAAAATTGTAGTGCTGCGTTGTCCACTATATTTGTTTTACATTCCGTCCGCGGCTTTTTTGGACATCTTCCATCTGCAGATTGAGCTGTTTACCTTTCTTTCGCAGCCTCATCGAAGGTCGAGTACGCCGTTGCTTAGCACGGCAGCATCAGGAAGACGATGTTGACGATGTCCAGGCACCAGGCCGTCACAAAGAGGCCAAAGCCAGCACCGTACTTGGAGAAGTCCTTCAGCTTGCCGCAGTAGCCGATATTGAAACGATCAGCGCCGCTCTTGCTGCCGAAGGCATCCGCCATGATAGCCCAAGTCACCACAGCGCTGATGCCGAGGATGTTCAGCAGCAGGCACACCCAGCGGAGGCAATGGCAACAGCACAGCTGGACAAAGCCGAGGATGCACGCCACAAGGTAGATGGCGATGTTGATGATGGCGAAGGCCTCCGCGGCGCGGAAGCGGTCAAGGCGGCCCTTGCAAAGCGCGAAAAGATCCTTGGGGCGGATGTCGTACTTGGTGCTGTAGCACTTCTCTTTAATACCCCACATCGTCACACATGGCTTGTTGCCGATCGTATCCTCGTTCTTCGCGCGGAACATGTCGATGGGCGTGCCTACCAAGATGAGCAGGAACGCGATGAACTGCAGGATGGAGTAGATCACAATGCCGACTTTGACGCCCATTTTCGAAAAATAGAGAGTGGTTCGATCAAGAAGGAATAATAAAATGAGAGGACTTTTCCTTTGGAAGGAAGTGAGAGGGATACGAGTCGAACGGAAACGCAAATAAGAAAGAGTTAGTTGGTCTAGCTGAAGAATAGCGAGGTTTGGTGGTCAAGTCACTTCGTTTAAGGCGGTGAGAAATCTACGAGCCGTTGTGTGCAGAAAAAAAGCCGAAATATTTCACAGCAGAAGAGAAGAGAGGTGGCGGAGGGACAGAAGGAGGTGAGTAAGCGTGCTTTTCCGTTGTTTCTCTTTCATGCGCGCCCTCTGACGATGCATCGTAGACGCCACGGCACCGGGACTCCAGAGAGCAAAAGGGGAAGGTCTCCGAGCACCGCAGTTTAAATAGCCTTTTTCTCTTTTGCCGCGCCGCAACGTTATTTCCTTCGCCCGGCGCGTGCCATCACGACGGAGCACACACACAAGGAAACCGAGGCACACGAGTGTCCGTGATGCAAAAAAAAAAAACACCGCGCGGGGTTGCGCCGACGTTGCAGCGGCGTAGCTCACGGATTGTTCCTCAAAGAGGAGCAACGAACACGTTGAGACGGCATCGTGTAGCGCCGGCCAACCGCCAAACAAGACTCCAGAAGCCCGTTTTTTTATATTTCAGGTTGCCTGTCGCGTACGTACAAGACAGGAAAAGAGAGGGAAACAAGAAAAGGAAAAAAAAACCAGACAGGATTTATTTTCTCCAAAACAATGCGCTCTATAAAGATAAGTTAGTTCGCAACAGAATGTACCGCGTTTTGTGCGCGCGTGTGTGTTTGAGAGGCGTTGACGCGTTCTGATGGAAAATGAAAAATAATCCAAACAAAAAAAAAGAAAAAGGGAAAAGGGAAAAGGGAAAAGGGAAAAGGGAAAAGAGAAAAGAGAAAAGAGAAAAAAAAGTAGCAACGAAACACACAAGCAGGTAACGAAAGCAGTGCTTGCTCTGCACCGCTACATCGAAAACTGCAATGCACAACCTAAGAGTCATGTCAGAACGTATAACAGTATGACCCGGTAAAGGAGGAGGAGAAATGAATAAACCAATCGCTTGGTAGGACGCGAACGCAGCTTTGTTGGACGCGTCCGTGGTTGCAACGAAGATCTCCCGCATTGCAGTTTGGTACAATAGGCTGCAACGCCAGCATCCTCCTTTCGAGCACCTCGACCCTTAAAGAAGGAAGAAAAAGAACACCGTTCTGCGCGGTACCAGTGCGTGTGGTTCCGTCCGCGATTTTGGACCGCTGAGAGGGCACACGCACAACAACACGCGCAAAGCATTCAGGATCGAGCGCCGTGTTCGGGAAGGTGTAACGGCAGTGCGTTCAGCCAACGGAGGAGCTCCAAGATGATTCTATAAAAGAGAGGAGAAAAAAGTGTTTTCCATTGAAAGGGGGCGAAGAGCGTCGAAAGCAGGAAAACCTAAGCCGCCGAAAAAGTGGCGATCTTGTCATCTTTCACCTCCAGTTAGTTGCCTCTTCGATTCCCACGTCTCGAAGCTACACGCACTGAACCACACCTGTTGACGGGCCTGCATGATCGGGTAAGGTGTTCAACGCTGCTAAACATCGCGCCGCTTCGCTATTCGCAGCCTAGGCTGCTCCCAATCGCACCCGTGCATCTGTGCATTTGTTTTTCTCCGCAGCTCTCCTCCACCCATCTCGCATCAACATCAGAGGTGAAGAATACGCGGATGAAGCAGGGAGCAAGAAAACGCGGATACAATGATGCAAGCGTTATGTGAGACGCTGAAGGGGACGCGCAAAACAGCATTCACATGAAACGCAACTGCAGATGCCTCAACGTCGCTCATGTGTTCGGCAGTAACACAGGAGATGGGGAAGGGAGAAGAAAGCAGCACGATTCATCATAAGGGGAGATCAAAACATCACAGAAGGCAGAAATAGATAAAAAAAGCTAACGCGTGAGCCGGCAAATGCAGCATGTAACGGGGCATCGGCATCTGCGCAGCAGAAAACTATAAAAGGGAAAAGGGAAAAAACGATCAGGAGAGTGTTATGAAAATAATACTAATATGCTTTTAATGAAAACCGTGACATTGGCTAATACACGTACCAACTACTCGCCAATAATCAATGTGAAAAAAAAAAGAATGTTTCCCTTGAAGAAAGAAAAAAGAAAAAGGTACAGCGTATATAAAGAAAGCAATAAATAAATACACAAAAGAAAGCACCTTCTTTTGCTTCAACGCCAGGAGAGAACGCAGAGCGAAAGAAAAGCGTGAGCCTTTAGCACTGCTTTGAGCCGTCGATGCAGATTGGATGACCCGAGGAAGGAAAAGAACGAGGCAAAGAAGGGCCTGTGCAGCACAACCAACAGTAGTGCAAAGGAAGAGTGTAGCGTCACCGTTGTGTCTGCCGCGGAGAAGCGCGCCGTGCGGCGGAGGCCTCCCCCCCCCCCCCACTGAGAATAACCACAGCAGACATGCGCCCCTTTCGCCACCATCGCAGCAGCCCAATGCAGTAAATACAAGGTCGAGAGGGCGCCGGCGATGCGCTACGTTTCTTTTTCTGTTTTACCGCCACAGCGTAAAGAAGAAAACAGGAACGGCCTCCTCTCTATTCTGCGCCGGCACACCACCACCTTCCTTCCCAGCTGCTTTGCCCCCGCTTTCTCCCGCCGCCCTAGACGACGAAATAAAAGGCACGCATCGTCGTTCGCCACTGTTCCCTCAAGAAGTTCGCTACAGCGTTGCTTAGCACGACAGCATCAGGAAGATCATGTTGACGATGTCCAGGCACCAGGCCGTCACAAAGAGGCCAAAGCCAGCACCGTACTTGGAGAAGTCCTTCAGCTTGCCGCAGTAGCCGGTAGTGGCACCGTCGGAGCCGCTCTTGCTGAGGAAGGCATCCGCCATGATAGCCCAAGTCACCACAGCGCTGATGCCGAGGATGTTCAGCAGCAGGCACACCCAGCGGAAGCAATGGCAACAGCACAGCTGGACAAAGCCGAGGATGCACGCCACAAGGTAGATGGCGATGTTGATGATGGCGAAGGCCTCCGCGGCGCGGAAGCGGTCAAGGCGGCCCTTGCAAAGTGTGAAAAGGTCATCGGGCCGGATGTCGTACTCGGTGCTGTAGCACTTCTCTTTAGTACCCCACATCGTCAAGCATGGTTTATTGCCGATCGTATCCTCGTTCTTCGCGCGGAACATGTCGATGGGCGTGCCTACCAAGAGGAACAGGAACGCGATGAACTGCAGGATGGAGTAGATCACAGTGCCGACTTTGACGCCCATTTTCGAAAATTTGTGTATATTCAGTGTTGTGAAGATAATCGAATTTGGAGCAAGGAAAAGTGGCTTGGACGCAGGCAACGAAGAGCTACGCTGAATGATGAAGGAAGAATTGGATTTTGTAGCGTGACGAGATAGAGGAGAGCTTGTTGAGTGAAGATCGTATCGGGAAGCGCGGGGGGAATCTTTGCGGTGATGTATTTTTGTGCCGCCACGATGGGTGTACGTGTGCGTCCGTCACGAAATCAAACAACAACAGAACGGGTGAAAAGGCGTGTGAAGCGAGGGGGGGGGGAGGGGGAAGAGAGCGAGAGAAGCATTGAAAGAAAGCAATTAATATACAAGATTGTAGAGAAGCATCATTAAACCATAAAACGCGGCATTTATGTTGTTGGGCCTCATCTTGGACCTGGAGTGTTATTCTTCTTTCCCTTCTTTTTTTCTTCTTGACTCCGCTGAGGTGTTTTAAGACCGTCCTGTTGATCGGGGGGGGGGGAGAAAATGCTTCTGTTCTCTGTGGCCGCACAAGTGGAAACACGGAGACACAAACCAGAATGGCAGCATGAACGTTCTCTGATCGTCTCTCTTTTTGCCTTTTTACTTTCACGTGAAAAGTTGGGCTTTGGAATATCAAACTGGAGTCCTTCCTTATGGAGGCCTTTTCTTTTTAGAGGGGAGGGGCGTAACGGTACCAAAGAGGGATCGCGTCCACCTCTCTTCCTTGTTGTTGTTGTCTCGCCTTTCGGTTCGCACCGCGGTAAAAAGAAGAAAACACCCACACACACAGATGTACTCATTTGGTTGCCACCGTTAACCTTATGCATTTCGCCAACGCCGATTCCGCCGAATCACACACGCCATCGCAGCACTTCCTCCCACACACACCCACACATTAATTCTTTTTCGGCTTGCGTTTGCCTGTTGCGGCGAGTTAATACTGCCGTTCCTTTTCTCCCCCGCTTTAACCTGTGCCTGTGTGACGAATGGGAATGCAAGACAACCTCCTGCCTCCCTTCCAGTCGCTCGAAACACAGCACTCGTAAAACGATCTGAAACTATGAAATTGCCATGGTGTGTGTTTGCCGGTGTGGGTGATAACGTCATCGAGAGAAGGGGGAGGGGGGAAGATCACTCGATATCTGCTGAATCGACCGAATACGAAGAAAACAAAAAAAAATGACAGGATTAGGTCGTCAGTGGAGTTGTAAAAGAAACCAACAAAGAAACAAACAGATTGCAACGAAAAGAAGTTGCGAGAAATCAGAGTTGAGACGCGGCAATAATAATAAGAAAACGAGAAAATGAGCAAAAGAAGTAGAGAACACTGCTTCGTGTGTGTTTTGTTTCTGTTTTTAATGTCTTTGGCCGTAACACCCGTTAACAAGAAGCGGGAAGGAAACGGAAAAGGAAAAGGGAAATAGTACACCAATCTCTTCTCTCGTTGGTGGCGTTTAAAGAAAGAAGCCAGAAAAAAAAAGGGAGAACCATATATTTGTTTTCAACAATGTTTAAGAGTTGTAGTCACCAAAGAAAACAAGAGAAAAAATGGGGGAAGATAACCATAAAACTTCAAAGGAACTGGCCAGCTGTTTGGTTCAAGGCGGCTGAAGCGGTTTCTTTCAACGTTTTTCAGATGCTAAGATGTCGCTACAATGATACTTAAAGAAAAAAAAAGGGGTATACGATCATATATATGTATAACGCCGACAAGGCAAGATGCCAGACATCGCCCATCCCACCTTGCAAAGAAGCTTTCAGAAAGCAAATGAGAAAAGGCCAACGAACTCCCTTTTCGTCGCCGCTGTGCTGAAAGGCTGTGCGGCATTGGAAGAAAAAAAAAAGCAGACATCAACAACAGAATGCGGCTCCTTTGCATTTGTGTCGGCTTTGCGGGGCGTTGCGGGGTGGCACGGCTGCTGATGAAGTCCAACACGCAGAGGTAACACGACGCCACATTCTTGTGGTCTCTTTCGCGACGTCACGGAAAAACCTGAGGGGCTGCTTTCTCCTCAGCATGGCAGCATCAGAAACACCATGGCAACGATGTTCAGGCACCAGGCCGTGACCAGCAGGCCAAAGCCAGCACCGTACTTGAAAGCCAAATTGAATTTATAGCAGTTGGGAGAGCCCGACCACGTCAACGAAGCGCTCGAGTTCCGCAAGTACAAGTCCGCCATGATAGCCCAAGAGATGCAGGAGGTGATGCCGAGGATGTTCAGCGCCAGACAGGCCCAGCGGAGGCAGGAGCAGCAGCACAGCTGGACAAAGCCGAGGATGCACGCCACAAGGTACACAACAATGTGAATGATGGCGAAGGCCTCCGCGGCGCGGAAGCGGTCACGGCGCTCTTTGCAGAGTACGAAGAGGTCATCGGGCCGGATGTCGTACTTGGTGCTGTAGCACTTCTCTTTAGTACCCCACATCGTCAAGCATGGTTTATTGCCGATCGTATCCTCGTTCTTCGCGCGGAACATGTCGATGGGCGTGCCTACCAAGAGGAACAGGAACGCGATGAACTGCAGGATGCAGTAGATCACAATGCCGACTTTGACGCCCATCTTCAACGAGTAGAGGGTGGTCCTGGGGGTTAGTTTGAACAACCAATCTCCAAGAGCTGTGTGGGTGTGGGTGTGCACTGCGGCTGGATATCGGGGAAGGATGGGGGAGATGAGACAAGGACGCTGTGAAACGCAAGGGAAGAAAGGAGAGGGAATAAGGAGAGGTGAAACAAGAAAGCCGTCGTTAAATGCGTGACTTTGATGGTGCAATTGAATCCGTCCATAAAAGCGAAGACGCGCGCCGAGGGTCCGAAAAGAAGGTGTGAAAGAGAAGTCGCAAAAAGCAAGCTCAGCGAAAAAGAGAGCCGTAAGGGAGATGGAAAAAGAAAAAAAAGAAGTAGATTAGAAAAGAAGTGTGTTCTTCCCTCAATGAACCGTTGTGAGAGAGAACAACTTTCACTTCTATAACGTCGGTAGTTCTTGGTGTTCGCCGGTGAAAAAAAAATGCAAAAAAGAGAGCAATGAGACCTTTCCTTCTTGCTCAGCGATGGGATGCTAGATCTCCTTTGCGCCAATGGATACGACTAGTCATTCCTTTTGTTTGTTTGTTTCGTATGTCGTTAGCACAACGGCCCTCCTACTTTACGCGAAGCTCCTCTCGCATTTGTGATAACGCAATGTGGATTGTTTTCACGCTTGCATTTTCTCTTCTCTCGGGTGTGTGTGTGTGTGTGTGTGTAAGGTCGTTTCTTTGTTTGTTTGCTTTTTCATCCCTTCTTGACTGTGCATACAGTATTTGTCACCGACGATGTACACCCCACCTCTATTTTTGTTTGTTTTTTAAAGGCGTGTGTGTTACAACCAGCAGCAACGTGAGGCTGTGTGGAAAAGCTTATTGCGAAACAGCCACACATCCTTTACAGGGTCGTAGAGGACGATGTCCTCCAGTGCGGGGTTGCGCAGCGTGGTCGCGTCACCACCGGTGTTCTGCCCCTCCTCATACGGGAAAGCCGAGAGCTGCTGCAGTGCTGCTCGGAGCTGCGGCTTATTCGCACACGTGCCCTGCAGCTGGCGCATCGCCTTGAGCAGTTTTTGATTGGTGTACTTGGAGGCCGAGACGCGGCGCTGGTGCACGGCGGCGAAGAGCTCGTCGAGGTCGTTGCTGTTCGTGCCGACGACGTCAATAAAGTTGTTCAAACTGAGCGGGTCAATGGAGTGCTGCGTGTAGGCGAAGGCCTGCGCGCGGTTGAAGACGGGAATCACGTAAAAATCGAGCCGGGGGAGGGCGACGTCCGCCATCGTCACAGATTCCAGTGGCACCTCCATGACGAGGTGGCACAGGCGCCGGTCACACGCCAGTGCCACGGCGTCGTTGTACACCCGCTGCACGCTGCTGCCCTCGCGCAGCTTCAGCATGAGCAGCGGTGTCTCGCCGTTTTTCGCCTTCGCCATCTGGCACGCCTCCGCCACAAAGTCGAGCAAATCGCCGCAGATGTCGACGTTGTTCACGCCGAGCGCCTTCACGACACTGCGCAGCGTGTCCTCGGCGCCGCGGATGTCGACGTACACGGCCGGAATGTGCTCTTTCACGACGGCGTTGCGGCACACGGTGCTCTTGCCGCAGCCGTAGAAACCTGTGAAGACGACGATGCGGGGGTGGGCCGTGTCCAGCTGATGCAGCACCTGCCGCACCGCATTCTCCTCTCGCTCCCGCGACACAAACTGCTGATCCTTCGCCGTGGTATCCATTCCAATACTCAAGTTGCGGTTCAGCCGCTCCGTCAGCGTCTTGGCGGCGAGGGTCAGCTGATAGGAGCGCTGCTGGGTGTGGTAGTTTTTCACGTTCCAGCCAAAGGCGAAGGCGATGCCGAGAAACGCCATGGACGCACTCACCACCCCGCTGTATTTGGTGAGGCGGTAGCGGAAGTCGCGCTCCTTGATGCGCTCCTTCAGCAGCTGACGCATCTGCCGGTGGTGGTCACGCTGCCACTCAGACTTGTCCAGCACGCACATCCGTACCGCCTTCGGGATGAAGGTCATGCAGTGCACATCGCTCGCCTCCAGTAGGTACAGCTTGTCGACGCGCCAGCCGTGCTGGAACAGCACACAGGCGATGCTCTCCTGGTGCGAGCGACGCGCCACGCCAGCGGTGCGCAGCCACTCCACCACGTCCTGGAACTGCGAGTTGTTCACGAACTTGGTGCGTCCCTCCGACAGCGCAATCATCTGGGCCGGCACGGCGATGTCGATGCTGTTGTTATCGAGCAATACCGCAAAAGTGCCGTTGCCGTTCACGCGCACCACGATTCCGCCCATCACTACGCCCACGTACTCTTCGTCCTTGCCGTACTCGACGTGCACCCGCGAGCCAATTTCGATGATCGGTGAAAGGAAGAGTTGCTGCAGGTGCACGGCGTACACCGTGCCGGCAATTTTTGCCTTGACGATGCCCCGAGCAATCGGCGCCACAGCAGCGTTGGTGCCATTTTCAAAAAAAGCGCTGACAGGCATACCGAGCTGCAGGGCAGACGGCAGCGGCGGCGGCGGTGTTGTGGTGAGCGACGAAGAAAATGCTGGCGTCGCGGCACCGGGAGATGAAGAGGACGACGGCGCGGCAGCGCTTGAGTCCGCCACTAGCTCGGCTGCGGTGGCGAAGTTGCGCGTGCTGCTCGTGCGTCGGTGAGCACTGGTTGTACCCAGCGACCTCCCGTGTGCATCGCCGAGTACGTTGAGAGCGCACATGGCCGTGCACGGCCCGCCAATACGGCGAAGATTCGCGCTTGCCATGAATGCCGCAGACTTCATTGGCACAATTACGCGTTTGTTTTGTTTGTGTATTTATAGTTTTGATGGCGACTTCCACCGTTTACGCAAATTTGTTATCGAGGAATCCGTTGGAATGTGACGCACGGCAGCGTACACATCAACAACACAGAAGAGAGGAAAATGTAGAAGCTCTTTACGCAGCAAGGTTGACAGCCAAAGTCAGTCGAACAACAAACAAAGAAGAAAAGGATTAAACAGTTTGCGGGAGGAGGAGAAGAAAGGTGATATATATTTTTTATGTATTTACTTCTGCTAATTAATCTCCTGCCAGCTGCATTTGTTTTGTTGATGAGTGGTGTAGAAGATGCAGGCGTGGCGTGCCCTGGACAACAATAGAGAAAGAAGCTTTCGGCTAGCAGTGAGAAGCTTTTGAAGAAAAAAAGAAGAAGCACACTTGCTGGAGGAACGCACACGATAGGCTGTCCGTGACGCGCTTCTTTGTGATCCAGCCTTTAGCTCCGCTTTGGAATTGAGACAGCGCCAACCTGCAGAAGCGATATGGACGGCAAGAAGAAAAAAATCAGCAAGGGCGCTAGGGAGTGCATGCACGATGTGAACAAGAAAACGGAGCGGCAAAAAGGGAGGCAAATGCGTTCCGCAGTGCGTGGCAGTCATAGCGGAGCCGAAGAGGGAGGATAAAACAAGAAAGAAAAATCGGGCTAGATGTATGAGATGTATTAAGACAGAGAGAAGAATCTCCGTGAAGATACCACCCAATAGAAACGTCTGCTGTGCTTGTGACAGGCTGCTGCCTCTCACACTTGGAAGGATTCTGTTGGCTCGCTTTGTGGATGCACCACTACAAAAAAGAAAGAGCAGCAGATGATCTTGCTTCTCTTCCTATTTGTCGGCCTCCACACACACACACACACGCACACACACAGAGAGAGAGAGACACCCACGCACAGCAATTCCTTTGCACTTTCACGCTTAAGCTCTCTGTATTGTTTTCGTTTCAGTTTTTTTTTTCTTACCTATATATCGTTTTGAAGTCGTTGGAGACAGCGATGTGCGCAAAGAGAAGAGAAGAAAAAGATTACTCTGAGCACGGAACACTTCTCCTGCTCTCTCGTCTACCTCCACGTTGGACAGCGTCAATGAATAGCACACCAGCTCATTGTGCGACACCGAAAAAAAAAAGCTTTCAACGCGTGAGAGAAACAGAAGAAATAGCAGTCGGCTGTTCAGCAAGAAAGCCTGCCGGTCAGGAGTCACTACAAGCACCTCTTTTATTTTCATTTATTTCGCCTCTTTGCGGTCGTAAAAAAGAAAGCCCTTACACGTTTGTTCGTTTGCTGGTGTTTTTTTGATTAGATTAACTTGTTTCAACAGTGTGTTACGAAGAAAGGTGTAGCACATCAAGATACCTTGAGGAAAGCGAATGTCATCCGCACTCGCAAATGATGATCCCTTCGCTTCGTCATCTTTGGCGGCGCGGGCTCTCTGAAGAACGCCTTTCGCCTTACATTAAGCAGTTGGCCGCAGTGTGCAGCACTTGATTCTGGAACACCCACACGTCCTGCACGGGGTTGTAAAAGATAATGTTGCGCAAGGACGGGTGGTTCAAACTGCCATCGTCCACCCCCTCGTGCTGGCCTTCATCGTAGGGCAGCTGCGCCAGCCGCTTCACTGCGGACCTCAGCTCCCCATGATCGCCCCACGCAACCTCCAGCTGGCGCATAGCCTTCAGCAATTTCTGATTTGTGTACTCCGTCGGTGTCACGCGGCGCTGGTGCACAGCCGCCAGCAGTTCATCCAAATCGTTGCTGTTCGTCCCCACCGTATCTAAGAAGGTCTCCATATCCAGAGCGTCGAGGCGATGCTGGATGTACTCGTAGGCCTGCGCGCGGCTAAAGTTGGGCACGGTGTAGAAGTCAAGGCGCGGCAGCGACGTGTTCGTCATCGTCAGCGACTCCAGCGGCAGCTCCACCACGATGTGGCACATGCGCCGGTCGCACGCCAACGTGATCGCCTCGTTGTACACCCGCATCAAGTTGTCGCCCTCGCGCAGCTTCAGCACCAGCACCGGTGTTTTGCCGTTCATCGCGGACTTCGCCTTGTAGCACGCCTCCGCGATAAAGTCCAGCGGATCGCCGCAGGCGTCGACGTGCGGCACGCCCATCGCCTTGATCACACTGCGCAGCGTATCCTCCTTGTTGCGCACATCGACAAAGACGCCAATCATGCCCTCCTCCCGCAGTGCGCTACGGCACAGCGAGCTCTTGCCACAACCGAAGTAGCCGGTCAGGACGACGATGCGGGGGTGGGCCGTGTCCAGCTGGCGTAAGACCTGCCGAATCCACTTCTCCTGCGCATCACGCCGAATGTGCTTCGACGAGCGGTGCAGCGCCCCGCCCGGCGCGCTTTCAGCTGCCACGGTGGAGGACGGCACCGACATCGTTGCCTCTGCCGCCGTTGTGGGTGCGGAGGTAGGCGTGGGGGTGGCCGTCGCTGCAGAGGCTGCTGCTTTCGACGACGTGGAGGCCGAGCTTTCCGTGGCTTCCGCGGCGCCTGGTGCGATCTTCTTGCACAGCGTCCGCACGGCGTACTTCAGCTGATAGGAGCGCTGGTGCTTCGTGTAGTTGCGGTAGTTCCACCCGAAGAGGGAGAAGGCGCCGCAGAAGGCGACGCTGGCGGAGAGGATGCCAGCGTACTTGGCGGACATGTACCGTCGATCCCGCTCCTTCACGCGCTCCTTGTAGATGCTGCGCATTTGCCGGTGGTGGTCCCGCTGCCACTCCGCCTTCTCCATCAGCGACATCCGCGCACTCTTTGACAAGTGCGTCATGTTGCGAATGTCGGACGCCTCCAGCAAGTACAGCCGCTCCGCACGCCAGCCGCGGTGGTATAAAATGCAGGCGGTGCCTTCGATTTCGTCCGTCTGCGACAGCCCGGCGGAGCGCACCCACTCCACCACCTGCAGATACCGTGGGTGGTACAAGAACTTGCAGACGCCCTCCGTCACGGCGATCTTCTCCTGCGGCACGGCGAGGTCGACGTTGTTGTTGTCGAGCAGCACGCCGAAGGTGCCGTTGGGGTTCACGCGGACGACGATGCCCCCCACCACGACCCCCCTCCCGCCGGCCGCCGTGGGCGGGGCGCCGTCTTCGCGCTCGTACGCGACGTACACCCGCGAGCCCATCGCCACCACCGACGGCTTCGGGCTGTCTTTAAAGTCCACGGCGAACACCAACGAGGAGAGTTGGGCGACAATGTGGCCGATGGCGGTGGGTTGCCGGTGCTGGGGCAGCGACTCTCCAGGCGCCGTGGACGGTGCGTAGGCGGCAATGCGCAGACCCTCCAGCCCGGGTTGGGTGAAGCGAGAGTGCTTGATGGCCGGCGCCGCGCCCTTCTCGGTTGCCGCGGCGGAAACGGCGGCAGCGGCGACGGAGGCCACCGCCGTGCACATGCACCGCCGCGTGGGTGCGCCAAGCATTATGATGATAGAAACACAAAAAGGGGGGGGAGGGCGGCCACCTCGAGTTCCAATGAAGCTGTAAGGTGGCTAGGGTGCTATTCTCCTTTTGGAGGGACCTTTTCTATTATGAATGATACGGTTCTTTTTTGATGAAGAGCTTACCTAAACCGCTCCTCTCACGACTTCCAGCTTGCTGGTAGGACCGCAGGCAGAGAAAAGAGGTAGGTGAAGTAGTAAGGGACCAATACACATGCGTCAGCCGCCATAAGGCAAATGAGAAGTCTAACGAAGAGCGGCTCACGGTTTTGAGAAGTTCTAGTCGTTTCCATCAGATGCTGCACACCAGTACTTTCTGTTAAACGCTGTACCTGCTGCAATGCAGGTGTTCGCGACAAGATGAAGTGAGAGAACATCGAAATTTATTTTTGTTTTTTTTTTAAGCGCGGCATCACGGGAGTGTTACATGAAGTGTACAGGCAAAAAATTTTGCTTTAACTATTATTTTTTCAAATGTCGGCAACAAAGCTCTGTGCGTCGTTCCCTTCACAGAAAACAATTTCGAAAGAAAGGAGAGAACATCAAACACGGCCCATTTCGATCTTCTCCTACTCCAGTTTTCACGCATCACTTTTTGCGTTTTGCCGTTTTTCATGAGAAGCACATGAAATGTTTTGTAACAGCGTTTACGGCCGCGTGCAGGGGGAAGGCGTGGGGAGGGAGAGAGGCGGAATCGCTACGGGGGGAGAGACTCTATTCTTTTCTTTTCCCTTTATTTTCTACAGACTGCACCGCACCGCCGTGTGAAAGACTTTGTGCCGAAAGATCCATCGATCGCGCACCGGGTCGTAGAGCACGATGTCGCGCAGCGCCGGATCGCGCAACACGTTGGCGCCGCTTTGCTGGCCGACGTAGTACTCCGCCTCTGCCAACTTCTTCAGGGCGGCCCAGAGCGTCTCCGCGTTGCCGCACGCCGCCTCCACCTGCCGCATTGCCTTCTGCAGCTTCTGGTTCGTGTACTCCACGATAGACACCTTGCGGTGGAGTACGGCGGCCAACAGACCATCAATCACGTTGCTGTTGGTGCCCATCACCTCGATAAAGTGTAGCATGGACAGCGGGTCTACCGTGTGCTCGATGTACTGGAAGGCCTGCCGCACGTTGAAGTTCGGCACGGAGTAGAAGTCCACGCGCGGCAGTGAAATGTTTTGCACCGTCAGAGACTCCACCGCAACCTCGTACACGAGGTGGCACAGTCGCCGGTCACAGGCTAGTACGACGGACTCGTTGTACACCCGTGAGAGCTCGCTGCCCTCGCGCAGCGTCACGACGAGGATCGGCGGCTCACCGTTGATCTTCGTCGCCTTCGTGAAGGTGTCCGTAATGAACTCCAAGTAGTCGCCGCAGGAGTCCAGGTTGGGCACCTTTAAAGCCTTCACAATGCAGCTCAACGTGTCCTCACTGCCTCGGACCTCGACGAAGAGGGCAGGCTTGTGCTCCTTCCGCACCGCAGACCGCAGCAGCGAGCTCTTGCCGCAGCCACGAAACCCGGTCAGAACGGCGATGCGAGGGTGTGTGATGTCCATCTGCCGCAGCACCTGCCGCGCCCAGCTCTCCTCGGTCGACCGCTCCACAAACTGCTGCGGCTCGGCTGGGCTGCCGGAGTACTTGTGATCGGTGTGGGTGAGCGTGTTGACGGCGTGCTTCACCTGGAACTCGCGCTGCTGCCGGTGGTAGTTCTTGAAGAACCAGAGAAACACCGACATGACGCCCAGCCCTGCCCAGTTCGCGCTGACAAAGCCGCTGTACTTCTGAATAAAGTAGCGCCACGTCCGCTCCTTTACTCGCTCGCGCAGTAACGCGCGCATCTCCGCGTGGTGCTCGCGCTGCCACTCCACCTTCTCCAGCAGCTTCATCCGCACCGACTTCTTTATGTACGACATGCAATGCACATCGCTCGCCTCTAGCATGTACAGCTTCTCCACGCGCCACCCACGCTGATACAGCAAGGAGCACAGCCGCTCTCGATCACCGCGGCGGCGGACGCCGGCATCTCGCACCCACTCTACCATATCAAAGTACTCCTTCTCGAGAGTGAAGCGGGAGCGGCCTTCGACCAGCTCCACGTTGTCCTGCGAAACTTGTGCTTCAAAGGTGTTGTTGTCCATCAAGACGCCCAAGGTGCCGTTGCTGTTCACGCGGCCGACGATGCCGCCCACCACACGACCGGTGTTGGTCTGCGTGCGGCCGACCCGCACGTACACGCGAGCGCTGACCTCGACGATGGGGGAGAGGTGCACCTCCTCCATCTCCACCACGTACTCGTCGTAGGACAGCTGCTGCTTCACGCGGCCCTCGGCGAAGTGGTGCACGCCGAGACCGATGAGGGGATGCTGAAAGTAGGCGCGTGCGGAGAGGGTTCGAATGTCACGTGGGATGATGCCTGGGCGCTGTTCAGCCGGCGACGAAGACGGCAAAGACGATGGATCTGCTGAAGAAGCGCCACCGATTTGCTTCTTGGTGGGCGGCATTGCGGCTAGCATCGTCGCGTAGCCGGCAAGCTTCGCTGTAGGGCCGCCAACGCCCCAACTGTGCAAACAGCGACTTTTGAAGAGCATGATGCAGGTCCGTCTGTGTCCGCTGCCTACACGAAATGATTTTTGTTGATGTTTTTGATGGTGTTAATCACCTGATGTGCAGTCGCCGCAACGCTGAATTTACCAACGCATACAAAAAAGAAAGGGCGAGAACCAAATTGCGCGTCCCTTTTTTGCGGTCCGCGAATGCGTGTGAGTAGGTGTATGCGCACACGGCAAAGACGCCACAGCGCGATCTTTCTCCGCCGCCTCACAAAACAAAAAAAAACACACGGTCAACGGCGAATGGGGAGACCAAAAAGTAAAGCAGATGGCTAAAGGACCTCCAACGTAACAATAATAATACTAAACAATAAGGCCAACGGCGGTGGGAGCAGCGAGTGTCACCTATGATGGTCGCACACCACCATCTCACCCAGGATGCTGCTCGCTCGACAGAGGTGTAATGAGTTGGATTAAGACGCCGTTCAGCGCAATTACCTGAAGACCTGGGGAGGGGTACTACGTTTCCCCACTGGAAAAAAAGAATACTAAAAGCGTTGAACATGAAGACAGCAAGAAGCGAAGAGGATATTAAAGGTGCGAGCCCGCGAACCGAGAGTGAACGAAGACAATACCGCGCGAACACAAACTTTTAGCTTCTTTTGAGGTTCAAAAGAAAGAAAAACGCTTCCGCGTACATGTGTGCGTTGGGTGCGAAGTTCTTTAACAGAGAAAGCCGGCTTGCGGTGTTCTCACAGCGTTCCGCAACAGCAAACCACGCTTCATAAATGTTGACACTCAGGTAACCAAAGTTGATGATATATATATGGGGCAGATCTACAAAACTGTCGCTGGGGTTTTATCTGTTTGCTTATTTGCTTCGATACTATTATTTCTTTGAGTTCAGCGAACACAGCAGTCGCTGACTGGTTCAATTACTCTGTTTTGATGCAAGGAAATTGCGAGGAGAAGAAAAAAGAAACTCGCTTCGTTCGTGTGAAATTGGTGAAGTAGCGAAGAAAGCAAAAGTAAATTTCACTCTTTCGACAGTTGCGGCGCAGACGCCTTCCGATTCTCCACATCGTCCTAGGGAGAGGAAGAAGAGCTGAAGTGAAGTGCTTACTCAACTCTATTGCTGCTAATGAAAAGCGCAGCGAAACATCGCGTCTGCGAATATATCCCCCGTCAAACGCACACTACTCTGCCGCTTTTCTTCATCCCACACGTTCTGGTCAAATGATAATGCAGCGCGCGGCGGTGTGAAAGACCTGCTGCGTGAAGCGCCAGGTGTCCTGCACAGGGTCGTACACCACGAACTCGCGCAGCGACGGATCTACCAGCACCGTCAAGTCACCGATCGTCTCATCGTGGGCGCCGTCGGCAAACGGCATGGAGGCGAGCTGCTTGACCGCGTCGCGGATCGGCACACTCAGCGGCTCCAGCGCGGCGCGCAGTCGTCGCATCGCCTTCATCAGCTTCAGACTGGTGTAGGCGACCGGGTCGACCCCGCGCTGTCGCAGCGCCGCGTAGAGCTCGTCGAGGTCGTTGCTGTTCGTCCCGACCGTCTCGATGAAGTACACCATGTCCAGCGCGTTCAGCATGTGCTGCGTGTACGCGAATGCCTGCTCGTGCGAGAAGGGCGGGACGTAGAAGAAGTCCAGCCGCGGCAAGGCGACGTTCGCCACGGTCAGCGACCGAAGTGGCACCTCGAGGATGATATGGCAGGCTTGGTAATCGCTCACCAAACTCACCGACTCGCGGTAGACCTTCTCAAGGCTGCTGCCCTCGCGTAGCTTCATCACCAGAAAAGGAATGCGATCGCTGCCCTTCGGCGTGGCACCGCGCATCGCCTCCCCGACAAAGTCGAGCAAATCGCCGCACACCTCGATGTTGTTCACGCCGAGCGCCTTCACGACACTCCGCAGCGTGTCCTCGGCACCGCGGATGTCGACGTGCACGGCCGGCGCGTTGAGTCGGCGAACGGCATTGCGGCACAACACGCTCTTTCCACTGCCGGAGCTACCGGTGAAGACAACGATGCGGGGGTGCGACGGCACCATCTGGCGCAGCACACTCGCCACCAGTGCCTCCTCCTCCCGCCGCTCCACCACGAAGGCCTTGTCGGCTGCCGCGCTGACCGACGTGCCGCTCGCCTCACCGGCGACCGACGTCGAGAGGGTCTTGATGGCCGTCTTGAGTTGATGGCCGCGCTGCTGGCGCCTATAGGAGCGCAGGTTCGACGTGAAGACGTAGCTGACCACGAAGACGCCGGAGATGCAGCTGATGGTACCCTTGTACTTGCCAAGCGCGTAACGCCAGTCACGATCTTTCACGCGCTCGCGGTGCAGCATGCGAATGACGTTGTGGTGGTCCCGCTCCCATTGCGCCTTCTCGCTGATCCCGTCGCGCTCAATCGGCGAGATAAAACGCAGCTGGGCAAGGTCCACTTTCTCCAGCAAGAACAGTCGCTCCACCCGCCACCCACGGCTAAAGAGAATAAACGCAGTCGCCTCCACGTCGCGCGGGTCGTGGACGCAGGAGCGCAGCCACCCCACCATCTCCAGAAACTTCGCATTGTGAAAGACCTTCGTCGCCGGCTCGCGGGCCACGATGCGCTTCGGCGCCACGGACAGCTCCACCTCGTCGTTGTCCATCAATAAGGTGTAGGTGGCGTTGCCGTTCACCTTCGCAATGGTGCCCTTCATGTACATGCCAGAGTGCACGACGGCCTCGGGGCTGATCGGGTTGTCCTCGAAGCCGATTGTCACGCGGGTGCCCACGTCGAGCGTCAGCGGAGGCGCGTCGTCGCCCTTCCGCAGCACGCCGGCGTTGCTCTTCGGCCCTGCCTTGAAGAACTTCACCTTGTACGACGTCTCGGAGACCTTGGCGACGAGTCGACCCAGGGCTACGGGGCGGTCGTCGAAGACGTCGGCGGGCCGCGTCGGTCGCACGCCGATCAGCAATCCTTGGAGGCTGTCCCACGGCTCCTTCGTGGTGGGCTGCGGTCGGGCGGCACCGTATGCCCACGTGCTCGTCTGACCGGGGCTGACGGTGCCGTTGCTGCTGCTGTTTTCCTTTTTGTTTGAAAGAGAAGAGGAAGAAGATGAGGAGACGGCAGCCGCAGCAACAGCTGCTGTGCTGCCCACCGCCGCACTCAGCGCCACACGCGTCACACTTTGAAGCATGTTCTCGCGCACACGTGTACTACACACCAGACAGTCCAACCTGCAAGTGTGCACCGTCGCTGTTGTTTTTCTTTTGCGCGGCAATCACCCGTTTGGCGGCGGTCTGTTTGGGCGTGGGGTGATACAACGAAGGAGAAGACAGGGGACAATACGAGAAGCAGATGTGATTCGAGTTTATGGAACGTTAAACAAAAACAATGGCGGCTTCGCGTTGATCTTACGTCACCCTATTTAGCAGACTACAGTTTGTTGAGTGTTGCAGCGAAGCGAACACCACGGAAGAAGAAAAGAAAAAGCAGAAAAGAGAAAAGTGCGTGCTGTGTATGCGTGTGCTCGTCTGTTAGCAGGACGTAAGCCTCAGCAAGGTTGGGAGGGTGGGCCAACTTGCTCAACTGCCGATGTTGCACTTTGACAGTCGATTTCAGGTGTATAAAACAAAAAAAAATGGGGAGGCGAAGCGAGGAGCAACGACGGCATAAGAATAAAAGAGAGAAAGCAGGCGGAGAGGGGGGGGGAGAGGCAGTGGAAAGTAGGTAACGCAGCAAGGCGGTACGGCAGCGTCTTTCTTCGCTGTGTGTGCTGGGAAGTGCAAGCTCGACGTGAACTTCCCGTGTGGTGGTTGTCTCTTTTCGCTTGTGCTACCCCACACAGCGAGCACACCCTTCCATTACCAGCTTCACTACAGTTTCCATCGACTCTGCGCCAATAAATCCAAGGTAGCACCCGTTCCTTCTCCTGTTTTTCTTTACGAAAAAAGATGGCAGCGCCGTCGCTAATTCAAACTGTCTAGGGCAACTGCATTACACTCGTGTCACACGTCGCTGACCGCACAAATCCAAACGCACACACGTTTTACTGGCATTCAATAGGGCAGAAAAAAAAAAAAGAAGTCTAACCAAAAGATACCGATGAGGTGGAAACGGAGAGATTGCCCATCAGAAAAAGACAACGCCAGGTTTTTATTTGTTGTTGCTGTTGAAACACGAGTGGATACGCGCCCCTTCGCAGGAGGCACCTCAGCTCTCGGACACCGCAAACGCGCACCGTGATTGTCCGCCAGTCCGCGTACCCTCTCTCCATCTCCTTCTCGCAAAAACCCGCGTCTCCTTTCCAACGCTGCTCGCACAGCATGCACTAGCATGAGCAGATAATGAAACGAAGAAGCAGGTCAAAAAGAAAGAAAGAAAGAGAAGCGCGAAGACTGACATAAGCAGAACACACACGTGCAGTTTGAGCACTAGGGTTTATTCCAGAGAACGTCATAGATAATTCAAAAAAAAAGAAAAACAGAAAGGTGGATAGGGCTAAGTGAAAAGGTGGAGAACGCACGCACACACACACACATGCATCTCTCCCATCCGCGCTTTCCGTTCCCTTCGTTCTTTTCTTTTCTTCCTCTCACACTGTGTCACAGCCAATACTCTTCTCGAGCAGGAAATCAATATTTTCGTCGTATCGAAGAGGTATTGGCTGACCTGGGTCTCTCCCCCCGCCACTTGCTGAAGTTCGCTGTTCTTTCGAATGCACTTTCCATTCGTCGATGCAATGCACCAACTCCGTCCTCCCGCATCGAACGACCGAAAGGAAAAGGAATACGACCAGCGAGCCAAACTCGAAGCGAGGCATAAAGTAAGATGAAAAGCGAAGTGCTGCTGTTCTTTCAAAGGAGCGGTTCTGCTTTCCTGTATTACTTTCGTCTGTGGGCCTCCAAATACACATCGCTGCCTCCCATCCCTTTAAGGAAATGGATATTTCCAAATAAGGGACGTGTGAAAGAGCAAAAAGTGCGTCATTCATCTCACCTCCCCTGCCCGCGCAGAAAACAAAAAGGCTGTCGCTCGCAAAGCCGCGTCCGAGCAGCCCTTTGCGAACGGCAGAAATACCTCTAGTAGACTTCGCTTACCTCGGTCAGCTAATACAGATAATAGAGCGATCCTTTACTCGCCATAGATCGGGCCGCTGCGTCATTATCTGAAAAGCGCCACCCGCGACATCCGCGATGTGCAGCGCGCGCCACGCCGGGTTCGCCGACGTCTCCACCGCCCGCTGCAGCAGCGAGGCCGCAATGAGCGACCGGTACCCACCTGCACAGTAAATGACCACGTCTGACAGCGACGTCTCCTGCCGTACGACGGGCAGTCCCGCGAGCAGCGCCGAGGTGTGCAACTTCTCGAGGTATACATCCGCCAAGCGCGGCGAACTGCCAACGCGCCACCGCACCTCCTCCGCATTATTGCTGTTCCTGTGGTGATTCTGCACGAGTGAGGACGAGGAGGAAGCCTGGATGGCGTCCTCCACCGCCAAGGTGCACATCTCCGACAGCTCCACGTGCACGCTGTGCTGGTGCGAGCCGTTCTTGAACTCGTAAGGCGTGCGCACGTCCATCACGACATGCGTGTCGGTCGGCTCCAGCGCGATGAGGTGCTCGTACGTGGTCAAACGGGCCAGCGCGTTGGCGTGCCGTACCCACACAACATCCTGCGGGATCGGCGTCTCCGCTGGCAGCCCTCTGGGCCGCTCGCAGTGGAACTCATGCCACGGCACAGCCGCAGAAGGCGGTGCATCCGCCGCGAATGCGCTGGTGCTTTGTTGGGGTGGTGGTGGTTGAACCTCTTGTTGTGCAAAGTGCGGAAGGTCCTCCAGCGTAAAAACGACGACCGTGCAGCCCGGCGACAGCGCGGTCAGACGTCGCTTCACCTCGGCTCGTTGCGAGGCCGCGGCGCACAGCACCAGCACCGGCTGATGAGGCACGAGAACACACTGCAGCCACAACTCCGCCCGCCGTGCGCCGTATGCGACGCCCGGGAAGCTCATCGGCACATTGACCGCCCCGCTCAGGTGCAGGGCGTGGTAGTCCTTCGCATCGCGCACGTCCACGACGTTCACAAACGACGTCAACGCGTGCGGCGTTGCATTGCTGCTGCTGCTGTTGGTGCTGCAGGCATCGCCTCCCGTCATCGAAGCAAAAAAAGGGTCGAAAGAGTTGGTCAGCGCACGCCCCATGTCCGCCGGCAGCTGCGCCACACAGCGAGCACGCTGCTCCGCCGACATGAAGTGCAGCAGCTGCCGCGCGTGAAACACACGGCTCGCGTCAAACAGCGGCGGGTGCGGCAGCCGAGGGAGGCGCTTGTGGTACTTCACAAAGACGTCCGCGCTCGTTGCGAGGGTGTCAATGACGGTGCGGGAGTGCTTCATGCGGCACAGGTCGCCGAGGTGCACGGCCCAGTACAGGTCCAGTTGATTCGTGACGTTGCTGTAGCCGCCGTGAGTGGGGAGCAGCACCACGCGCTGCAGATCTGTAATCCTCTTCTTTGACGACTCCATCGCGGGAGGCACCGCGCTGTTAGTTTCATCGCGTGCCGCGTCACCTTCAGCGCGTGCGGACTTGCCTGGTCGGTCCCTTTCCTGTGTGGGCGTTGCAGTACCGCACAGCGGAGCCAAGTAGGGGTCGAAAAAGAATTCCTTCAACACGCGATGGGTGTGCGCCAGCGCCGCATCTCGAACGTCTCCACCGTACGGCGCGGCACCCTTTCCTTCCTCTTCGTGTTCTTCGTGCTTGGAAAGATTCATCAAACCTGTTGAGCGACTCGTTTGCGGGGCAGCCGGGTACGATGACCACTGCAAGAGGTCCCAGCGAGGAGCTGCATCCGTGCTCCAAAGCACACCCGGGCACAGTCCCACCAGCGTGCCGCCCGCGTGCACCTCAACCAGCAGACACTCGGGCGAAAAGGCAGGGATCGCGACGGTGGATAAGCACAAATAGGAGCTGATGAAGAGGCAGCGCCTCGTGCCGGCAGGCGCCAGCGGAAGGCCGGACACGACCCGCACCGCCGGGAAGTGGGCAACGAGGGCGGACAGCCCCGCGCTGCCGTCGACGTAGCAATGGGTGAAGATGACGCAGGACAGCGTGGCATCGAGGGCGGCGATGTCGGCGAGGTAGGCCTCCACCTGCTCCTCTCGCGGGTCGATCAGCACGGCTTGCAGCGCCGTCGACTTCCCAACGTCGGCGGAAGACAGCATGCACGGGGAGTGATAAGGGTCCGCGAAGAGGAAGGACGAGGTGCGGCTCGCCTCATTGACGTAGTGGCGTAAGACAAAGGTTCGCTCTGCTGAGAGCGCGGCGGGAGCGCTGGGAGAAGCTGCATCCGTGGTGGTGATGGTGGGGGGCGAGAGGGTGTTGTGTGTCATGGCAAACGGTAAAAAGTGATAGGACATGAACTCCTCCAACTGATGGACAGCCCGCTGACGGCAGGCAGCAGCGGTAGTGGCGGTGGCGGTGGCGGTGGCGGTGATGCTGCTGTGGTCGCTTGCCTCGCTGCAATCTACCCACGGCAGCAGCAGCGCCGACGTGGCAGTCTCCGATTCGCCTAGTAGGGTCCCGAGAGTAGAGACAGGGGAAAGACGCATGCTAGCGTCACCGATTCTCGGTTGAGGTGACGTGTAGAGGCGCCGCACCAGCGGGTACACTTTGTTCACCGACACCGCGCAGCGCGGCGCGGTAAAGAGCGGCGCTACACGTTGGCTTGTCGGACGGCCAACGCTGCGGCTGCTGCCACTGCTGCTGCTGCCCTCTGCACCGGCAGTGACCAACCCCGGCTCGTCGCCGAACAGTTCAGCTTCGGGCACGGCGGTTGCGACCAGAGTGAACATGCAGCGCAGCAAGGGAGTGTAACGATTGCGGTACTGGCGCAGTCGCTGCGTAACGTCGTGGACGATTTCATCCTCCATTCCACCGGCCACCTCGATCAAAACGGGATGGAATGTGAGTCCACGGCGTGAAGCCTGCCACTCTTCAGCAGCGCCGGCCTCGCCTGGGCGCCGCATCGTATATTTGTTCCTTTTTGAGAAGGTCTGCTCACGGCACCTGCGACGTGACAACGCTTGCCCCTCTCTCCGCTGTTCGTGAGGCCTCACAAGTGCGCGCCCCGCCGTTCGCAGAAAGTAGAAGAGACCAGTTTCGAAATGCACTCCGCGGCAAAGGTAACCGGGAAGGAAAGGAAAGACGCGCCGGTTGGCGACAACAAAAGACCGAGTACGGTGCGTGAAAAAAAAGAGAGAAAGAGAGAAAGAAAGACAGGATAAAGGAGTTCCATTGTACGGCGCTTGGCAAGCTTTGATTTAATCGGCGCACGGGTTCCTGCGGGTGCTGCAGCGCTTGCATAAGCTACGTTGCATTTCTCTTTGAAGGGGCTCCTCATCAATCGCAGGGTGGAAATCGGGAAGAGACGGAGACGTGAAGTTGACTCCAAGCAAAACAGTCCTGTGGAAGCAGTTGACGATCCTATATTATTGTTATATTTTTTTACGCTTCTTGTCTTCCTTTTAGGTTGGAAATAAAATAGTTCTAAAATGGCTGTGATTCGATGTGTGGACACACACACACACACACAAACATCCACAGCGCACCTCAACAGGGTGAGATGGCAGCGCCGCACCCACGCGGCGTTCACCGCACAAACCCCTTCTCAGTTCTATGTAAAAAGAACAAGGTCGACGTTGAAGGCATTGCATACGAAAGGGTCTCAAAAGAAAAAAAAAGGAAGAAGCACGGATCAACAGTAAAGATACACAGATAATTGGAAGTCAAAGGAAAGAGGGCATCTTCAATCCCTCCCTTAACAAATACGTCTAGTAAACAATACAAAGAAGAAAGAGAGAAAAAACAAACGGCAATAAACTTGGGAGGTGCATATCAAAGCAGAAACACTCCTTTCGCTCACTCGCACACACACACACACACACATACCGTTAGCGCTCGTGTGTGAGTGTGCGAGTGAGCGCCTAAGGAAAAAGGGACAGCTCTAGTAGTTCAGCGTGGTAGGGGTGCACGCCTCCTCGCGCATGATGGGCAGCATGGGCAAGCCGTCCATCTCTGCCTCTAGCGCATCACACCTGTGATGGTGCGGCGGCGGCAGCGGAGGACAGTGTTGATCGCGTTGTTGTTGCTGCTGCTGCTGTTGTGGCAGCCGGTATTGCTCCCCTTCTTCATCCTCGCCCTCCGCAGTGGTTTTCGCAAGGGCACGGTGGACGTCTTGCTGGGTCGTCGTCAGCAGCCAGCTCGACCCCTCCATGAGAGCGCTCACGTACCGCAGCGCCGCGCCGGTCGCGCGTGGGATGGCGGTGTCGTCGCTGCGCTGATCACTTTCGTGCTGTTTTTGTTCCTGGAGGGCGGTGAAGGTGTCCGCGCTGGTTGTCCATTGCTGCATCGCAGAGGGGTCCGCCAGCAGCTGCAGCTCCGCGGCTGAGGGCCGGAGGTACTGCAAGACCTGCCGCGCGGTGGGCCGCTGCGTGGGGTCGCTGTGCAGCAGCGCCGCCACCAACTTCACGAGGGCAGGCGAGTACCCACGCCGGCGCAGCATCTCCACCGGCACCTGCCGCCGCAGCGCGAGGAACTGATCGCCGTTGCGGGGGAGGGGCTGACCGGACATCAACTCGTACAGCGACATGCCGAGGGAGAACATGTCGCCCGCCTTGAAGTACTTCTTCTCGTTCAGCATGTCCGCGCAGAGGTAGCGGCAGTCGCCCTCGTCCACGCTCGCCGTGCTCGTCTCGTTCACTTCGTTCCAATTGAAGTCGGTCACGACGGCGTTGATCTCCGCCGCGTCCTTTTTGCTCGCTGGGCTGCCATGGCCGTTGTTGTCCGCGTTGTTGCCGCTCTTTCCACCACCCCTTCCTTGCTGGGCGAGGTGCGGCTGCGGTTGCGCCTTGCCGCTCGGGGAGGTGGACGTCTCGTAGCCGTTTTGCGTCTCCGCCCGCGGACGCCCGTTGTCGTCGAGCAGCACACTACAACCGAAGTCCGACAGCTTGTACGCGCCGTTTTTGTCGATCAGCACGTTGTCCGGCTTGAAGTCGACGTGGGCGATGTTGGCGCGGTGCAGCGCATCCAGTGCGATGCTCATATGCACAAGGAACACCTTCACCTCCTCCTCCGCCCACGGCTCGTGGCGGCGCTGCTTCGCGCTGGCCAAGGCAGCGAGGCAACCACCGGGGCAGTACTCCAACTGCAGATACATGCGCGGCACCCGCCCCTCTGCCCAGGCGGCGGAGAGCTGCACCACGTGCGGCATCCCACGCGCCATCCCCATGATGGATCGCTCACGGCGGTAGCGGCGCTCCATGTCAGCCGCACGCAGCGGCGGCGATACCTTCACGGCGACGTAATCACCGGAGCTTATCTCCTTGTACAGCGACACGGTGCCGAAGGAGCCGCGGCCCAGCAGCCGCACCTCGTTGTAGTCGTTCACAATACGACGCGCCAGAAAGTTTGAGCACTCCGTGTCCGCCTGGGACATGTCCAGCCCGTCCTGCGAGGGGTGCAGCAACATCTGCGAGAAGGTGTTCGACCCGCCGATCTGCTGCGACAGCGTCACCGGCGTCGCGTAGCCGCCGATGAGCGGCGAGGCAGGACAAAAGGTGGTGGCCCCGCGCAACACCGCCATCGACGCGGAGGGCTGCGAGGGAAAGACGCTGCTGCTGTGGTGGTTGTTCGTTCCACCGCCCAGGCTGTTGAAGCGACCGTTCGCGACGGTCTGTCCGTACGGCGTCGCGGGCGTCTCGTCCAGGTCTAGCGCGCTGAACTGCGACAGCACATCTGCCGACCGCTTGCGACTGCCCTCGCGTTTGTGGAACTTAAAGGACAACGACGGAGCCGCCGCAGCGGCAGCCCCACTGGTGGTGGACGGTGTTGTGGCGCGCGGCAGCGAAGGCGAGGTTGGAGGCAGACACAGCAGGCCCATCGTGCGGGTTGGTGCCTTCGGAGGAGAAGCCGCACCAGCACCGTTAACTACCGCTGCTGCAGCAGAGGCACCCAGCGAAGAGTAGGGGTTCGTGCTGGCAGCCGAAGTGGTGGTGGTGGTCGACAGACGCGGACCAAAATTCGCGTAGCCACCGCCGTCACTGCCTCCCGCCGTCGCACCGATGTGGATGGTGCGACGCTGCTTCGCCGGCGTCGGCGGCTCCATCACGAGCACGGCGTCTCCGGCCAGGGCGGGGGTTATGGGGGTGCGAGGTGTCACCGCGCTGCCGCTATCGTCGCCCTGCAGACGCTGGCCCCATCGCGAGGGTCCCACGACGACCGGGGACGCCGGCACAGCGCTGCCCACCGGGGCGACAGACCGGAAAAGAGACCGGTGCGCACCGACGGCGTTAGTGTGCGGACCACCGTGGAGACCGCCCACGCGGCCCGCGGTGCCAACGCTGGCGTTGGAGATCGACTCGCTGTTGCTGCTGTCCACGTAGGTCACCGGGATCGCCGACCGCACCGTATTCGTGGCCGCACCAGTCGAGCGCTGCTGTTTTGGGACGGACGTGGGAGGGTGGTGGTTGGAGAGGTCGCGGCCGAGAGAGATGCTCTGGCCTGTCGAGTTGCTGGCGAACTCGGCGTGAAGGGCAGACGCAGGGAAGAGACCGTTGGCGCCATTGCCGTTGCTCGTACGGCCCGCACCGCCACGAAGCGCAGAGGGCGGCGTCACGCTCACCGCACACCACGGCGGCCTCGCCTGCAACACCAGCGACGGCGTCGACATCTGCGGGCACTGAAAGAGGGGCTGCTCATCGTTGCTGTCCGACTCGCCGCTGGCGGCGTTGGATGCCAACGCGTGGGCCATCGACTGCGACGGTTCCGTCGGCGGCGGTGGTGATTGTGGGGGACACTGTGGAAATCCCTCCGGCGTAGACTGCGCAGGGTGGAACACGACGCTGTTTGTGACTGAAACAGGGGAGAAGGAGGGAGCCGAACCGCTTGCAGTAGTTTTAGCAGTAGTAGCAGGGGCGGTGATGGTCGCTGTGGTGGGTGGTGGTGTTACGCACGGCGGTGCCACGGTGTGTGTAGATGGGAGAAGCGTCACGGCTTTGGTGGAGCTCTCGTCTTCCATCGTTGCAAGGCAGCTTAAAAAACAATAATGCAGAGTGCTACAGGTGTGTTGATGTTGCGTGCTTTAAAAAACAAAGAAGATTGGCAGAGTCCCTCAAGCAACGACGTAGTATTCTATGCGCGACGCTTAAAGTGACGTGGGCCAACTTGCGAAGGAGGAAACAAGAAATGCGAAGGCAAAAAACAAGGAGAAAGGGGAAGAGTGTCCTGAGCAAAAGTGGCGACACACGTGGCGTACGCGTTTGCGGTGAGAGGTAGGATAGTTCTATGTGAAGCAGTTTATGTATAGAAGGGTGTGTATGGCATATATGTAAAGGCGAAGGGGATTTATGTTACAGCTGTAAAGTATAGGAGGTGGCGACTGTGACTGTATGAATAGCCAACGCAGGCTATTCGCTGCTCTCATGAAAGGCAAGCGAATTATATATATGTATACACTGGGGCAAGGTGAAATGTTTAGATGACACGTAATCCTGTTTGTAAAACAAAACAAAAAAAAAGAAGCGGCCAAACAAATAGTGAGGGACAGAGAAGAAGCAATGTCAGCAGCAAAAGAAAACTGTAAAAGCACGGGTGATCTCAACTGGAAAGGAAGCAACAGAAAGAGAGGAGTTCGAGTGGCGGGTCAACAGAAAAGACCGTTGGAATATTTAGAAAAAAGAGAGCGTTTTGGGGAATCTTCTCTAGCGTTGTTGCCGTAATGAGCAGGCGGGAGAGAAAAGAGCAGGCTCACTGAACTTGTGCCGGATTGTTATTATTTATTTTTCCTTTCCTTTGCTCCTTGCTATTTCGACCTGTTGGACCGGCTGCACAACGTGTTAGTTTAGCGCGCCGTGGCCGTGCAAAGTCGCGTCGACGAAGAGGAGAACGAGAGAGAGAGAAGGGTGGAAGCCCGCTGTGATGACGGCGCCCATGCCAGCGGCAACACGAAAACTGGCAAGGGCGTGGAATACTACGTGAGTGTTTGAGGTGCAAGAGAATACCCAAAAGATGAGACAAGAACAGCGGGAGAGGCACGAATGGAAACAGTTGACACACACGCACGGTGGTGTGGAGAGAGAAGGAAAAGGAAGAACGACCGGTTCAGTTGGAAGACCACCTTGCCTGTGAGCGATGCTGGTGGAAACAGTCAATGCTCACCACGAAGGGGACACCTCATCCAACGCCTGTAAAAGCTACGCTCGTTGCAGGAAAGCACTCATCTCCGCAGGCACAGGCAAAGCACCTCGTGATTCCCTCGAGAGCTGTGTGCTTTCAACTTGGAGACGATGCTAAAAGCTAGGATTGTTATTGTTTGGAGGGGTTACTGTTCTTCTGAGAAGCACAGAAATCGATGTGAAACAGAGGTTAACACGTTAAACATAAAGAAATAATAGAAGAACAGAGGCAACGTAAAAAGGAGTTGCCCTTGGCAAGTTCAAGCGGCAACCCTCACACACTGAACAACACGCGATACGACGAAACGCGCACAACGGTCAACACCACAGAAAAACAAACAAATTACTCGCGCACCATAGAAAAAAAACGAAGCGCAGGGCTCTTCACCTCCAAGTCCACACACACACACACACACACACACACGCTGCAAGCTACCGCGACTGAAAAGGTCTTCGAGTTGCGTCAGTTACCATCAACAAACATCAGTGTTGGCAGATGCAAACGCGTGCAGTGATAATCGCACTGTGCGCACATCCTTGATTTCTGTCTGCCTCCCTGCACGTTGTCGCGCGAAACGTGTGGGTTACTGAACGCAGGACAGGAAAAAAAGAAATTAAGCCTTTGGCTGTGCACCTTTAGCGTTGGATTTCCTGACGTGCCTGCTGCTGCATGTACTCCAGTCGCGCCCGCTCGTAGACGTCCCGCTGATGCTGCTCGTAGAGGGTGCTAAAGTGAATGAAGCCTTTTTTCGCAAAGCCGGCGTAGAGAATTGCGAACTCCTCCACGCACATGCGCTCCTCAGGTGACAAGTCGTACCCGTCGTCCTTGCCTGTCGAGGACGGCACAACGCACTTCACAAAGGCGCGATGCACTATCGCATGGCGCGCCTCTTGATACTTCAGGAACTGCTCCGCCTGAAGGGTGTCCTTGGCGAGTGCCGTGCCATTTCCCTGACCCATGACTGCTAGCGCGCGTGTTACAATCTAGTTCTGTTGGTTGTGGGGAGAGGGGAACAAAAAAAAAATTATATACGACAAAGATGAATGGGAAGAGAGCGAAAGAAGAAGAAAACATGACATGAACCTTTTTTCAGGCACAGACGTAGAGAGAGAGAGAGAAGACACACCCAGCATGAGAAGCACCGGCGACCACAACACGTGACACAACGCCGCTCATGGGAGCAAGTGTTGGCGCCGTTTTTCTTTTTTCCTCTTCCTTTCTCCTCTTCCTTTGTCCTCTTCCTCATTCGCTGAAGGTTCACCTAGTTCATAATTCAACACACGATGGGTGAAGGGGTAATGCATTCAAAAACAGACGGCTACGCAGTTGAACTTGTCCCTTGCTTTTTCTGGTCTAGACCAGGTATGTAAGCTCGCAGAAGGCCTCGCATATGGCTTTTGAGTGGTGCAGCTCGCCGCACCGCACCTGCAGCGTCACCCCGGCAGTCAGGTAGAGACAAGCTGTAATGGTGTGTGTGTGCATCTGTGCCGGCGCACAGCACGGCCGTCGCTGAAGAGCACGGTACGCCTCCTCCATGTGCGTGTGTTGTGGGAGGGAGCCGTCACGGGGGTATGGCGAAAAGGATCGGAACGGCTGCTGTGCCCTCGGCGCGCTCGTGCTGCGTGAACGCGGCGGGGGATGAAGAGGCAAAGGCGGGCTTCGTTGACGACGTGCGGGAGAAGTGGCCGCCGGCGACGGCGCGTACAAGAGAGTGTGGTTGACGTTCTCCCGCAGCCCACTGACGGCCACACCGTCGACCCATAGTGAAAGCACACGTTCTCGCGCGTCCAGTCGTTCCGCGTCGTGTGCGCTGCTCTGGCAAGAGGTGCAGTAGTGCACCAGGCACATCCTCACTTCATAAATACCGCCGCACTGCACTTGTAAACAAGACGGGTGTGGCCACGCAACCAGCTCCGACGTACGCGCCATCCAGCCAAATCGCAAGTTACCTTGAGGCTGCTGACCCTCACTAAGCTCTACCGCAGCGTCCATCCGCAGCTCCTCCATCTGTTGTCGATGCGTTGCCCAGGTGCCAAGGCTGTACCAGCAGTCGGTGCGGCCATCGAAGGCATGCCACTCTGTCCAGGGCAACGCGGTGCTCGCGCTGTTTCGCATGCCGTTGTGGATACGCTGTGCTGATGACGAAGAAGAAGAGGGGGACACGTTCATGGAGGAGAAGCGGTGACGGCGTGAATCGCCGGTCCAGTACCACCGCACACGGCGGCCAGATGAGGGGAGAAGAGTACCACACAACGCCATCTCTCCTCCGTCAGCATCGGACGCCAGCAGGTGAGAGTGTTTCGCTCGTTCATGGTGCCCTTCACGCTCTCGATGCGTGTACTCTGCTATGTCACTTAGAGCCTCCACTCTATTTGGATGCTCACGTTGCTCGAACGGGGGTCCGACATCTTCGTCGCGCATCGCTGCAGCGCGGGGGTATTCCTTGCGGCGATGCGTAGAAACTCTTTGGTCGGGGTAGCTCGGACGAGGCCGTCCGCTATCCGCGACGTCTTCATTGTCCTCTTCGCTTCGCGCCAAAGCTGGCGGCACTGTCCGCAAAAAGTGCTGCCACTGTTGACGCAGCCGATGCACCTCTTCCAGCATGCGTTGGGTGACAGGTGAAGGTGAAGGCGATCTCGCTGCATCGCCAGTCGGAGGAGACGAGGATGACGCAGCGCGCACATCGCCGTCAGCGTCTCCACGCATGGTTGAAGGAGCTGCGGATGACGCGGAGACAGAGGAAGATGCACGTGCTGGACTGACCCGATTCGTTCGCCGTTTGGCGGTCGGATGTGGTAACAGCTGCAGTGCTTGCAACTGCCGCTGAACACCTTGTAGCTCCTGTTGTAGAGAGTCAACGCGGCTGTCGATCATTGACGAGGATGCCTGCGGAGCAGAGGGAGAACAACGCGTCTGCTGCTGCTGCTGGGGCTGCTGTTGCGCCTCTAACAAAAGCACGCGCTTCCACAGCTGCTGCGTCTCTGCCTTGTGGGCCGCCACGTCGAGTCGATATCGCTCTTCCTTCACCTCTCGATCGCGCACCAACACGGTCATACACTCCTGCGTTTGCTGCGCCGCACTCTCCAGCTGACGCAGTCTGACCTCAAAAGACTGCGCCGCGGTACTGAGTAGTTTCAGAGTGTGCAGGACACAGGGCTGAACATTCAGCCATGCCCTCTCCTGTCCGCGCTCGGTGGCTGCGATGTCTTGAATGACCTCCGAGAGCCGCGCTGCGATGTCGGTGCAGTCGATGTGGCCGGCGGATGCGGGAGGCGCCGCGCTCGCCGACAGAGAGCGGGATGGAGGCGAGAGTGTTGGAAAAGAAGACGTCAGCGGTTCTGGTGCGGGGGGTGGAGGCGGCACTGATCCCGTCAACTCCGCGGCGTCGCCGCGAGGGAGTGAAAGACGTGACGGGCCACGCAGCGCCCGCGCGCGCCACGCTGCGTAGTCGTTCATCCTCCGTCCTCACAGTTGGCGGTGCAGAGACAAAGTCGAGGAAGAAGAGGAAAGAAAGAAAAAAAAACAGGGGAACGTTGACTGTCTCGGTCAATCGTTTCTCTCACTCATGTTTGACAATTTCCCCCGCTTGTTCCGTTCTTTGTTTTTTTATGAGAGAGGATATCGCTACCTCAGAGAAGAGAAGAAGAAAAAAAAAAAGAAGCTGAGTGCGACGTGTTGGATCTATTTCTGCGGGCCCCTACTTGCTGAAGGAAGAGAAGGGACGCTCAGGTGCGCCGCAGCTTTCTATGTACGCTACGGATGCAGCCCCAAAGGTGTGCGCCGCTCAGGGGAAAGGAAAGCGGCTCAATAAAAAGCCCCGAGGAACTGGATCGTTCTATCGTTTCTTTTATTGTTTTTTTTTTTTTCAAAAATACGGTGTTTTCTGCCCGGTACGCTAGCAGAAGGGAATGTGGCCGTCTTTCTCGATCGTCGGCCGCGAGTGCTATATAAATACTTAGGAGCTCACGGAGCAGGCAAGAGTATGGAGCGCCAATGAAGAAAAAAGAAAAGCCAGCGAGACGATGAGGATGGAGGACAGTAAGAGTCAGCGAAACAGCGTTGAACGAGGACACGTTGATGCGAAGCTGGAGAGGGCAGAAACATGAGGCCGTTGTCTTTTCGTAGCAAGCGCTGATCAGCTAGCAGAAAAGATTTGACGGTCACAAAACTCGACGATGCTTTCCTGCCGCCCGCCCCGTTGACCGCAAACGATGCAACAACCCCGCAAAAAAAAAGAGAGAAAAAGATACACGGATCCGCTCGGTATCCGAAAAGTCAGAGAACGACAACGGCTACGCTGACCAGGTGAATAGCAACAGAGGTGTCTTGAAATGACGAAGAGCAGGATCCTCACGTAGCACCTGCCCACTTTCGTATGGCCTGCTTCACTTTGGGGGATATGATTAGCTACTACAACTACTAGACGGAAAAAAAAAACACAGGGCAGAATGTGTTGTGTTCGAATAACAGCCGGATCAAAGACGAGAACACAACTAACACAGAATGATGACCCGGAGAAGGAAGACAAAGCGAATCCACTGCTGCACAGCTGCGTGCACTCATGTACTCCCTTCGCCCTTCGCCTTCGCCGCTTTTCTCCAGAGATACTCGCGTTCCTCACTCCGCATCTTTTGGTTGCGCTGCTTTTGTGAAGCACGACGGCCTTCGCGGACTCACACGCGCACACAAACACACACATACACCCTGTACTCGGCCAGCATCACCTCGCTTTTCGAGTCAGTTCGGTTAACTGCTTAGAAGGTGCGAGAGATGGCATCGGTAATGTGCGACGCGTCCAACTCCGTGTTCCATTGGGTGTAGGTCTCATCCAGCACACGGCGCAGCTTCTGCTCGGCGCGCTTCTCCTGAATAAAGTGGATGACGGGCAGCTTGTTGTACACGAACGACGGCACGATCATGTCCGCCCACAGCACGGGCATCCAGAAGAAGAAGGAGTACCACCAGGCACAGGTCCACGAAGCCAGGTACCACACGCTCATCGGCTCCAGGTGGCGACGAGATTCCGTGAGGGAAGACCGCACCACCGCCTTCGACTCAGCCAGCTTCGCCATGGCTCCGCCGTTGCGGCGCACGGTGTTGCTGCAGACACGGCGCATCATCGTTCGGAATTCCTGTTAATGAGAAGAGTGGAAGGCTTTGCGGTACTAATTACTCGCAAAGAGAGAGAGAGGGGGGAGAAGGGTACTTAAAGCGCGTGAAACGATCGGCAGCGGAGCGAGAAAAAAAGAAAAAGAAATCGTTCCTCTGCAATCTGTTTTTTTGTATGTTTATTTGTTTTTGGCGAGTGTTGTCATTGTTGTTGTTGAAGTCAAGAGACAGAGATGGAGATGAAAGTTGGTAAAGACATCGGTCAGCGAGCGTTACGGCATTCATCTTCCGCTGCCGGAAACGGCTAACCCCCGCATTCGATAGGTCACGTGAATAAATGGAAAGCCGGTGGCATTGGTGTATCCCCTTTGTCACTGCAAAAAAAAGGCACCATTCAAAATCGAAAGAGCCGTTGCGTGAGCCAAGAGGGAGGCGCAAGCGCCACGGGCGGTCACGCAGATTGGTCCCCGTTCGTTGCCTTCTTTCCCCTTTTGCCTTACAGAGTAAGCACGCATAACAACAGAGAGTGAGAAGTTGTTACGGTGCAACCAAAAACAAATACTTATCAACGCTCAGGGTGACAACAATTCAAGAAGAAGAAGAAGCAAAAATAAAAAAATCGAAGTTGTAGATACGAATAGTAATAGTAATAATCGCAAGTGAGGTGCAACAATTTTGAGGTGCGTGCGTGTGGATGTATTTACAATGACGTCGGCATTCGGAGTTACATACAAGAATTGGAAAAAAGCACACAGGGAGGAAAAAAGACAAGAAAATGCAGGCGAAACTCAATGCTGCTTGCGATGCGCAGCTCAATCAGCGGCGCACAACGCCTCGATCTTTTCAACTCTGTTTCGTCCTCCTGAGCGCTTTTGCATTTGTCATAGACGCTCGTCAACAACAACAAAAAAGAGAAGGGGAACAAGGAGCGTTCGAACCTGTGCACACTACATCCGCACAAAGCCCCATCGCAGCTGCTCCACCAGCACCAAACCCACGGCGACCAAAACCGCTAACGACACCCACCGGCGCCACGGCACACCACCCAGCCCCATCACCGTGCCACCGCGTTCCTCACCGGCGAATGTGCGATGACGGGCGTGGTGGCGATGATGCCGCTTGAGTGGTTCCGCATTGAGCGGTTTCTCTTCCGCTGCTGCTACCTCTTTGGCTTCACCGTTGGCTGTTGTTGAATCCTCCTCAGGCTTTCCAGCGTCCTCGCTACCTTCTTTGTTGGAGTTGCCGTTGCCCTGTTCCTGTCCTGCCGTCCCGACCTCAGCAGTCACTAAAGGTGTTGAACGCTGCGGACCTCTCTGCGCTGCCGGGCCTCTGCCGCGGCCCACGTCATCTCCCTCCTCCGAGTCGCTGCTTCCGCTGGTGCTATCAGATCGGGGCGTGTGCCCGCCCGCCAGCCCTTGATGCTCTTGCTGCCTTTGCTCCTCCAAGTAGGTCACATCCTTCGCATAGGCCTCCGGCAGCACGCGCTGGTACACCGCCTTGATGCGCTCCACGTTGAACTGTCGGCTGCTCGCCGCGTACTTGCGCCGGTCCTCCTGGCTGCTCTCCGTCGAACCTGTTGTGGCCTCCTCAGACGCGAAGAAGGACACGAGGGCGATTAAGATGGTGCGCAGTCCCCACAGCGGCGACCACTGCTCCGGATGGTAGGAGCTGTTCGAGAGGCAAATCGGCATCCCCGTCTTGAAGCGTCCACTTGGGGTACACATTTGCACACTCGGCGGCTTAAAGGGGTAGTCTGGCGGAATCCCGAGCAGGCCCACGTAGCGCCCGCCCGCGTACGGCGTCCCTTCCGGGCCGTCCACGACGAAATAGCAGCGAAGCATGTTTTGCGGGTCAGCTCCAACTTTGAAGGGGAGGTCTTTCTCCATGGCGAGCTTGCGTAGCTCCGTCTGAAGCCGCTTGATGCACTGTGCAGTGGGACTGGACATGTTATAAGCTAGGCGGGGAGGGGGGTGGGGGGAGGGTAAATGTTCGAGGAGGTGCCCCTTGGGCGGGCCAAGGGTGCTGATGAAAGCTGCCAACAAGTGACGGAGGGGACCGCACACACACACAAAGAAAACCGACCACTAAAGTAAAGGGGTGAAGAAAGAGAAGAGTGCAAGCAACAAGAAAATCGTCTTCAGTCGCAGTGACGCACCGGGTCAATGATGGCGAAGTGCAATGAACTAGCGACACCGAGGAGGCGTGGAAACAAATTAAGGAGAAAACAGAAAGAAAAGAAAAAGAAGCACAAAGCCAGTAAACAATTGTATATGTTTGAGTGAAAGAAAAAAAATGTACGAACGCAAGAGAATTGCTGTCGGTGCGTGCTGCGTCAGACAAAGTGGGAGGAAAGAGAAGCAAAGAAAAAAAAGGCCGTATTGTAGTGTAGTTTTAGTAGGTTGGCCACGGCAGACACACAGATCGCAACCGCAGAAGGCGAAGAAGAGGTGGAAGATGAGGAGCAGCGAAAAAAAAAAAACACAAAAAGTGAACGAGACAGTTCTAGAAATGGGCGCGAATGCGAGAAATTACGGCAGCACGCACTTCGCTTCAGAGATGCAGCTGGTCTCTGCAGACCCGCCGTGCCAAATTATTTTTTGTTTTGAAGAAGAAGAATTGCTCCCTTCCATCAACAGCTTCGTATGGCAAGCGAGACATCTTTCGAGAAAACAAAAAGAGGGGGGGGAAGGTGCGTCGTTCTTGTAGCGTGAATAATTCCTTTGCGCTCATTCATTTCATGATTACGCCTCTCATTGAGCTTTGCATGTTTGCGTCATTTTGTCGTCGTTATTATTAAAGCTTGGCAAACATACACAATCCCACAAAGGAAAATAAAATAAAAACCGAACCGCAAATACAACAGCCGCGGCACTTGTAGGTCAACCAGCCCCTTCATTCTTTCCGCGCTCCACCCAGCAGGCAAGGTAAGTGGAGCGGGAGGCAGCATTTGCGTGCGTGCGTGCTTTTTACTAGAAGTAACGGAATGTCGAACGATGTCGAGGTGGTTTCGCCGTCGCGGTCGCCTAAGGCATTCCCCGAACCCGCACGAAAGCACAACATACACACAGAGAGAGAGAGAGAGAGCAAAGTAACCGGTTCAAATGTTGGTGTAGCGCTCATCGGCAGGACGATCAAAGTCGACAAGCAGCTCACTAACGCTCCAGTCCTCATACGTGTTGTCGGGCAGCACACGACGAATAATCAGCGGTGTCAGGCGCTCGCGCAGCTCCTTCACGGCAATCGTCAGCGGGTCCGTCTCGCCCTCCAGCGCAACCGCCACTGGGGCGTTCATGCTGATTTGCAAGGCGCGGGTGCCTAGCACGCGAGCTCGCTCGTACTTGGTCATCACCGCCGTCGTCACGCGCTCGTTAACGCTGCGTGCCCGCGCCCCTTTGGCGGCTTGTGCGTTGCCGGACAAAATAACGTTTGCGGCCACGTCCTCCGGCAGCTGCCCCTCAGCCTCCTCCGACTCCTCATCCTGCTCCTCGCCGTCGTGGCGGTTCACGTCGCTGCCGCTGTCCTCCTCGTCGCGGTCATCGCCGAGGTTGAGGCTAAGGCGGTCGTCCTCGTCGTCATGATCAGACATTTCGTGTTTGTACCCGGCCGAAGACGTTCTAAAAGGATATTTAAAGGAAGGAAGGGAGGTGGGGTTTGATGAGCTGTGGTGATGGTGATTGATTTAGTTTGGGGGACGCAACAGCCCACGCCGACGCCTTTCGGATGAAGCGGCAGGGTGCACCTTCGATATTATTGCTTTACCGACTTTTTGGTGCGTCACAAAGCGCAGGTGAAAAATTGAGAAAGGAGTACAGTGAAGGAGGAGAGCGCAGAGCTGAGGAAGCGAATCGCATGGGTACGCAGGAGAGGGCCTCCGTTTGCTGCAGAAAGCTAGAGATGGGTTGGTAGCGGTACACTTGCTGGAAAGAGGGCTAGGAACAGCAACAAAACAAAGCTAATCGTATCGAAATTCGCAGGAGCGCAAGCCACGATGGGATACTTGCAGGACAGAAGTGTTGTCTGCGCAACCGCTTCACAATGATGCTAGGTATTCCTTTAACAGAACTGCTTTGAAGGAATGTGAAGAAGTAAGAAAGAACGGCACAATTCCCTCGGAAAGCAAAAGAAGACCCGGCCGTGAGAGAAAAAGCCAAGAGAGGGGGAAAAAACATGTGCCCTAAAGTGACGAGAGCGCTGGCCGGACCACCACCGCACAGTGATCGCGTCGCCACGCACAACGCAGACCTACTAAGACACAGAGTTGAGAGAGCGCTGCAGACCGCCCAGCACATCCGCCAAGTACACACGCAACGCCTCATCGTGAAGCCTCTCCTCGTCGCTCGAGCCCGCACCTGCCGTGCGGGCGCCGTCTCCGCTGGCAGTTGGGAGAAGCAGCGGTGTCTCTGAAAGTTCCGCGATCGCGGCGTGCAGGGTGCGGCGAGGGCTGTCGCCGAGCAGGCGGGGCTGTGCGCCGTAGTGCTCCGTTTCGACCCCTTCCTCCTCAACACCCTCGTCTGAATCCCCAAGCGCATTCGACACGCCGCCGTCACGCGCGCAGACCCACGAGTCCCCTGCCGGTGCCATCACTCCTCGTTGCACACTCGGGGCTCGTGTGGTCAGAAAGTGCGCGCGGGAATCCTGCATCGTCGGCGCGTCATCCGGCAGCGTCCCGTCTTGGAGAAACCGATCGCACGCGGCGTGCGTGAAGTCGTAGTGCAGCAGCGCAAACTGCGCACGCAGGCCACCGAGCATCGGCAGCAGCCGCGAAACGTCGCTGACGTTGCGTGATTTGAGCACCTCGTCCACGATGTACGCGCGGTCGTCTGCCGAAAGAAAGTAGCGGCGGCGGTCGGCCCATAAGACGAGCTGGTCTGTCCACAGCCCACGCCGCAGGTGCAGCTCCTCCGCAGCGTGCCTGTACACCGCCAAGAACTCCACCGCCTCCACGCGCAAATACAGTTTTAGCAGCCGTGAGACGAGCGGGGCAGTGAGCGGGACTTTGGCGTCGCTCATCCGCGCCAGCACCTCCGCCGCGCGCTGCACCGGGTTCATCGAGTTGTGCGCGTCTTGCAATAAACATCCGTAGTAGAATTCATCGGTGCATTGCACGACGCCGCCATCCTGCGCCGGCTGCAGGTAGTCCTGCTCGTAATGCGGCAGCTGACACTTGGAGAGCGCGCTGAGGGTGGTCTGGAGAAGGTATTCCCACGTGCGACGCTCCCCGCTGCCGGATGCCTCCGCACCGCCGCCGCCGCCGCCAGCCGTGTTACTGAGCTGCTGCATTGCAAAGGTGTGTGCCACCAGCACCACATCCGCCGCCCGCACCGCGCCAGCGGAAATGAGCAGCAGCGTCCACAAATTTGCCTTGATGCTGGCCGCCGCACCCGCCGCGATGAGGGCACGGGCCAGCCGCACAATACGGCGGTTGTCCTTCGCCGTCTGCAGGGTGAACAATAAGCGATGAAGGAGAAAATCTGTGAAGAAGAAGTTAGCACGCGTGCGAGAGGACGCATCGGTGGTGGTAGATGCTGCTGCTCGCGCGTCCGCAGCGCGTGTGGCGGACGGGGCGGGTGGTGCCAGCGGTGGTGGCGGAGCGGGTGCACTTCGACTCATGATCGGCGGTGGAGGAGACGGTGGTGGTGGTGGTGGCGTTGATGGCGTTGATGCCGCTGACAATAATACTTCCTCGGTCCGTTTCCCTTTCACTCCCTCCCTCGCCTCTGCATTTGCCAGGTGAACCTCCGCGTTGCTGTCGTCCTCGTCAGCGAGGGGGTCGCACCCGACCAGCCGCCGTGCCTCGGTGAAGTACAACATCGCCTCCGGCACCAGCTGCCCAGCGGAGCAGGTCTCGATGAGCGAACCGTAGAAGACCTGCACCTCATCGGCATCGTACATCCAAGTCAGCGAAGGTGAAGAGGCGGAAGGTGCATCCCCACTGCCCTCCGAACCGCTGCTTCGGCCCCCGAGGCTACACGGAAAAGGCTGCGGAGAGGTCAGAATACCCTTCTCCATGCAGAAGTGAAAGAAGGCGAATTCACCATCGTCGCCGGCGGAGGCGTAACGCACAAAGTGCAGGCCCTTCTGCAAAAGGGCCATCAGCTGCTCCGGCTGCCGCGGTGGTGGGGACGGTAGTCGGGGGGGGCTCGCCTGACTATCCGGCGCGCCCCTTTGCGGCGCAGCTGCTTCCGAGAAGAGAGCATCTCCGCGAAGCCTCGCGAAGGCATCACGACGAGCGGCACCCACGCGCTGGCAGGCCTCCAAAATGGCCAAGGCATCCGCCAGCGCCTGCTCCGCACTCCCTTTCACTCCGTTTGCGCCGCCTGCCTCGGTGCAGCGGTAGTACTCTGCCAAGCACAGGACCCGCCAGAGGCATCGCACTAGCGCCACCTCCACCGTCATCTCCTGGGCGCTGCGCACGGCAGGCACGGCGGGCTGCGGAGGCGAGGTCGCTGCTGCACCGTCCGCGCTGTCCTGCTGCGGCGGGGAGGAGGCAGATGGATTCACCATCAGCAACTGAGAGACACAGTAGGATGCCATTCGAGTCAGCTCCGCAGAGCTCTGCACGGCGTACGCGCTATCCACCACATAATTGGAGACGAGCACGGCGCTATCCTGTACGAGATTATTGCTATTGCTGCTGTTGCTGTTACCGCTATTTTTCGTGATTGCGGCGGTGCCTGAGACTGGACCATCGCCCCTGTCAGGTGTAGCGCCGCTCGAGGTGGACTCGTTGCTGCTGGTGAATGTCACCTTTTTGGAATGCAACGACAGCGTGGCGGGGGACATGTGCTTACGTGCGGTGTGATATACCTCCAGGCACGTCTCGTGCAGCCCAGCCACGTGTGCAAGGTGCAAATAATCCTGAAGAGCTTTGATCGACATCTGCGCCATGCGGTGCGGCTTCATGATCTCTTGCAAGTGCGCGTAGAGAAGAGGCCGCTGGCCGAGAGAGAAGTTGGTGCGACTGAAACGGTGCACGCGCTGCACTAGTTCATCGACAGGGAGGAGCGTCAGCTCGTGCACGACGGTGCTGTTCACGCCGTCGCGTTCGTGGCGACTGTGGACGCTGCCGTTGCGGCAGGCGTCGTGCAACGCCGCGGCCACCTCCTCCGAGCGCACCCCAGAAGGGATGAAGGGCTTTTGCAGAACGCGAGAGGGGTGCAGCGCGGACACAAAAGACGGTGTGCCTGCTCTCGCCAATTTCTGTGCGGGAGAAGATGAAGCTGGCAGCGTTGTGGACTTGATTGAGCTACCCCGATTACTGTTGCTGCGGAGCCACTGTGCAGCGGTCGTTATCCTCGCCCTGCCATGGGTCCGCGGCTGCACGAAGAGCTTTGCCTCACCCCACCGGCGCATCTGAAAGAGCGTTTTTTTTTTTTGGTAGTCGGGTGCAATCACTACGTTCACGTTGCGCTGCTCCCTTTTTTTGGAGCAAGGAGGACGGTACAACGAAACTAAGCACGCAGAACAGAGAAGAAGGAAAGTGAAACAGAAGAATCTAAAATTTACCAAAAAGGCAACGGCGTACATGGCGTGTGAGCTGCGCGATACGCGATGTTCAACGCCTGTGAGCATTACACCCGGCTCTAATGACGATGAGTACGGTTGCTCCGGTCGCGGCAGCGAAGAGAAACCCCAATTCCTCCTCGGCACAAAAGGCACAATAGCCCACACATTCTCCTACGCAGGTCGCGTACAGCACATCTTTCAACAGCAGCAAAAATTCCTTCCACACCGATAATGAGACATCTTTGCTGTTTTCTTCTTAGCGTTAATAATAAAAACAGCAGACGTAGCCGACATATTTCCTTATCCATGAAAGCGAAACGTCGTCCGCTGCGGTCTACGCCTTCACATCCAGGTGCAACGCGCAGGAGCAGCACACAACCGAGGTGCCGAAAAGAAGCGCCAACTCTATCACCAGCGGCGATGTCGATCCGGTGGACAGTGCGTCCCATATGCGTTACCGGAGCTGTCACGCTTGTCCTTCCTCCTCGTTGCCCGGCTGCGCAGGGGCGTCTGCGGGCGGCGTTTCATCCTTTTTCATTCCCTTGAGAGCGGACATGATGTCAAGCAGGCTGAGCTTTGTCGGCGCAGGCTCAGGCGGCGGCGGCACATCGTCGGCCTCCTCTTCCTCGTCTTCCTCCTCCGCCTCCGCTTCCACCTCCATCTCATCCCCCTCCTCCTCACCTCCTTCTTCCTCCCCCTCCGGCTGATCCTCGTCGGCCGTGTTTGCTCCTTCATCCACGGTGTCGCCTCCCTGCGCCGCCTTCGCCGCCGCCACCGCCTCCGCTGCCCCTTCTTCCGCTTCTGACGCGGTTGTCGCCGGTACAACCGCAACGTCTGCGGGCTGCGGACGCGGCTTCGGAGGCAACGGTCGGCGCCGGGCCGGGACGTACGCCCGAAACAAGTGCTCTAACGGACCGTTGTGCCACAGCTGCCACTCCGCGCTGTTCGGGCTCTCCCGCCGGCGACGCACCCACGCGGCCCACTCGCCCTCCTCGTCCTCCAAGTCGCCTTCGTAGCGCACCGCCGGGGCCGGGTCAGACGCACTGGGCAGGTCGTACACCTCTTGATGCAGCAGCCGGCACGTCGCGGGCGCCGCATTATTATTCGCATTCGTATTGCCGTAATTGCCGTAACTGTTGTTGTGGTAGTTGTTGCCACCCTGTTGACGGCCACCGTCGTTAGAGCCGCGACCGCCCCTTCGCTGCCCTCGGCCACGACCTCCGCCGCCACGACCGCCGCCGCCGCCACGTCCACCACCTCGCCCGCCGCCGGCCGCATTGCGATTGTTGTGGTTATGGTGACCACCAAACCCAAGCGGGGAGCCGTGGCCCTTACACAGCCCCATCAAATACGCAAGACACAAGTCACCCGGGGCGTTGCGGAACAGGCAGGTTTCACCGTGCTGGCACACACCCCACACGCGCAGGCACGGGTGCGTAGCGTGCGTGCCACCACCACCACCACCAGCGCCGGCAGAGGCCTGTGCCAAGGCATCGTCCATCGTCGGCGCGCCACGGCTGCCACCACGTCCACCGCCTCTACCGCGGCCCGACCCCGCAGCGGCCATGTTCATAGCGATCGCGGGCAGCTTGCCAAGGTTCGTCGCGCGGTCACCGCCGGTCAACATCGGGGCGGCCATGCGCTCCCCTGACGGCGCCACCGCCTCCGCCGGCCGCTCCAGAACGTCCTCAGACATCTGCATCACCGTGGCCGGTTTGTAGTTCAGCCACGACAGCAGCGACGGAAAAGGCACGACGCGGCTCGGGGTGTAGGTGCGCGGGCGGATAATGCGCGTGAAGCACGCGGTGCAGAGCATGATGCGGTTCTTCAAGTCGATGGCGACGCAGTCGGATTGGATGTTGTCGCGCTTGCACTTGACGCAGCCGAAGCAGACCCGATCCGGGAACTGGTACAGCTGGGTATTCACCGCAGCCTTCGTATTGGCGTCCGGTGGCAGCCTCTTCACGCGCGGACGGAAGGAGGAGACGTTGTTGATGGTGAGGCGCGGCGGGCCGCTACTGCCGCCGCCTTGTGCGCCAGCGGCGGAACGCGCCATCACCGCGGCCGCGGTGGAGGAGAGGGCGGTTGGTGCGAGTGCGCTCGTGTCCTTCGCGTAGGGCATCGAGGACGAGCGTGACGAAGGGACCGCGTACGCGTGCGACGACGACTGAGGTTCCTTCGGCATGAGTGCTGCTTTTTTGTTTGTGTATTTATTCTGCTTCAAAGCTTTGTTCCAACCGCCAACAGCAGAAACACAAAGTAATTCTTTTTCTTTTTTAAGGCGTCAGTGCTGCGCCGATAAACAGGGCAGGGCCTGGATAACTGCTGCGTGTGTGGCGGCTGTACGTGAGTATTTTTTTTTCTATTTTTGCCAAATGTGAGTCTACCGCGACGACACAATGGACGCGACAGTTGATGGAAATCTTACAAAGCCGTCACGCAGCGCGACGTTGAGAAGTGCGACCCCGTAACGTCGCAGCCAAATTGATGGATGTTTCCTTTCCTGTTAATATCAGGGCGAAACGTCGCTTAGAAACTCAAATAGAAGCTGTTCAGGAAAAAGGATTGAAAGAGAAAAAAAGAAGGTGAAGAAACGACAATGCAAAGTACGTGATCGAGGGGAAGGCCACAGCGGCATCCGTTTTGGTTTTCAACGACTGATTGGTGGCGGCAGACGACGGTGGAGAGTGAAGTGTAAAGCACCCGGTTGGGAGGAGGCACTGCTAGGCATCGTATCGCATATGACCGTCCTCACGACACCCAGCAACGATCAGTAAGCACTGCCTCCCGCGCTCAACCGGGTCTTCCGCATCGTCCACCCCGTCAACGCCTTGCACGCCTCACCACCCAACAACCGTTCGTACATATACAGGCTAAAGCCGCGCGAAGGGAAGAAAAAAGCGTACGTCTATTAACGGCGCACACCCATGTCAGCCGCACTCGCCGCTTTCACAAGAGGGGCCACCGTAGCAGGTGCCCTTGTCTCTCCTACCGATCCGCATCAGCAGATGCACGTGCGAAGGCTGTGAGAGCCCGTCACCTACGTTTTAGCTGTGTACTCGCTCTTTTTCCCTTTTTTTGTTTTAGCTAGAAGTAATTTGTAAAAGAAAACAAGAAATCACAGGAGAAACAAAAAAAGAATGGAAAAAGGACACGCGCGCCAAACCGCGAGGGGGGGGACCCACGCACAACGAAGAAGAAGCGAATGCCTGCACTCTTTGACAGGAACGCGAATCATACCTTAGTCTCCCGTGTGTAGGGCTCGCCCATTCAGACGGTTGCCACACTTTGCTTTCGCAGCCCTCATTTTCCCTTCTCTTTTCTTCTTCGCCTTTACGCGTAGCCGAACTTCTTCAAGACCTCCACGTTGTGCTTCGGCATCTTCGTGAGAGCCGCCTTGCGAGCATCCTTCCACGCGTCGCGCAGCTTCGCCTGCTTGTTGTGGTAGCGCGTGGACTTCTCCACGCGCGCCTTCTCCAGCTTGGCGACGACATCGCTGTACTTCCAGCCGACGTGCTTGCACATGTTGCCGAGGATGGTGTAGGGACGCTCAGCGCGGTAGCACGCGTGGCGCTGCGCACGCGGGATGACGACGCGGCCGCCGGTGCGGACCACGTTGGCCGGCACGCCCTCGTACGCCACCAGCGAGTTGAGGGCCTTCATGCCGCGCTTCGTGTAGCGGGGCAGCATGCTGCGCACGGTACGCACGAAGACGTCAGAAGGGGCGCGGTGGTGGAAGGGACCCTTGGTGGGGTTCGTCAGCTTGCGCTTGCGCAGGTACTGCAGGTACTTGATCTTGTTGCGGATCTCCGTACCGGCAATGTTGAGCTGCTCACACCGCACCACGGTGATCTTGCGGCCGAGCAGCAGCTGCTTGGCGACCACGGCAGCGGCGCGACCGAGCACGTGATCCTTCAGGTCGATCACGACAATCTCGGGACGGTGCTTCTTGATGCCCTTGCGCTGAGCGCGGGAGGCATTCTTGCGGCTAGGGACGGCCATTGAGGTGAGGTCGGTTATGCTGGCGAGAGATAAACATGGAATAGATGGACAAGATGAAACGCGAGATTCGCAACGCCATGAAGCGGCAATTGTGATTCAAAAAAACAGGGCAATAATTGTAAGAGGTAAGAGGAGAAAAAAAAAACATGCGATTGTCACAGGAGATAGTTGTGTTGAATGCATTGAGAGCGTCTCCGCCCAAGATTGTTGGAAGGGGGGGGGGATTTTTGGTATAAAGCAGCGCTGGTGAGCTTCAGAGGCTACTTGGTGGTTTCTTGTTGTTTTAACATACGCACGAACGCACACATGTGCGCAGCGGCGAGCCTGAATGAGCAGGTCACCGGCTTCCCGTCTCCTGCGTTCCTCGTCGGGGCAAAGTAAGCAAACAGGAGCGAGCGTTGCTGCACCGTTGCACTCACATGTCGCTTTCACCAAGCCTCCCCCAGTTCTCCCTCGCGCGTGCGCGCCGTAGCGCTTCGTCCCTTGTTACTTCTCCAGTCGCTTTCTTTCATGGGTGCTTCTTCCGAGGAAACATACATTACAAAACTCATGGGCACGTCGTGGCCAACATGACGAAGAACCCGGCAACACCAACCACAACGAAAAGGCCAAAACGATGGGGAGAGGGCCACAAACACCTCCAGCACTTCACACGCAGCTGCCTCTATAGAGAAAAAAAAGAAAACAGAACCGAAGGGAAAGAGAAGCAGAGTTCAGATGGCACATCGAATACTTTTTCTTACAAACTACCTGCATAGCATCACCGGTCTTTCTTGCATGATTGCTGCCGGTGTTAGCTGTTAATTAAATGGTTAGACTCGCTTCGATTACACGGATACTGGCAGCTCTCCCCTCCAATCTTTTACAAAGGTGCTCCGCTTCCCCCCTCTCCCCTCCCCCTGTCGGATAGTTTCTATGTGGGCGACCACCGCCTCTCCGCTCCACGAGCGGCAATGCGGAGACATCACGTTCTCTTCGAACCGGAAAGGTTCGCGAGAAAATGGATAGCAGGAGGGAACTCCCTACGCACCAAAACACGCATTTTTATTCCTTACACTCTCACGTGTGCTGCCGTTGACCAAATCAGACGCCAGGAGGAGTGATGAGGAGTCTGATGGACGAACGACAACGCGGCGGGGAGAAAAAAAGGACACGAGCCGACAGAACCGCGCACAACGTTCATGCACAAGCGACGGCATCAGCCGGCAACCACGCCAATCCAGCTACTCCCTCTTACCACAAACACCGGCAAAACAAAAAAAAAAACGGAGAAGGGGAGCAGAAAGTCGCCCACCTTTCCTTCGTGTTCTTCTCTTTCCTCGTCATCCTCCCTTCTTTTTTTTGTTGTTTTAGTACTCCGGCTTGAAAATCTGGAAGCTACACATGCAGTTCTCATCCATTAACATCATCGCCCCGCTATTCGTGAACTCGCCGCAGTAGTTCGACGCACTAAATATGGTGACCAGGCGGCGACCAGCGAAGAAGGAGTAGCCCTCGTCCACCACCTGATGCGCACGCAGCACAATGTCAATGCCAAGGCTGTCACACACGCGTTTCACCACGTCCTCGCCAAAGGTGAAACTGACCCCGCGCTCACTCGGCTGCCAGCCGCTCGAGCCCTCCTCCGGGTCGGCCCAGAGAATGTCACAGGCCAGCCCTTCATCTGGTACGACCAAGGGGCGATATATCTGTTCGATTTGACGGAGGTGGCGCAACTCGGGACTGAGTCCACCGTGCATGCAGAGGGCGATCTCCTCAATCAACGCCGCCACCGGCAGGCAGTTGAACACGTCCGTGAACTCCTTAAAGAGACGCACGCTGAAGCGGCGTTTACACTCGTCGAAGAAGCCGTAAATACGGCAGATGCTGTCCGTCTCGTGGTTGCCGCGCAGGACGTGGATGCGCTTGGGGTACAGCACCTTCAGACCGAGCAGCACCGTAATCACCTCCGTGCCGTACTTGCCACGATCCACGTAGTCGCCCAGAAAAAGGTAGCGTGAGTCGGGTGGCAGGCCGCCTGCCTTAAAAATTTCTACAAGGTCCGTGATTTGGCCGTGGATGTCGCCGCACACGTTAATGGGGGCCTCCGTCCGCACCAGCATCGGTTGACTCATCAGAATCGGGCGCACACGGTGGAGAATGGTGCGGATAATTTCCTCCTTCAACAGCGTCACCCCGCTTCGCCAATCCGCCAAGATGCTGGTGACTAAAGTGTAGATGGTGAGGTCTTCAGCGGACATGCCGCTGGTGGGGGAGGTGGCAGCGGCAGCAACGACGTGTGCGGCGGCGGCCGGCGCTGCTACCGTTGCCGTCTCTGCTGCAGGAGTGGCGGTGACTGGCGGCTTGAGACCGCCGTTCGGTGCCTTATGGCTACCGTGTTTGGCGGACACGCTGCTGGTCGCATGATGCGTGTGCTTCTCTCGCGTCAGGGAAGTTGCCGTGGCGGTTGTCGTCTCCTCCTCGCTCTGCGATCCTGGAATCTTCTCGGCGGAGCGGGAGCGACTGCGCTTCTTGCCGCCCATCTGCTGCGTAACACCGTGACGCATTGCCGCCAAGGAAAATATATAGGCCGTGACAGCGACGCCAAACAGGTAGATTAAATGATTAGGGAAAGATCGTCTTTTGCTTTTTAAGTTAAACTGAAAGGAAAGAAAAACAAAGTTTGTGTTCCTTTTACAAATACTGCAGCTCAGAGAAGGTGCCACACGGCTGTGGTATGGAAAGATCGAAGCCACGCGAAAGGGTCGGCAGCCACGCAACCACAACTTCTGTTTTCACTTACTCTAGTGTGACGATGTACTCACTACGAGCGAGCAGCGTAGAAACACCAAACACACACGCACACATACACACACACTCGCACACTCACTCTCTCAGAATTAAAGCAGGAAGCACTATTATGATTCACTGCAGCAAGAAACTTCTTAAAAAGGCGGCAGAACAGGAAAACTGGAGCTGCTCGTCGTCCTATGCCTCGTTCAAGAGGTTGTCTTCGTGAACGAGTACTAGCTGCTGCTAGGCGGAGCACTGCGTGACACCACATATGCAACACAAGAGAAGATTCAATAATCGCGGATAGAGACAGAACAAAGAGAGGCAGGAGTGAAGAGTTAACTTCAAAAAGCAAATTGACACATTTTGCTCACAACGAACACGGCCCGACATCATCATACGTATCAGCTTCTCTGCACTGAAGATTAAAGGCACTATTGGCTGCCCCGCGCATGTGCGACGTACACGCCCATGTCGTGTGAACGAAGAGCGGCAACGAAAAGCAGAGTCCAATGACGTCAGCTTGTCAGAATAGGCCAGTATTTTCCCTTTCTTCGCGTCGCAGCACCTCATGCGCAACGCGTAAACGATGGCCAGCGGTGTTCAGCAAAAAGCTCCTTGGTGCTCCTGCATTCACCGCCTTTACGTGTTCTCTCTTCGGTGGAGGGTCCACGGGAAGAACAACGTTCTTCGATGCATTTTCTTGCTGCCCTTCGTGCGTTGACTTGCGTAGCCGTTGCCAGCGCTGAGCCCTATTTTTTGCTTTCTTTCTTTTTCTTGCTGCGAATAGGCAGGCCGAATACTTCCCTTTTTCATTTTCATTTTCATACGGTGCACCACCTCACAGTGTGACACAGCGACGTTAAGGCAGAGAAGAAAAGAAAAGAAGGAGAAAGGTCAACGAAACGCCTACGCTCCGCTGAACAAAGAGAGCACGCGTTACACAAGAGAGTTGGCAGTCATACGTACCGGGGGGGGGGGGGGGGGAAGAACATAACGGCGCCAAAGCGTTAATGCCCTCCGTTCGTAACTGTGCTCTCTCCATTACCTTTAGAGTAAAATAAAACTTTTCTTCATTAATTTATTTTTCTCTCATCCGGTTATACCTTTTTTTGATATTATCTCTCTGTACGTGTGTGTGTGTGTGCGTGTGTATTCTTTGTTTGTTTGAGATTTCGTACACGGAGAGCCGCAAAGGGACACATCATTGCTCGTTGTTGAGGAAAAACAATGCGAGAGGGTAAAGGCAACGTCATCTGCCACCTCAGCCGTCGGGTGAGGAAAGGGGAAAAAAAAGGATATAAGGCTCTCACGGCTCGGCTGCTGCCGCTTGTGTTGAGACGCGTGGTCCCGCCCCGCCTGTTCACCGCTATTCAACGCATCAGCTACTTGTACGTCTTGCCTGTTGACGCGCAGGCAAAATAAGGGTAAAACTGCTAGCAAAAAGTGTAAGCGAGCTCCAACAGCGAGGGCAAATAGACGCGCAAGAATGCCGGCCGAGCAAGGCAACGGAACGATTAGAAAGTGGCTTTCATGGAAAAAACAAACACAACTAGGAACAGAAAGGCACACCACGTCATCAGTTCCACGTCGAAGCATCGACATCTCCTTGCACAACCGTTCCTCTCCATGAAAGACCAGCTTTCCTGTTTTTCTCTCGGCAAATGCGCACGCACGACTGGGCCGTGGTGCGGGCGGAGTCGCGCGCTTAGATCTTGTTCCACGCGACGATGTCCATGGACTGCACCTCATCCGTGAAGCCGGTGATCATGTCCTCCAGGTCGTCGCCGGACACCTTGTCGTCCTCGATCACGATCAGCTGCTGCAGCTTCTTCACGCCGAACGCGACCGGCACAAGCTTGTAGTCGCCCCAGATCAGACCGTCGCGCTGGATCGCGTGCAGCTTCTGCGCCAGCGCCTCCAGGTCCACCGTGTCGTCCCACGCCTTCACGTCGAACAGAATCGACGACTTCGCAATCACGTCCTTCTTCGCCTTCTTCTTCTCCGCGTCCGCCTTCTTCTTCGCCTCCAGCGCCGCCGCCTCCTCCTCCGTCGTCTCACCGAACAGGTCGATGTCGTCGTCCTCCTCCGCGGCAGCAGGGGCGGCAGGGGCGGCAGCCTTCGGCGCGGGCGCGGGAGTCGCCTTCTTCTCCGCCTTCTTCTCCTCAGCGGCGGGTGCGGCGGCAGCGGGCATGCGCAGCTCGGGGGCCGTCACCTTCACCGGCGCACCCCACGCCTTGCGCTCACCCTCCGAGTACGTCGCCATGTTCTTCGCCCACCGGTACAGGTTCGTGTGGCCGGCGCCCAGCAGGTCGTTGAACGCCTTCACGTCCTCAGCGGACGGTTTCGCGCCGCCGAGGAAGAGCTTGCCGCTCAGCTTGGACTCGAGGTCCGCCGACTTCTTGCACACGTCCTTCAGAGACATTGCTTCGCGTGGTAGCGGGTGGGTGGAAAGAGAGGCGCTTTGGGAAAGATAGAGAGAGATGAATGTGGCTCGATTTGGTTCTAGCGACAACGAGCGTGGGTCGGTGTGCGCGGATGACCAGCGCGGCGGTTGCAAAGACGGAGAAGAGAGATTGTTGTTGGGATGGAATGGAGGAGGGGCGAAGGGTTGGTGGAGAGCGAGGGTGAAAAGGCAGACGCACGCGTGCAGCGTCCAGAGTTGCCATAGGGAAGACGGCAGCGCAGCTACAGCTCCCGTCTTCTCAGCTACTTTCGAGAAACCATAACACAAGGAAAGCTGTTTCATGGCCAGATCTCTTTGTGGCACTCCTCTTGCAAAACAGCGCGACGGTTGTTCTGTTTATGCAAACGTGCATTTCAACGATAGTGCTGGGGGTTTCTTTTTCCTTCTTTCGGTTTCACTTGACGGCGACTAGCGAACGCGAATTCGTTCGAGGGGGGAAGAAAGGTCAGGAAAAAACCAAGAACAAGAATTAGCCCATAATGGCTCTATTCTGTTGCGCTTACAATCCCCTCCCCACACACACACACACACACACAGTGCGCCACGAGTTTTCTGTGCTAGCGCGTCGACAAGTCAGGACCACATCCGATGACAAAGAAAACGAAAGAAAAGAAGAAAAGCGGTCAACCGTTGAAACGGTGCGTGTCGTGCACGTGTATGTGAACACCCACACATACACATACACGCAAACACATATACCTATGAGTGCTGACGCAGTCACGCAGCACGACAGTTCGAAAAAAACAAATCCGAAACAGACAGCACAAGAGGCCTACAAATCAAACCGCTACGACGCAACAAGAGAGGGGAGGAGAGATAAATGCCATCTCACACCGTTAAACGCAGCACGCGCCTCTCGTTCACTTCTACGCGCATCTCCCCCTTCCTCTACACCTGACTCACTGGTTTCACCCCAGCGAATAAAACACTATGAAGAAAAATGCCAGCTGGGGCAACAACGTTTTCATCTTTCGAACCTGAATCCGGGGAAACTACTTCGTCAATGGTGCCGATACAAAGGGTGTAGGCGATACAGAGAGACAAAGTGCAAAGTTATTGCCCAGATGCTACGGTAAAGATGGTGAGAGCAAAACCCCCCCCCCTTCAAAAAAAAAAGTACAACTAATATGAAAGGAACAATGAAAGGGAAGAAAGAAGTGTCGAGTCAAAATATATATATTTAAAAAAAAAACTCAGTTGATCTCAAATGAAGAAAGCCGGCAAGGGCTACAATCAACTGTCTTAGAAACGATACAAAAACTTCAGATAATAAGAAGCATACGGATAATATGCACACGACGCAGTCCGCCTTCTTTCCTCCCTTGCCTTCCGTGGTGCATCAGGTGATCAAAGGATACTTTTTCTTTGGGGTGAAGGCAAGAGCACATGCAATAATCCCCTTTCCCCATTCCTCTCTACAATCTGTGTAGAAGAACAAGAAAAAAAACTCTTTCACCAGCCCGCTTTCCGTCACCGTTGATGCAGCCTCCTCATAGCGAAAGCAAGCTGTTGTTTTCTACCCGCAGTGTAAAATAAAGGAAACAAAAACTTCAGAAAACACACTCGTCTCTTCTTTCTTCACTAGGTCTCCGAACGGCCCCAGGACTTGCGCTCTGTCTCTGTGAAAGAGGCCATGTTGCGCACCCAGCGATAAAATGCGATGTTGTTCTCGCCAAACATCGCGTAGAACTGATCCACATCCTCCTTTGTGGGTTTGGCACCTCCCAGGAACAGGTGGCCCTTGAGGGTTTCCTCCATGCTATCCGCAGTGGCGCGCACACTCTTCACGTCAATCACGTTCGCCGGCGGCATTCTTTTTTTTTTACTACTTCTTTTCTTCCGGTTTTTCAATGGCCAATGAATACGTGGAAAGGAGACGCTAGAAAAATGAAGAAACGCGGTAGAGGAACGAGCGAGGTGCTGCAACGAAGCTTTTATTTGCGTGTAGCAAACGAAGAAGGAAGCATCAACTGTGAACTGAATTCTACAAAATGTGTTGCGCTGACGTACTTACAAGTGGATGTACAGTGTTTTGTGAGTTAATGGTAATTCGAGGAGGGAGAGGAGGGGAAAAAAGGCTTCGAGGCAAAACGGAAACGCGCAATGGAAGACCGTGAGGGGAACACGGAGATCTGGCATGATACGGGGCGATAGCAGATGATCGGGAGAGTAGATGGCACATTCCGTAAATGCAAGGAAAGATTTTGTGTGTGTGTGTGTGTTGGCGGCTTCTCCTTCTACTGCTACGCTTCCTTCAAGACTCTTCACCAACAATCGTCTGCACTCGCTTATTGGCACCGTGGGGAGGCGCAACACAAGCGGCCGCACAGAGGATACATAGAAATTGAGAACGGCAGAAAACAAAAGCAAGCATCCTACTCTCCGGCCCTCCTCCCTTCCCTTGTAAGGCTCTTGCCTTTCTAAAAGCGCTCGTGGGGGCCTCACAGTGTTCACGTCCTTCACTGAAACAGCGGACACCGTGTCACGACACCGCCGCGCGCTTCTCCATCACCGCTTTCTTTTACTTTCTTTCTTGTGTGATTCGGGTGCCGTGGTTGCCGGTTTTTTTATTACTAGTGCTGATTTAAAGCTCACGTTAAACAGTCGGGCTTCGACACTGCTAACCCCGATCATCGCACGTCAGAGTTCGAACAGCACGAGCGAATTCGCCGTGCGACTCGCTCATCTGTGCGCGCGAGTAAGCACAGCTGCCCCTCCAAACCCTCAAAAAAAAAAAAATAAATAAATAAATAAATAAAATAACGGAACGTAATGGAGGAAATAGTCAACTTAGCGTGAGCGAGAGAAACTCAATTGGCATCCCACATCCGCCGTCTCGTGCTTCGCCAGTCCGCCTCCCTTCACCGTCGACATTCGCGGCGCGCATGCTCACCCCTTTCTTTTGCATCTGACGATACGGCATGGCGAAGAAACGGCTAAAAAAACTTTCAAGTGCGTTTCACTGATGATCTTATTTCTGGTGTACTCGAAGACGCGCTATGATCTCTCGGATCAGCGATCCCGAGAAGACAGAAAGAGATGCAACAAAGCTCTTCTCTCGGCAAATGCGCACGCACGACTGGGCCGTGGTGCGGGCGGAGTCGCGCGCTTAGATCTTGTTCCACGCGACGATGTCCATGGACTGCACCTCATCCGTGAAGCCGGTGATCATGTCCTCCAGGTCGTCGCCGGACACCTTGTCGTCCTCGATCACGATCAGCTGCTGCAGCTTCTTCACGCCGAACGCGACCGGCACAAGCTTGTAGTCGCCCCAGATCAGACCGTCGCGCTGGATCGCGTGCAGCTTCTGCGCCAGCGCCTCCAGGTCCACCGTGTCGTCCCACGCCTTCACGTCGAACAGAATCGACGACTTCGCAATCACGTCCTTCTTCGCCTTCTTCTTCTCCGCGTCCGCCTTCTTCTTCGCCTCCAGCGCCGCCGCCTCCTCCTCCGTCGTCTCACCGAACAGGTCGATGTCGTCGTCCTCCTCCGCGGCAGCAGGGGCGGCAGGGGCGGCAGCCTTCGGCGCGGGCGCGGGAGTCGCCTTCTTCTCCGCCTTCTTCTCCTCAGCGGCGGGTGCGGCGGCAGCGGGCATGCGCAGCTCGGGGGCCGTCACCTTCACCGGCGCACCCCACGCCTTGCGCTCACCCTCCGAGTACGTCGCCATGTTCTTCGCCCACCGGTACAGGTTCGTGTGGCCGGCGCCCAGCAGGTCGTTGAACGCCTTCACGTCCTCAGCGGACGGTTTCGCGCCGCCGAGGAAGAGCTTGCCGCTCAGCTTGGACTCGAGGTCCGCCGACTTCTTGCACACGTCCTTCAGAGACATTGCTTCGCGTGGTAGCGGGTGGGTGGAAAGAGAGGCGCTTTGGGAAAGATAGAGAGAGATGAATGTGGCTCGATTTGGTTCTAGCGACAACGAGCGTGGGTCGGTGTGCGCGGATGACCAGCGCGGCGGTTGCAAAGACGGAGAAGAGAGATTGTTGTTGGGATGGAATGGAGGAGGGGCGAAGGGTTGGTGGAGAGCGAGGGTGAAAAGGCAGACGAACGCGTGCAGCGCCCAGAGTGCTCGTGAATAGAAGAAAAAGGAAGAGACGAGCTGCAGCTCCCGTGAAGCACGATGGAGTTCGATATCATCGGCGACTCAAAAAGGAGGCCTCTGATGGTGGCCTACGAGCCACGCTGTCGCGTTACGCGGAAAAGACGAAAGGCACTTCCTACGCAGAAGAGCACGTTTTGCTTCCGCTGTAGCGCTTGTGCGGATGCGCATCTTCAAGTCTCAAAGGAGGCCCGGCGCTTAAAAGGCGGCGAGAGGGAGTGCATGTGTGAGAGAAACATATATATGTTCAGCAGTGCCTCTCCCAACAGAGGATCAAGATCCCGACACAATTCTAATGCGTTGCCAACATCTTGAGCCGAAAAAGGCAGGATAAAGGAGGAGGATCACACACCGCTACCATGTTGGAGAGGCCGAAATGAACAATACGTGAAGGAAAGCGTACTGCGAGCCCACCATCTGCGGTCTCAGTTGCCTGCCAGGGCTTTCGCGTTGTTCCCCGCTTCATCATCGATACTCTTCGTCCTCTTTTCCTTTTTCCCTTTGGCTTCCATCAACGGGTATCATCGTGCGGCAGCACGACAACAGCGTCTCACTCGCAGAGCCACACTTCATAGCATGGCACAGCAGCATATACAATTTCGCCACCAAAAGAAGACAAAAACCAGCGGCCACACTCGCGCTCGTCGTGTGCTACTCCGCTTTCGCCTTCAGAAACAGAAGAGGAGGTCGGCAACTACGACCCCCCCCCCCTAAAAGCAGCGAGGTGCGAGAGAGAGCCGTCGCTCAAGCGCCGTCGCCAGTGGGGGCAACGTGGAACAAGGAGAATTCCCATCAGCCGCTGCTACACGGTGGTCGGTGACGTGCTCGTGACAGCGGAGGGCGGGTAAACGCGCAGCGTGCGCACCACCAGCTTCGCCTGTTCCAACACCGAGCCAACCGCCGAGCGCAAATCACGCTTCGAAGATGCTTGAATCGTCACGGAAACGGTACGCTGCGACGCGTCTTCGCTCCACCAGTACACCTGCTTCACTGTGCCGGTGATGACGGGGTCTGTCTTGAGCACCTTCCACAGCACACTTGCGGAGGCAGCGTCAGGCAGCGGCAGCCGCAGACTGCATTCGATAGTGGGCGCGCTGACTTTGCCTTTCCTGTGCGCTGCAGTGTCACCGGACATTGAGAGATGCGCTGAGACGTGCGTGACAGTGAAGGTCGCGTAGTTCACGCTGAAAGAGAACGCTTTGTTCTCGAACTTAGTGTTGCACGTACGCAAATAGAGAAAACAGAAAACAAATGTCACGTGAAGAAGAGAAAGGAAAAGGAGAAATTGACGTTTTCTTTTCTTTTTATTTTGTATTCACAACCACGTGGCTTGTGAACCTTAAACACGCACGGTATGCTTGGGGGGCTGAGGCATGCAATGCAACTGCAAACAAGGGACAAGAACTGCCGCTCAAGCGCGGATAGTAAAGCACGCATCAGGAGTTCGCCACACGTCCACAACCAGTCAATTTCTACCGTCGACATAAACAGCAGATGCGAGTAGCGGTTGTGAGGCTAGTATAGCAAAAGGAGCGAAAGACTGGTGGAAGGCCCAGTAGCTTTCGCTCCCTCCTCCCCCACCCCCTCCACCTCTCCTTTCTATTTCTTTTTTTTTGCTCTTTGAACGATCTGCAGCGAACGTCCAAGAATGCGCCTTGGCTTCGTATTGGTTTGATGGAGTTTGAGACATCTCTCCGTTTCTCTTCTATCGAATCCTCAGTGTTATTCATACAACTTCTTTGAAAAAAAAACTAAAAAGAACAGAAAATATAATTAGGTCGTTTGAGGAAAAAAAAAAACATTGTGAAAGAAAAAGGAAAAGGAAAGGTTCGACACGCGACGCAAACGTTATGAGCCTCAAAAGCGCCTGGTGAAGTACTCCGTTCTTTTTAATTTGTTTTTCCTCTGGTTAACGTTGGATGAGACATCAAAACAAAAACATCAACGACAGAGCGACGCTTCCGTGCAGCGTTAGATGTGCAAAGACCAAGAAAAAAAAAAAAGAAAGAAAAAGAGAGGGAGAAAGGCACGCAGTCTCTTTAAAATAAAAGAAGAAAAAGCCAGCTGTTGAGGTGGGGCCACCAAGATGTACATTACGAGACGAACAGGACAGCAAAAAGGTGAGACCGAAACACAAAATAGAGGAGAGTTAAAGAAAGCAGAAAGACAATTAGAGCAAAGTTAAAAAAAGAAAAAACACAGGAAAAAAAAAGAAAAAAGGCACAGTTGTCGGAGAGGCGGTTGTACACACACAACAGCCTTCTTTTTGCTATCGATGAGATTGTGTCGAAGCGACGTGCAACGGTGAGGAAACCCCCGAAAAAAAAAAAATCAGTGGAAGAAATCGTTGTGTTCAACGCACGAAATACATCGGCATTTTTGCACGAGTTAGTGATACATTTTCAACATAAGCTGAGCGCACAGAACGAACAGCGTACAGATCCTGCATCTTTGTGAAGTTATCTCCCTTTATTCTGCAGAGTTGATTGGTAAAAGAAAAACCACGAGAATCAGCGAAACAAAAAATAATAAAGACGACGTGCGACGGGTGATGAAGAAGAGGAAGAGAGAAGACACCAAAAGAGACGCAGTCCTTACTGTGTCTTTACCTGGATCCCCCAACCTGAAAAGAAAGAAGAGCCCTCGTAAACATCAATTTCAGCACAGAGAAAAGGAAAGTAAAAGGGGAAAAGCGCACGGATACACGCACCTCCTGGACCCTGTTGGAACCTGGGAAGTGTGTTCGTTTCCAAGATGCAGAGTATAGGCATGGTGCTTTGCTACCCAGAATATATTCTCTTTAAAACGAGAGAAGAAAAAGGAAGGGGCAAGAGCAGTTGTTTGCAGTGCCCTCCTCGTTATGCAATCTCACCATGGAATGCAACCACTCACATACACGCACGATAGGCAGAGAAAAAAAAAACGCAGCAGCATTCACCTGTCCACCTTCACTCACACATGCAAATGACAGTGCGGATGTGTAGCTGTACACCTCGACAGCGCTCAGAAGAAGAAAAAAAAAAAAGAGAGAGAGACGCAGACACGATTACACAATGTGTTGCAGTAAAACAGAAGATATATATATATATATATATTAGAACGCAATAAAAGAAGAGTCACAGCAGCAACCAAGGATTTTTACTTTTGTTATAGATAAATCATTTGCATAAATGTATTTGATCAGGCTGAAGCACAGCTTGTTGTGTGTTTTGCACCCTGTTCATATGGTTACACATTGGTGTACTACAACGCAATGTGCTTCAATTCAGGCTATTTAGTCACCACTCCACCGCCTTTTTGGCAGATGTCACCGAGTAACACAAGAAGAAGCAAAACACCGAAATGTCTTCGACAAACAATTAGTGGGAGATCAACTTCAAGTTCCATATAATTATTTGTACTGTTTATAATGTTCGTGGCTCTACCAGAAAGAAGAACCAAGGCACCGAAAGGGAGCACCTCGCTTTCTCCTTCTTTTCGCCTCACCTCGCGCTCCTTCTTCGCCCAGAAAACCTGCATAACGTTTTGGCAGTCAGATCCGACCAAGATCGGAAGCGTCGCCTATCATCAAAAACCAAAAAAGAAGGGGAGGAGTAAGAGAAGGAAGAGAGGAAGAGAGGAAGACAAGACACAATGGAGGGAAAATGATAAGAAGACGGAAAAAAAAAAAGAAAGAGGAGAGCCGCGTGCCACATAAAATACAAAACCATATATATATATATATTGAAGGAGACAAAGTCCAGAAAGGTGCCAAAGCCCGAATGGAAGACGTGCTATATCGGGAAAAAGCGAGTCGCGTTCGAAGGGGCGGTTACGCAAGCATCTGCAGCCTACGCTGCCACCTGCTCTCGGGGGGAAAGCTACTTTAAAAAAAAAAAACACAAAAAAAAGACCAGCAAAGAAGAAAAGGGAGAAAAGATCGTAACACGCGAAAAGAAGAGAGAGAAGATCAAGAGAAAGTTCTACGAGTTACAACAAACTAAAGGTACATATCCTACATCGAGAAAGAGGAAAAGCCAACGCAAGCAAAGGGACATCATTCTTCTCACTAGAGAGAGAGAGAGAGAGAACAGAGGAAAGGAAAGACAGCGTAATCACACACGAGAAACACACAAACAAAGAAAGAAACGAAGAAGGAAAGAGATTCAAAAGAGGCGACTTTCCAATGTATTCACTACAGCACAAAACAGCACGAGACCCTTTGTCACCACCAGCTATTTACATAGAGCTCCACTCCACATGCCATCAGAAGGATCTCGATAACACGAAAACGTCGAAAGGCCGACAGCAAAAGCCAGCTGGACAAATGGAGAGAAACTGAAAAGGGGAAAACGAGAAGGGGAAAAGAAAAAAGGAAATACTAAGTTGAACTATAACAATTCAGTGCTATATATATATATATAATTTAAAAAAAAACAAAAACAAATAAACATATTAATAAAAAGTCTGAAAAGCCGCGCGAAAACAAAACAGGGGGCAAAGCGAATAGCGGCGGGTACATCGATAACTCACGGCTCTTCTACTTTCTCTTTTTTCACTACATTAGAGCCTCGCCACTGGTTTTAAGGAAAAGAGCCACACGCAAGGAAACAGGGGAAACAATATATATATAAACGGCCGTAGGACTTTCTGTGCCGGCTGAGGAACATCAGAACACCTCCGTTGCACCCCCAGCACAAGAAACAACAGGCTCAGCTAACACAGGAGCGATGGGGGTGGGGGAGAAGATGGACAATCGAAACGTGGCGCCCACAGCACATGAGATACACTGAAGCCGCAACGTTTGGCTATGTAGGACTCCGTTGTTTTCCAGCGCAGTTTCGCTCTCCCCTTTTCATTCCCCGCTGCCTCACACAACTCTGCAGCTGCCCTTCTTGCAGGCATCGGGTCGTCTACTTGTTTGCGGGAATAATCAGGAAGGAGCACTGCAGCTTCTCGTCGATGTCATCACGGCAGCGTCGTTGTCGAACTCGCCGCAGTAGTTCGGTGCAGAGAACACCGTCACCAGCTGGCGGCTCGCAAAGAACCCGTACCCGCGCTCCATCACCTGGTGCGCTCGCACAATCAAATCCATGTCTACCATGTCCAGGAAGTCGTTCACGATGTCCTCGCCGAACAGGTAGCTCACGCCGCGGTCGCTCTCTAAGAAGCCCTGCACGTCATCCTCCGGGTCAGCCCACAGCAGGTCGCACAGGATACCGCGATCGGGGACATCACATGGGCGATCGATGTCATCACGGAAGCTACAGATGTCAAGTCCGGACTAAGGCCGCCGTGCATACAGATTATCTTTTCGCTAATCACGCAGCACACAGGCATCGTGTTGAATACATCCGTAAAGGTCTTAAAGAGCTTGATGTTGTACCGGCGCTTCACGTCATCGAAGAAGCCGTACATCTTATTGATACTAGCGCACTCGTGGTTGCCGCGCAGGAGAAAGAAGTTCTCTCGGTAGATGATCTTGTAGCAATACAGAAGAATGATGTTCTCTACGCTGTGCTTGCCGCGGTCTACGTAGTCGCCAAGGAACAGGTAGTTCGAGTACGGAGGGAAGCCACACTTCTCGAAAATGCGAAGGAGATCGTAGTACTGGCCGTGCGTGTCACCACACACGCGCACCGGTGGGCGAATCTCTAGCAGCATCGGCTGCGCCATAAAAATCTCCCGCACCTCGGTGAGTACGGCACGGATCTCCTCCTCCTTTATCAAAATTTGGCGCTGCATGCGGTTGCCCTTCACGGTGAGCATCTTCTCGATGAGAGCCTGCACCATGGGGAAAATGGCTGCATTGCTCATCGTTGACGCCGCACGGGACCCTCCGGTTTGTTTTTACGAGTAACGAAACTAGAAATAACGAAAGACTTCCGTAGTCAGGCAGCCGCTGAAGGGCAGAAGCGCGAACGAAGGCCCGTTGTTGGCAGCACTGATGTATGCGTAGTGCGTACGGTGGTCTTGGTAGAAACGGGGGGGGATACGAGAGGAGGGGAGGGAGGGAGGGAAGAAGAGAATAAGAAGAAAAAAACTCCCAAAGGTGAAGCGGAACGTACAGCTCCCGGATTGTGTTGTTTTCTTTTCTTTTTTTGAGGAGGAGTAAAGGTTCGTGTAGCGAAGTAAGAAAGCGGGAAATAATTCTTTAAAAAGGGAAAAAGGGAAAACGACACCCTTGACGGGTTTACAAAAAAAAAGGCCAGCTAAGAATTCCTCTGCTCCTGCGAAGAAGCGAAGAATGCAGTTGAAAGAGGTTCCTGATGCAGTACTTAAACACGATACTTCATTTCACAAATTCTACGAACACAGCAGAGCGGGCGAGAAAGGGAGGGAGGGAGAGAGGTAGAAGGTGATGAGAACCACGTACAGTGGTCACACAAACATACAAAAGGGAAGTTCGGCCGGCTCCTGTGCTAGCGCTCACTTCACTGAGAGCATCATACAAGCAGGGGTAGCGTTACGCGTGCTGCTGAGAAGTCACAGGCTAAGCATTGCAAAAAAGGGGGAAGAAAGGAGTAATGGAACACGCAGAAGCGGACGCACGTACTTTTTGTGTTTGTGACCATAAACCAGCTGCACCAATGTACCACAGCTGCCCACATTACAGTCTTTCGTTCCTCCTGTTGAGCCGCCACTCGCTTTATTAATAACTCTTTTTTATTATTATGGTCGTGTTGCCGTGGTTGTTACTTTTTGATTTGAGTAAGAATGTGAACCAAAAAAAAGGAGGGGAAAAGGAAAAAAGGAAACCCCAAGGTTTCAAAACAGTTCAAAAAAAAAAATTTAACGGAGAATTGTGCAGTGGTAAGAAGGAGGAGCGTGTTGCACACCCAATAAAACTCAATCACCTGAAAAGAAACAAGAGGAATAGAAAAGAAACACAAGCGGATTCACGTGTGAGAAATAAGAATGGGTCGTAGCACCTGTTTTCGTGTAAGTGCCCGGCGGTGCGTGTGTGTATGGGTGTGTTCATTTCGCGCAGACGATTCTTTTATTATTATTATTTCCTCTTGTCTATTTCAGTGTATCCGTGCCTCTGCCACTTTAATGTGGATGTGCTTGAATCTTCTGTGTCACACCCGCGTAGCCCCACAACAGCACTCCTACCGTCAACGTAGGTGAGCATTGGCGGTGGCGTCCCTTTCGCGCATCCACGACGGCCACCCACGATGATGGGCACCGTACCCATAAATTCAATGGCTGCGAAACAGAAACATTAAAAATGGAAAAAAAGGAAACGATGTCTGCCACCCTCTCAACGGCGGACTTTTCCGTAGTCGATGGAAACGGTGGATAGAGTGTTTTGCTGCTGCCTCGCATACGCACGGCGCAACGCCTTTTCAGATCACATTTACGAACAACGAACAGAGGAGGAGGAGCACAGCCTGCTGTGAAGAATATAAAACCAGAAGAGATGTTTATTGAGGCTTCACCTTCACAAGAAACGAAAAAAAGAAATAAAGGATAATGAAACGAAGCAAATGCATCGTGAATTTAGCGAAAGTGTAAGAAGAGAGAAAGTAAATGAAAAGGATAAAACAAACAAAAAAGAAGCAAAACGAGAACGAGACTCCGCGAGTGAAAAAGCACCCCCTCAGAAAAAAGAAATCCATTCATTTACTGTTTCCATAACACAACTCTGATGACGAGGGCTCCTCGGGGCAACGCATCCACGTTTGGGGGGAAGGGAGGGGGGATGGGGGAAGCGCAATTCCCATTTCCCCGCCAAACTAAAACGCGCGACACACACACACACACACGATCCCGCCTACCGCCTCATGAAATGGAAAGAAACGCTGCCCGTGAACAGCTAAATAAAATAATACTAATAACAATAATAATGATGCATCAACACATTTCAATCACTCCCGCTCCACTTTCACCTAATCCGCTCGATTCACACCGGATGGAATAGATATATAGGAAAGCAGTACGCTGCGGGCCTGCCAATGAAGACGTTTCGCTAACTCCACATTCACTTGCATTAAAATAATTAACAGACGAATACCTCGAAACGAACGAACCAAGCGGGAAAAAGAAGTGTATAAAATGTGGTGAACCCTTCACTGCAACCTCTAACCGTGCTCTTTGGGTGATCTGTTTCGCGTTGCGATACAGCTGTGTCAGCGGAGAAAAGAGGGGAGAAAAAAGATCGAGTTCTAGTCTACTAGAAGAAACAACAGCTGAAGCAGAGAGGACGAACAAGGAGGTATAGCACCGCACATACTTCTTTTTTTTGATTGCATGTAAATATAGAAAAAAGAGAAAACGCTGCCGTGCAATTGTACATGTTAACTTCGTCGAACCAGCGAAGGAGCTGAAACCAACGGAGCACTGCAGCTTGTCGTCGATCGTCATCACGGCAGCGTCGTTGTCGAACTCGCCGCAGTAGTTCGGTGCAGAGAACACCGTCACCAGCTGGCGGCTCGCAAAGAACCCGTACCCGCGCTCCATCACCTGGTGCGCTCGCACAATCAAATCCATGTCTACCATGTCCAGGAAGTCGTTCACGATGTCCTCGCCGAACAGGTAGCTCACGCCGCGGTCGCTCTCTAAGAAGCCCTGCACGTCATCCTCCGGGTCAGCCCACAGCAGGTCGCACAGGATACCGCGATCGGGGACATCACATGGGCGATCGATGTCAAGGACGGCACCGACAGATGTCAAGTCCGGACTAAGGCCGCCGTGCATACAGATTATCCGCTCACTAATAACGCAGCACACAGGCATCGTGTTGAATACATCCGTAAAGGTCTTAAAGAGCTTGATGTTGTACCGGCGCTTCACGTCATCGAAGAAGCCGTACATCTTATTGATACTAGCGCACTCGTGGTTGCCGCGCAGGAGAAAGAAGTTCTCGGGGTAGATGATCTTGTAGCAGAACTGCAGCATGATCGTTTCAATGCTGTGCTTGCCGCGGTCTACGTAGTCGCCAAGGAACAGGTAGTTCGAGTACGGAGGGAAGCCACACTTCTCATAAATGCGGAGGAGATCGTAGTACTGGCCGTGCGTGTCACCACACACGCGCACCGGTGGGCGAATCTCTAGCAGCATCGGCTGAGACATAAAGACTTCTCGCACCACCCGTAAAACAGTCCGTATTTCTTCTTCTTTTATTAGAATTTGGCGCTGGATGCGCGTGTCCCGCGCCGTGAGCATCTTCTCCACCAGGCTCTGAACTAACGGCAGCACTGACTGATTCATTTTCGGCCTTCAGTCGTTGATGTTTTGGAGGGCTATTAAATCCGCCTGGCGGTGATTTACGGGTATCAATTAACGTGCAGGAATGCTTAAAGTGAGGGCAGATATTTAGAAAAGACTGCTTGCTCACGTTTTTGGGGGGATGCGTGTACGCGAGCGTTACAGGTGTGTGAGGGTTTGACGCTCCACAGCACGAAGAATAGATGTGGTTGCTGTGTTGCCGCCAAGACAAGACAGCAGAGTGAGGCAGGAGAGATTGCAATCAACAACTCATGAACGACGATGACGAGGCGATATGGGGAGCAGAGGTTCAATTTCATTTAGCGTGGAATGTGAGCATTGAGTTACTCACCAACGTTGTTTTTGTTGGTGGTTCTTGTTGTGTGTGAGTGTGAGGGATACGATGCTCCGCAGAAGCCAAACGTAGAAAGCACGAAGAGTTTTTCCTCTCATCATGGCATGCGGCTTCTCCAACCCGCACTTCTCTTCTTCTTTTCATTACGCAGCACCGGTCAAAGCCTTTTCCCCCGAGGCTTTGTCTCTCATGCGGCGGATCACACAACTCGAGCATCCTTCCTCGGGGTTTTTTTCCTTCAAATGAGATTCCTCCACTTGTGTCCGCGCACTGTACTTCATTGATTTGAGCTGAGAGCTTCTTTTTTTGGTGTGTGTGTGTGTGTGTGTGTGTGCTTGTCGAGTACATTGTGTATCTCCAATGTATATTAATATACATCTCTTCTCTATCTGGAATACACGTGCATTTCTTGAATATCAAAGAGGTCGCCACGTGAAAAGCAAACATTTAAAAAGACAAAACAACATGGAATACACATACGCAGTTTCTTCCTCTCTCGCTCAACAGTTCACCTTTAATCGTGAAGTATAAAAAGACCAGAAAAAAGCGGGTATTTCTTAGCAACAAACATACAAGGAAAAGAGGGAAAGGTAATGTACGGTCTGGATACAAAATAGAATTGAAAAAAAAAAGCTTACGTGAGGAAGAAAGACGGAGGGAATTAAATAAAGCTGACAATGCGAGCCTAGATAGGAGGTTCCCTTTTCACCTCACTACCTAGATGTTTACTGAAAGGAAAACAATCGCCCCACACTCACACCTTTAAAGTCTGCTTTGCGTGTAAGCTCGCCATTTTCTTCCACTCCCTCCCTCTCCATCACCTCTTCCTTCATGTATAGCACCTAGGTTTGTTATTCTCCTCCTCTTTAGTTATTGTTATGATTCCAGTAAAACTCGGAGCACAGCAGCGGAGATTGCTCGACACGGGAAGGGAAAGCAGAAGAAAAAAAAACTATGGTCGAGCCAAGGTAGAAGCAGTTCGTCCTCCTTCTCTCAAATAGACAAAAATGAAAGGAGAGGAACACGCAGCAGCACAGCAACACCAAATGAAAAATGCGGCGCATCCGCCCACACGATGCACGCCGTCACCCCCACTCATTAGAAGCGAGAGACGGCAACGGGGCTGCAACACCACATCACGCTATTCTAAAGAAAGAATAATGATATTACTAATTTGAGTCCGGTGCATGAGCGAAAGTGAAGTAGGTGTGACCACACAGGAGAGGAAAAAAGGTTGGGATACCACTGCACCTTGAGGAAAGCACATGCGCAGTGATGACGTATAGAAATAGAAAAAGGAGTGTAGACAAAACCCCGACACCAACAATAAAGAGAAAGGAAAAAAAACAGTTATAGACACAACCACAAAAGCAGCTAACAGTTAGGTTGTGAAGTTCACAAGAATAAAAAAATGTGGCGTCTCAGAAATGAGAGGAAAAGAAACGGGAAAAAAAAGAGGGTTGTCATGCGTCAATCGAAAAGAGAATACAGAAGATGCGCTCGAAACGCGGTTGCAATGAGCCCGTTACTTTACAAACAAGGTGAAGTAATGGATGCGAGGAGACAAAATAACAAATGGGATTTGTGACTACTTCATGGCGGGAATAATCAGGAAGGAGCACTGCAGCTTGTCGTCGATCGTCATCACGGCAGCGTCGTTGTCGAACTCGCCGCAGTAGTTCGGTGCAGAGAACACCGTCACCAGCTGGCGGCTCGCGAAAAACTCATATCCGCGTTGAACTACCTGATGCGCCCGCACAATCAAATCCATGTCTACCATGTCCAGGAAGTCGTTCACGATGTCCTCGCCGAACAGGTAGCTCACGCCGCGGTCGCTCTCTAAGAAACCTCGAACTTCGCTTTCTGGGTCAGCCCACAAGATGTCGCACAGGATACCGCGATCGGGGACATCACATGGACGCATAATCTCATTAACCGAGCTAAGACTCGTGAGGTCCGGACTAAGACCGCCGTGCATACAGATTATCTTTTCGCTAATCACGCAGCACACAGGCATCGTGTTGAATACATCCGTAAAGGCTTTAAAGAGCTTGATGTTGTACCGGCGCTTCACATCATCGAAGAAGCCGTAGATGCGATTAATACTGGCGCACTCGTGGTTGCCGCGCAGGAGAAAGAAGTTCTCGGGGTAGATGATCTTGTAGCAGAACTGCAGCATGATCGTTTCTACACTATGGTGGCCGCGGTCCACGTAGTCGCCAAGGAACAGGTAGTTCGAGTACGGAGGGAAGCCACACTTCTCATAAATGCGGAGGAGATCGTAGTACTGGCCGTGTGTGTCACCACACACGCGCACCGGTGGGCGAATCTCTAGCAGCATCGGCTGCGCCATAAAAATCTCCCGCACAAGCCCCAAGACCACCTTGATATCCTCCTCACGGATGAGCACCTGTCGCTGAATGGGTATGTTGCGGACAGCCAGAAGTCGCTCAATGAGCATCTGTGGTACCGACAACGACGCGGTGGACGTTGTTGGAGGCATTTTCCTTTTTTTCTCTCTTCTGTGGGGAGGGGAGTTCGCGCTCTACCTAAGCTCGATATGCCACCAAGCGCCTTTGGAGACTTCTCGTTCTCCTTTTGTTGCTGTTGGTGAACAACCGCTTATGGATAGAAAGCAAAAGATAACTCGTCTGTAAGTACAATAATAATAAAAGGTCAGAAATATTAAAAGAAAAACAAAGAGGTAATGTGTAAGGGCTTTTGGAAAGCACCCACTTCCGCTTAAAGAACTCCGGGTGAGTTTATACGAACTTTCGCACCTTCTTATATATATATTTTTGCCACAAGAATCAGCGAGTATGCAGCGTGAGGTAAGGTGTATTTCCTCCTTGGTTGTTGCTGGTGATGTGCAAGACAGCTTGTCTGCAAGACGTACCGATGAGTCCTTGAGACTTCTCAACACTGCAAGCAGGACAAAAAGAAAAAGAAAAACGGAGGACGTAGTGAGTTGTGACAAAAGAGCAGAGGGAAAAAGGCAAGAAGATGCAGGGAAGGAACTCGTTCGTTAAACGGGAATGACAAAGGTCTCTTTTTGGAATCTTCTATCTCCTCCAGCTCTTTCATAGGACTCTTACATAAAATACAAACATTCATAGTCGGCGCTTCGCAGCCGTAATAGCCAGAAGCTCTGGGCTCGACCATCCTTCCTTTTTTCCTTTCTTTCTCTTTGGTGTGTGTGCTTCTTGATGCGTCGTGCTTGCGAGCACGCGTCTGAAGGTAATAAACGTCGGCTACCCCTGTGATCCCTTCCTACCTTCGTTGCGGTCGACGAAGAAAGAAAGAGAGAAAAAAAAACGAATCAATCTTCGTGCTCCGCTCCACTATACATTTTGGTCGCTGTTTCGCTGCTCCGCGTAGTTCGGGTTGCGTGTAGGCAACGCATGTGTGTCAGCAGCGGAACGAAAGGAGAGAGAAGGAAGAAAAAAAACAAAAACAACAGGAAAAGTGCAAAAACACAAAACCCACTTCAACATGAGATGGCAGCAGTTCACCTAAATACGCATCTATGGCTTCTACATCCACAATATGCACCACACTGCAACAGCGATTCTCATTACCTAACGACGGCATGCAGTACATACAACGTAAAGGAGCAAAACCGAAAAAAGATGAAGAGGGGCGCTCTTTACTGAGTAAAACCAGACAAACCTGCACATGCTGCTGGCTTGATCGCATCAGCATTTTCTCGTTTCCTGATGCCTCAAAGGAAAGTAAAAAAAAAAGGACAGCTTCCTGTTCTCGTGTGTGCAGGCTCACGCACGCCACTTGTGCACTCTTCTACATAAAAAAAAAAGTGCGATGCTGGCTCTCCTACAAGCTTTGTTACGGTCTAATTACTGTCCAGAGAAGATTCGTACAAATAAACAAACAAATAATAGTAGTAAAACCACGACCTGCAGCACCAAAAAAAAAGTTACCAACATTAAAAACAAATAAAAGAACGTAGAATGAAAAGAGTAAGGCGAGTTCATCACAAAACGCCGGCTGAGGCTTTAAAAAAAAAGGCAAAAATCAGCCAAAAGGAAAAAAAGAGAGCTTTCAAAGAGCTTCGTGTCTGCGGTAGACAAGAACAGAACGGAATACCACTGCACGATTCGCAAATACCCAGCCAACGGCATTTCGCCTCCGCCGTGTGGGAAACACCAGAAAACTAAAGAGGAAAGCCAAGAAAGAAAAAACAATCGATAGAATCCATACAAAGAAGCTAGGTAATAGAAAGCCAGAGCAAAACAAAAAACTACAAAAAATGAAAAATGAAGGGGAAAAAAGTCCACACGAGAAGACGCTAGAGAGTGTCAATTACCATATATTTCCGTTCCGCTTAAACGCACATCACCAACAATCTATCGAGCAGTGAACCTTTCATAAAAACAAAAACAACAGGTACTGAATGCAAAACTAAAAAGGATATTTTGGTAAATAAATAAAAAGAACACAAACTACGATGGCAGATTCAAGTAGAAATTCTCCTCATCTCACGAGAAATTGGACGTAGCTAGATCCGTTATGCAAAGAAGGAAAGCAAAAGAAATTAAAACTAGTAAAACAGAAAAAGCATTGCACATGTGAGGTCGAATAACGCACGACCAGCGCGGCGCTCGCACAGTGACCGCCTTCTCTTTGCCTTTTTGGCGTGTCACGAACACCCTTTCTTTCATCCCTAAAATGACGATTCACTGACGTGAAATAAAATACGATTAGAGCAGTTCTTCTTTCCTTTTTAAAACGAGAGATAAATCATCAGAAAAAAGAACAAGGAGAGATAGTTGGGGCTAATAATACAATTGAAAAGGCGTAGAGGGCACAAGCAGTCTTCCTCTGGCTGCGCGCACCATCGCATCTGCCGGAAAGTTTTACTCGTGCCATTTCTTTTCGAGAAACAGAAAGCAGCAACGAAGAATAAAATAAAATAGCAGGTTTGCCAGTTTCTAAGCTGGCTTCTAACGAGCTTCAGCAGTATATGCCTTTGGAAACCAAATGCACTCCTCATCGCAACCTCTCATCAGCTGAGAACGCCGGGACAGTGCTTTCTACTTTACTATACTGCCTGTTGAGTTCCTCTCCTTTTCCGCCGCGAAAAAAGCTGCTCCGGCCGCCGTCGGCTTCGTTAGGGGAACACGCGCTGGTAATAGTTTTCTGCCTATCGAAAGGCGGGAATAATCAGGAAGGAGCACTGCAGCTTGTCGTCGATCGTCATCACGGCAGCGTCGTTGTCGAACTCGCCGCAGTAGTTCGGTGCAGAGAACACCGTCACCAGCTGGCGGCTCGCAAAGAACCCGTACCCGCGCTCCATCACCTGGTGCGCTCGCACAATCAAATCCATGTCTACCATGTCCAGGAAGTCGTTCACGATGTCCTCGCCGAACAGGTAGCTCACGCCGCGGTCGCTCTCTAAGAAGCCCTGCACGTCATCCTCCGGGTCAGCCCACAGCAGGTCGCACAGGATACCGCGATCGGGGACATCACATGGGCGATCGATGTCAAGGACGGCACCGACAGATGTCAAGTCCGGACTAAGGCCGCCGTGCATACAGATTATCTTTTCGCTAATCACGCAGCACACAGGCATCGTGTTGAATACATCCGTGAAAGCTTTCAACAGGCGCATGTTGTATCGGCGCTTCACGTCATCGAAGAAGCCGTAGATGCGATTAATACTGGCGCACTCGTGGTTGCCGCGCAGGAGAAAGAAGTTCTCGGGGTAGATGATCTTGTAGCAGAACTGCAGCATGATCGTTTCAATGCTGTGCTTGCCGCGGTCTACGTAGTCGCCAAGGAACAGGTAGTTCGAGTACGGAGGGAAGCCACACTTCTCATAAATGCGGAGGAGATCGTAGTACTGGCCGTGCGTGTCACCACACACGCGCACCGGTGGGCGAATCTCTAGCAGCATCAGCTGAGACATAAAAATCTCCCGCACCTCGGTGAGTACGGCACGGATCTACTCCTCCTTGACCAAAATATAAGGATGAGTTGGGTCCGTCTTTTGAGTAACCAATCGCTCCGCCAGCCCCTGAAACGTAGAGACTTTCGCAGGGCTGCTCATGACGAGTGGTGTTTTGCCCCCTTTCTTGTGAGTGCGTGTGCGTATGCTTGCGCAATGCTTCTTTTTAATTATTATTTGGGTTGACCGAATGAGTACATTTGCGTCAATGACTAGCAATCCAAATCACAGAACGAAGAGTGGAAAAAACCAACGAGTGAAGAGGTACAACTGCGAGTTAGTTTGGACTGCTGCTGGCTTTCACCTCCTTCGGCGGTTTAACGCACCAGGCCGGAAAAGCGGCTTTCATTTCCGCAGAGAGGCACGCAAAAAGCGACCGCGCAGCAGTCAGAGTCGACGACTTAGAGTGTTGCGAAGGGAGGACAGCAGAGAGCATAGAGTCGGTGCGCGGCAAAGCGATCGCGTTGAAGGAATTGTTTGTGTGCTTGTGTGTGTGTGTGTGTCTGTGTGTTTGCGTGTTGCTCGAGGACTAACGCAAGTTTTCCATATAAATCAAAATCCTAAATTTTTTATTCGCAAATTTTTCTCCCAGCAAAAAATGAGGCACCTCTAAAAGTAGTCATAACAAACACACTCCAGAAAAAAAAGAAAAAGAAAAGAAAAGCAGCCTCCGAAAGTGGTATTCACCTCGTTTATTCGCTCCTCTTCGCATTCAGAAGTGTCAAACATTCGCACCATTCCAAATAAATATTAAAAAAAAAAGATAAGAAATGAAAAGATGATCTGAAAAAAAAAGGTGAGAGAAAAAAAAGGACCGCACCGATACAAAAAGCCGCGTCGTACGCAGGACACGCTGTGCGTGAGAGAAGTCTGGAAACGCAAGAGCGAAGAAAAGCACAACCTATGTCCGCCGTCGTCACTGCGGTGAGCGTCCGCAAAAAAGAGGAAAACAAAAGAATCAATTAATCATTATATAATTAACACTACAGAGCGGAATAGACTCCGTACGGGATTGGCCCTAGTAAGCGCAAGACGCTTGCGCGAAGGCGACGCCAAACATGTGCGTGTTGTAAAGCCTCTTCTCCTCCCGTAACGATGCGAAGAGCAAGAAGCTTAAAAGGAAAAAAAAATCAGGTCTGGGACCAAAAATACGTTCAAGACAACTCTTCCTCCATCAGAAAGAAAACCCCACAAAAAAGAGAGAACAACACGATTGTTGATGCGGATAGCATAACGGCGCAAAGAAGACCGTTAAAGCAGGGCCACACAGGAAGAAGGAGGACTAAAATACGAGAGAAAAAATAAAACGTCTTCAACTGAAGAAAACAAAAGGGAAGAGCGGTTGTCGATCATCTAAGCAGCCCTTTAAGACTAATACACACAGTTCTCCTTAGCAAACACAATGAGCTGCAACGGGGTTGTTACGCTTAACAAACAATAGATACATACATACATCAACACGGGAAAAAAAAAACGATTTTCCTTTTACACAGCATTCAAAGGAACCGAAGCACTAAAGGAAAAGGATAAAAATAGGAACAAAAGAAAACCAATGTGCAACTTACGAAACACCGCGCCAAACACCTGGTCAACACACACGAAGTACTTCACTTCGGGTACAAATTCACGCACAGCAGTGCTGTCGATAACTGGAGGTACAAGAGAAAGAGAAAACAAGATCATACAGACATAAGAATGTTCACACACACACATACACAAACCTGATAAAACCAGAAAGAAGAAGAAGATGCAAACAAACGGGATCACTTAACGACCCACATACACACAACCCGTCCCATACCAAAAAAAGAAACGAGACGTATTTCCAGGACGAAAGAAATGCAGCACACAACAAGAGAAAGGATACACTTCGAAAACAAAAATGCTATTTAAGAGAAAAAAAACACTAAACGCTTTGTGAATCAAGCACCATCTTGAAGAGTAGAAAACTCTACGTTAGTTCGTACTCGTTCATCTTCAGTGATCATGCACGGATAAGTGAAGAAAGGTTCACGCGGTGGGACAACTGACATCCTCCACAGTTGCCACAAGATTACCAACCCTTTCGAGACACACCGACAACAAAGTACAAGAATGAAAACGACAGAAATAATAAATCAAGACCGGGTGTTGAGTAGAAAAACAGAAGTTGTGGAGTTACGCACAAAGAAGAAAAAGAACCCCTGCGAACGTTCAACTGTAACGTAAAATAGCGTTGTCACAGCACCCACCATGCTGTCGTCTCCTACGACTTAGAAGCGGGAATAATCAGGAAGGAGCACTGCAGCTTGTCGTCGATCGTCATCACGGCAGCGTCGTTGTCGAACTCGCCGCAGTAGTTCGGTGCAGAGAACACCGTCACCAGCTGGCGGCTCGCAAAGAACCCGTACCCGCGCTCCATCACCTGGTGCGCTCGCACAATCAAATCCATGTCTACCATGTCCAGGAAGTCGTTCACGATGTCCTCGCCGAACAGGTAGCTCACGCCGCGGTCGCTCTCTAAGAAGCCCTGCACGTCATCCTCCGGGTCAGCCCACAGCAGGTCGCACAGGATACCGCGATCGGGGACATCACATGGGCGATCGATGTCAAGGACGGCACCGACAGATGTCAAGTCCGGACTAAGGCCGCCGTGCATACAGATTATCCGCTCACTAATAACGCAGCACACAGGCATCGTGTTGAATACATCCGTAAAGGTCTTAAAGAGCTTGATGTTGTACCGGCGCTTCACGTCATCGAAGAAGCCGTACATCTTATTGATACTAGCGCACTCGTGGTTGCCGCGCAGGAGAAAGAAGTTCTCGGGGTAGATGATCTTGTAGCAGAACTGCAGCATGATCGTTTCAATGCTGTGCTTGCCGCGGTCTACGTAGTCGCCAAGGAACAGGTAGTTCGAGTACGGAGGGAAGCCACACTTCTCATAAATGCGGAGGAGATCGTAGTACTGGCCGTGCGTGTCACCACACACGCGCACCGGTGGGCGAATCTCTAGCAGCATCGGCTGAGACATAAAGACTTCTCGCACCACCCGTAAAACAGTCCGTATTTCTTCTTCTTTTATTAGAATTTGGCGCTGGATGCGCGTGTCCCGCGCCGTGAGCATCTTCTCCACCAGGCTCTGAACTAACGGCAGCACTGACTGATTCATTTTCGGCCTTCAGTCGTTGATGTTTTGGAGGGCTATTAAATCCGCCTGGCGGTGATTTACGGGTATCAATTAACGTGCAGGAATGCTTAAAGTGAGGGCAGATATTTAGAAAAGACTGCTTGCTCACGTTTTTGGGGGGATGCGTGTACGCGAGCGTTACAGGTGTGTGAGGGTTTGACGCTCCACAGCACGAAGAATAGATGTGGTTGCTGTGTTGCCGCCAAGACAAGACAGCAGAGTGAGGCAGGAGAGATTGCAATCAACAACTCATGAACGACGATGACGAGGCGATATGGGGAGCAGAGGTTCAATTTCATTTAGCGTGGAATGTGAGCATTGAGTTACTCACCAACGTTGTTTTTGTTGGTGGTTCTTGTTGTGTGTGAGTGTGAGGGATACGATGCTCCGCAGAAGCCAAACGTAGAAAGCACGAAGAGTTTTTCCTCTCATCATGGCATGCGGCTTCTCCAACCCGCACTTCTCTTCTTCTTTTCATTACGCAGCACCGGTCAAAGCCTTTTCCCCCGAGGCTTTGTCTCTCATGCGGCGGATCACACAACTCGAGCATCCTTCCTCGGGGTTTTTTTCCTTCAAATGAGATTCCTCCACTTGTGTCCGCGCACTGTACTTCATTGATTTGAGCTGAGAGCTTCTTTTTTTGGTGTGTGTGTGTGTGTGTGTGTGTGCTTGTCGAGTACATTGTGTATCTCCAATGTATATTAATATACATCTCTTCTCTATCTGGAATACACGTGCATTTCTTGAATATCAAAGAGGTCGCCACGTGAAAAGCAAACATTTAAAAAGACAAAACAACATGGAATACACATACGCAGTTTCTTCCTCTCTCGCTCAACAGTTCACCTTTAATCGTGAAGTATAAAAAGACCAGAAAAAAGCGGGTATTTCTTAGCAACAAACATACAAGGAAAAGAGGGAAAGGTAATGTACGGTCTGGATACAAAATAGAATTGAAAAAAAAAAGCTTACGTGAGGAAGAAAGACGGAGGGAATTAAATAAAGCTGACAATGCGAGCCTAGATAGGAGGTTCCCTTTTCACCTCACTACCTAGATGTTTACTGAAAGGAAAACAATCGCCCCACACTCACACCTTTAAAGTCTGCTTTGCGTGTAAGCTCGCCATTTTCTTCCACTCCCTCCCTCTCCATCACCTCTTCCTTCATGTATAGCACCTAGGTTTGTTATTCTCCTCCTCTTTAGTTATTGTTATGATTCCAGTAAAACTCGGAGCACAGCAGCGGAGATTGCTCGACACGGGAAGGGAAAGCAGAAGAAAAAAAAACTATGGTCGAGCCAAGGTAGAAGCAGTTCGTCCTCCTTCTCTCAAATAGACAAAAATGAAAGGAGAGGAACACGCAGCAGCACAGCAACACCAAATGAAAAATGCGGCGCATCCGCCCACACGATGCACGCCGTCACCCCCACTCATTAGAAGCGAGAGACGGCAACGGGGCTGCAACACCACATCACGCTATTCTAAAGAAAGAATAATGATATTACTAATTTGAGTCCGGTGCATGAGCGAAAGTGAAGTAGGTGTGACCACACAGGAGAGGAAAAAAGGTTGGGATACCACTGCACCTTGAGGAAAGCACATGCGCAGTGATGACGTATAGAAATAGAAAAAGGAGTGTAGACAAAACCCCGACACCAACAATAAAGAGAAAGGAAAAAAAACAGTTATAGACACAACCACAAAAGCAGCTAACAGTTAGGTTGTGAAGTTCACAAGAATAAAAAAATGTGGCGTCTCAGAAATGAGAGGAAAAGAAACGGGAAAAAAAAGAGGGTTGTCATGCGTCAATCGAAAAGAGAATACAGAAGATGCGCTCGAAACGCGGTTGCAATGAGCCCGTTACTTTACAAACAAGGTGAAGTAATGGATGCGAGGAGACAAAATAACAAATGGGATTTGTGACTACTTCATGGCGGGAATAATCAGGAAGGAGCACTGCAGCTTGTCGTCGATCGTCATCACGGCAGCGTCGTTGTCGAACTCGCCGCAGTAGTTCGGTGCAGAGAACACCGTCACCAGCTGGCGGCTCGCGAAAAACTCATATCCGCGTTGAACTACCTGATGCGCCCGCACAATCAAATCCATGTCTACCATGTCCAGGAAGTCGTTCACGATGTCCTCGCCGAACAGGTAGCTCACGCCGCGGTCGCTCTCTAAGAAACCTCGAACTTCGCTTTCTGGGTCAGCCCACAAGATGTCGCACAGGATACCGCGATCGGGGACATCACATGGACGCATAATCTCATTAACCGAGCTAAGACTCGTGAGGTCCGGACTAAGACCGCCGTGCATACAGATTATCTTTTCGCTAATCACGCAGCACACAGGCATCGTGTTGAATACATCCGTAAAGGCTTTAAAGAGCTTGATGTTGTACCGGCGCTTCACATCATCGAAGAAGCCGTAGATGCGATTAATACTGGCGCACTCGTGGTTGCCGCGCAGGAGAAAGAAGTTCTCGGGGTAGATGATCTTGTAGCAGAACTGCAGCATGATCGTTTCTACACTATGGTGGCCGCGGTCCACGTAGTCGCCAAGGAACAGGTAGTTCGAGTACGGAGGGAAGCCACACTTCTCATAAATGCGGAGGAGATCGTAGTACTGGCCGTGTGTGTCACCACACACGCGCACCGGTGGGCGAATCTCTAGCAGCATCGGCTGCGCCATAAAAATCTCCCGCACAAGCCCCAAGACCACCTTGATATCCTCCTCACGGATGAGCACCTGTCGCTGAATGGGTATGTTGCGGACAGCCAGAAGTCGCTCAATGAGCATCTGTGGTACCGACAACGACGCGGTGGACGTTGTTGGAGGCATTTTCCTTTTTTTCTCTCTTCTGTGGGGAGGGGAGTTCGCGCTCTACCTAAGCTCGATATGCCACCAAGCGCCTTTGGAGACTTCTCGTTCTCCTTTTGTTGCTGTTGGTGAACAACCGCTTATGGATAGAAAGCAAAAGATAACTCGTCTGTAAGTACAATAATAATAAAAGGTCAGAAATATTAAAAGAAAAACAAAGAGGTAATGTGTAAGGGCTTTTGGAAAGCACCCACTTCCGCTTAAAGAACTCCGGGTGAGTTTATACGAACTTTCGCACCTTCTTATATATATATTTTTGCCACAAGAATCAGCGAGTATGCAGCGTGAGGTAAGGTGTATTTCCTCCTTGGTTGTTGCTGGTGATGTGCAAGACAGCTTGTCTGCAAGACGTACCGATGAGTCCTTGAGACTTCTCAACACTGCAAGCAGGACAAAAAGAAAAAGAAAAACGGAGGACGTAGTGAGTTGTGACAAAAGAGCAGAGGGAAAAAGGCAAGAAGATGCAGGGAAGGAACTCGTTCGTTAAACGGGAATGACAAAGGTCTCTTTTTGGAATCTTCTATCTCCTCCAGCTCTTTCATAGGACTCTTACATAAAATACAAACATTCATAGTCGGCGCTTCGCAGCCGTAATAGCCAGAAGCTCTGGGCTCGACCATCCTTCCTTTTTTCCTTTCTTTCTCTTTGGTGTGTGTGCTTCTTGATGCGTCGTGCTTGCGAGCACGCGTCTGAAGGTAATAAACGTCGGCTACCCCTGTGATCCCTTCCTACCTTCGTTGCGGTCGACGAAGAAAGAAAGAGAGAAAAAAAAACGAATCAATCTTCGTGCTCCGCTCCACTATACATTTTGGTCGCTGTTTCGCTGCTCCGCGTAGTTCGGGTTGCGTGTAGGCAACGCATGTGTGTCAGCAGCGGAACGAAAGGAGAGAGAAGGAAGAAAAAAAACAAAAACAACAGGAAAAGTGCAAAAACACAAAACCCACTTCAACATGAGATGGCAGCAGTTCACCTAAATACGCATCTATGGCTTCTACATCCACAATATGCACCACACTGCAACAGCGATTCTCATTACCTAACGACGGCATGCAGTACATACAACGTAAAGGAGCAAAACCGAAAAAAGATGAAGAGGGGCGCTCTTTACTGAGTAAAACCAGACAAACCTGCACATGCTGCTGGCTTGATCGCATCAGCATTTTCTCGTTTCCTGATGCCTCAAAGGAAAGTAAAAAAAAAAGGACAGCTTCCTGTTCTCGTGTGTGCAGGCTCACGCACGCCACTTGTGCACTCTTCTACATAAAAAAAAAAGTGCGATGCTGGCTCTCCTACAAGCTTTGTTACGGTCTAATTACTGTCCAGAGAAGATTCGTACAAATAAACAAACAAATAATAGTAGTAAAACCACGACCTGCAGCACCAAAAAAAAAGTTACCAACATTAAAAACAAATAAAAGAACGTAGAATGAAAAGAGTAAGGCGAGTTCATCACAAAACGCCGGCTGAGGCTTTAAAAAAAAAGGCAAAAATCAGCCAAAAGGAAAAAAAGAGAGCTTTCAAAGAGCTTCGTGTCTGCGGTAGACAAGAACAGAACGGAATACCACTGCACGATTCGCAAATACCCAGCCAACGGCATTTCGCCTCCGCCGTGTGGGAAACACCAGAAAACTAAAGAGGAAAGCCAAGAAAGAAAAAACAATCGATAGAATCCATACAAAGAAGCTAGGTAATAGAAAGCCAGAGCAAAACAAAAAACTACAAAAAATGAAAAATGAAGGGGAAAAAAGTCCACACGAGAAGACGCTAGAGAGTGTCAATTACCATATATTTCCGTTCCGCTTAAACGCACATCACCAACAATCTATCGAGCAGTGAACCTTTCATAAAAACAAAAACAACAGGTACTGAATGCAAAACTAAAAAGGATATTTTGGTAAATAAATAAAAAGAACACAAACTACGATGGCAGATTCAAGTAGAAATTCTCCTCATCTCACGAGAAATTGGACGTAGCTAGATCCGTTATGCAAAGAAGGAAAGCAAAAGAAATTAAAACTAGTAAAACAGAAAAAGCATTGCACATGTGAGGTCGAATAACGCACGACCAGCGCGGCGCTCGCACAGTGACCGCCTTCTCTTTGCCTTTTTGGCGTGTCACGAACACCCTTTCTTTCATCCCTAAAATGACGATTCACTGACGTGAAATAAAATACGATTAGAGCAGTTCTTCTTTCCTTTTTAAAACGAGAGATAAATCATCAGAAAAAAGAACAAGGAGAGATAGTTGGGGCTAATAATACAATTGAAAAGGCGTAGAGGGCACAAGCAGTCTTCCTCTGGCTGCGCGCACCATCGCATCTGCCGGAAAGTTTTACTCGTGCCATTTCTTTTCGAGAAACAGAAAGCAGCAACGAAGAATAAAATAAAATAGCAGGTTTGCCAGTTTCTAAGCTGGCTTCTAACGAGCTTCAGCAGTATATGCCTTTGGAAACCAAATGCACTCCTCATCGCAACCTCTCATCAGCTGAGAACGCCGGGACAGTGCTTTCTACTTTACTATACTGCCTGTTGAGTTCCTCTCCTTTTCCGCCGCGAAAAAAGCTGCTCCGGCCGCCGTCGGCTTCGTTAGGGGAACACGCGCTGGTAATAGTTTTCTGCCTATCGAAAGGCGGGAATAATCAGGAAGGAGCACTGCAGCTTGTCGTCGATCGTCATCACGGCAGCGTCGTTGTCGAACTCGCCGCAGTAGTTCGGTGCAGAGAACACCGTCACCAGCTGGCGGCTCGCAAAGAACCCGTACCCGCGCTCCATCACCTGGTGCGCTCGCACAATCAAATCCATGTCTACCATGTCCAGGAAGTCGTTCACGATGTCCTCGCCGAACAGGTAGCTCACGCCGCGGTCGCTCTCTAAGAAGCCCTGCACGTCATCCTCCGGGTCAGCCCACAGCAGGTCGCACAGGATACCGCGATCGGGGACATCACATGGGCGATCGATGTCAAGGACGGCACCGACAGATGTCAAGTCCGGACTAAGGCCGCCGTGCATGCAAATGATCTTTTGGCTAATCACGCAGCACACAGGCATCGTGTTGAATACATCCGTGAAAGCTTTAAACAGGCGCATGTTGTACCGGCGCTTCACGTCATCGAAGAAGCCGTACATGCGATTAACGCTGGCGCACTCGTGGTTGCCGCGCAGGAGAAAGAAGTTCTCGGGGTAGATGATCTTGTAGCAGAACTGCAGCATGATCGTTTCAATGCTGTGCTTGCCGCGGTCTACGTAGTCGCCAAGGAACAGGTAGTTCGAGTACGGAGGGAAGCCACACTTCTCATAAATGCGGAGGAGATCGTAGTACTGGCCGTGTGTGTCACCACACACGCGCACCGGTGGGCGAATCTCTAGCAGCATCGGCTGAGACATAAAAATCTCCCGCACCTCGGTGAGTATGGCACGGATCTCCTCCTCGCGCACGAGGATCTGCGGCATAACTCGGTTGCGCTGGACCATAATTAGCCGCTCGGTGAGGACGTGGGCAGTGGATGTTCCTGACATGATGCTAGGGGGTTATAGTTGCCGCTCTTTATTATTCTTATTGCTCCTGCTCCTGTTCGGCACTTCCGAGAAGTCCGTGAGCCGCTTTGTTTTGTATTTCTTCTGAACGAGGAAAATCAATCGAGCCTCGAAGACAACGCACGTACGTGCGCACCCCTCGTTGTTCTTTTCACGGGTGTTCTGCTAGAGTTCACTGCTGGGAAAAAGAAAGGTACACAAAGTGAGCAGAGAAAGAGAACAACACCAAAAATGTGGAAGGGGGGGGAAAGAAAGAAACTACGAGAGCACAGAAAAGGAAGATAAATTTATGTAATACTTCTTGTACGTTTCTTATCTAAATGCCAGATTACTCTTTAAAAGAAAAACTCGGCAAAAAAAAGAGGAAAAGGAAAAGGAAAATATGGCACTGTGTGTCTTCGTTGCAATACGCCAGAATAGAGGTGACTTCCAACAAAGGGGAATGGAAAGGCGGACACGGACAAGGCTTCTTTTGGGGGAAGGGGCTGCGTTCTGCGTTTAGCGTGTGTGTGTGAACGAGGGTCTTGGTGGGGCCTTACGAACCGCCTTGGGGGAAAAAAAGGACAACAACAAATAAAAAAAGAGACGAGATACCGGGCAGCGAATTAGGGTAGACAGTCAACTACCTTCCACGCACAATTCGGTCCTGCCGGCTCGGCTTTCGTGAATTTGACGAGAAGAAAGGTTAAGACGATGCGAGTAACTATGCAAACGATATTGGAGGCTAAACGTTCGATGAAGGATAACTTGTTTAGCAGCCAGCAATAATCCAAAACAAACACAGAAGATCGAGAGAGAGAGAGAGAGAGAAAAGACTGTAAAGAGTGTTAATACTGAGGCCAGAAGAAAAAAAAGAAAGGTTAACGCGTTCGTTATATATATGTATTTACAAATCTCAGCTGTGCGCGTAGAGATGCAGACTATGAGCGGCAATTTGCTTTTCTTTTTGCGCTGTCCTCGACGCAACGCCGGGAGTTGATTTAGAGGAACGTGCGAAAATGGTATGTGGAAATTCGGAGCACGCAAAAATAAAAAAAAGCACGCACAAACCAAGGGCAGATGCGTAACAGCGCAGAATGGAAGACCAGCGCACGTGTGTTCATGAATGTGAGAGAAAAAGGGAAAAAGATATCGGAGAGAAGGAATGCTATCGAAAGTAGAAATGATCAGGTGGAGATGTCCCACAGACGTCGATCAACACGAGATCTTCGTGTTTGTGTGTGCGTGTGTGTGTGGGTGTTTTAAGTAGGCTGATCCGCAGTCGCTGTTCGACCCTTATGTCACAAAAATGTTCTGTAAAGAGACAATAGGCGTCCACTCTTTTGCTGAAACTGACGCGCACACGATCGGGCACCGTCATTGCAGCTTCTGTTTCACTCGTATATATTTTTATTTCTTTCAACGGCTGTTGAACATTGCGTCTCTACAGCAACATTGCTGTGCTTGACGTCCCCAAAAAAAAACAACGAAATGAGAACAAAGAACAGTAAAAACAAAAACAGTCATAGAAAGGTGTGCGACACCGGCACGCACAGATGCAACGTTGCATTGAGCTCTTTTGTGGTGGTGGTGGTGGTCTTTGTTTTTGTCACCACGGTACGCAGACACCAGGCATCCCGCTCTGTCCTACGGGAACGACGCACCTAAATCGGAGCGTATGGAAACGGTTGTGACGAGAGACTGACAAGATCCGCCGAAGTACAATTAAAACTGCCCTTTTTCCTCCGTTTTCTCTTTTTAAATGGGTGAAGGGCACAATGGATTCGAAAGGCGTCGGTAGAACGCACATCTCAGCTTGGCCAACTAGGGACGCCAAACAAGGGTAAATACGGCCAGATTAAGACAACAACAAGAAGGAAAAAAAAAGGAGCGCTAACATGAATGAGAAATAATACGAATATACAAGTAATAATAATGGTAACAAATGATACAAGCTGGAGCTAGCACAGCAACCAATACGCTGCAGAAAAAAAAAAGCACAAAGCGACGGATCAAAGAAAGTGAGCTCCACAAAAGAAAAAAGGGGAGGTCGCCTTCCGCAGCGCAGTCCGTAAGGCAGAGATGGATTCAAAGCTTCAGTGGTGAAAGGCGAGCTACGAATACCTCTTGCGGTTATAGTACTCCCCCGGATCCTCAGCCTTCCGCGAATCCAGACCCGGCATCATCGACGCCGAAACGGCGTACACGAAATACATCCACCAATTGTAGATAAAGTGGCACACACGCTGCGGCACCGACTCGACGGCGTAGAGAGGACCGGCACGCACGGCCCGCTCCTCCGCCAGCGTCGGCACCAGCGCGTCCAACGCGGCTCCCCTTCTCGCCGCAGCCGCCGTCGCGGTCGTGGATCGTGTCGACTTCGCAGACCGGATAGACTGCGCGTCGGTGCCGACCCCTGCCTCGTCCGCCTCGTCCGCACTGTCGCTCCAGTCGCTGTCGTAGGCGCGGACAGTGCGGAGTGGCGTGGGCCTCGACTTCATGCTCGCCTTCACCGCCTCCCACTTCGCGTTGCGCTCTTGGCGAAGACGCTCCGCTTTTGCCGAGGCCTCCGACTGCGCCTGGGCCTCCATCGCATCCTGTTCGGACTGCAGTGTCGTCGTCATCTTCACCACTCGTTTCATTGGCATCAAATCCCGCTTCGGGGGCCCCGCGTGGACAGTTTGCCGGGGGCGGGCAGCAGCGGCAGAAGCGGCATTGTGACGCGCAGAGGCCGAACTTGCCGTGGCGGGAGGAGCTTCGGTGAAGGCCTCACCCTCCGAGTACCCGAAGGTGGTGGCCTCGTCGCTGAGGTCGTACGGGCGACGAAACACCGAGCCCTCCATGATAGTGCAAAGTGAAGGTATCCCTCTCTCCTTCTATTCGTTTTGAGCGAAGAACAGAAACAATCGCCGCCTGCAGAGAGAAAAAGCTAAACGTAAGCCAGCAGGCAATATTTAAAAAAAGAAGAGAGACTCCTTTGAGATTGAAAAGGAAAACAAAACGAAGTCGTGATGCTGCCGTAAATACTGCCACGGCAACCTTCAAGTAGAACGAGCGCAATTGGCGGATTGCACGAAAGCGGAAATGAGGAGGAGCACAAAGTGAAAGAAGGGAAAGAAGGAAAATAAGATGAAGAGAGGAGGGGAAGAGGGGATGAGCATCAAAGGAGCCCACGAAGCAGAAGCAGCACAGACACTTTCTCAACGAACGGCACTATCTATGCACGCTATTGCTATTCCTCCGGTGTAAAGACACAGGAAGGTGTCGGCCTTTTTAAGTAGTGATGATTCGACTCCCTTCGCAAACATGCGAAAAAACATGCCTCGAGTGTGCGGCCCTTGAACACTTCATGGCCTCGTATAATGGAGCGGATCGCAAAAGAAAAGGAGGAGGAAGGGAAAGGGGGGGGGGCAAAGTCATCGTCGTTGGCAAGCACAAGAAGCTACACAAAAAAAAAGGAAGAGTGCTGTCCTACCCAATCCAGTCCATTTCTAAGCAAACACGAATTGCCATTAAAAAACGCGCACCCACGCCAGAGTGCACGGAATACTAAAACAAGCGGGCAAGAAACAACGGAGAAACGGGTAAACGGAGAAAAAGGCGAGACATCATCATCCCTGCGCTCGCAACGCCATTCTTTTGCTTACGAACTCAAACGATTATCTCGCTCCTTATCGCGTGCACCGGGCCTACTCGTTGCGGAACTGCTCGAAGAGGTCGAACATAGCGCCGGCGTCGTGCATATCGACACCGTCGCGTAGACGTCCGCCAACGTCAATGCGGCTCTGCACGACTGATTTGCATAGCGCGATGGACTTAACTAGAACGTTCGACAGCAGCCGCGCGTCGAGGTCGCCCTGCCCTACCGAATTCACATGCATGCCGTCGTCGACGCGATTGTTCTTTGCCGCGACGACGCGCTCATTGAAGCTCGGGAAGACGATGTCGGACAGTCGGAAGAGCGAAAAGCGGACCGGGCTGCGCGACAGCAGCGGGAAGTCATCGGGCAGCTCCGTGGAGAACCAAATTCGCCGCCAGTAATCCCAGTCCCCGCCAAACTGCCTTTCATCCACCTCATCGATGCCGAAGTAGCACCGCGGGCTGGGGTGGCCCCACTGGCTGAGCAGCGTCTGCTCCTGCAGCCACACGGCTTTGCAGTAGCCGCGCGGGTGGGACACGAGCCGGCGGTACCAATAGAAGGGCGAGAGGCGGGAGCCGTGCACCCAGAGAGGGGTGAGGGCAACGAAGTGGGCGTCGACGCGGCGGCACGCATCGAAGGCACGCAGGAACCCGCCAAACCGGCTGCTGCTGCCAAACCACGAGCTGGGCGACAGCCACGATAAGGAGGGCGAGGAGGGGCGGCCATCGGCCCAGAGCGACGGACCCGCGGCTTCCTCCAGCGCCGCGGCGAGGTAGAAAACGACGCTGGCGTGACGCATGGAGAACTCCAAGTCGCTGGCACTCGCCACATCCCCCTCAATCAGCTCAAGGGTAACGCGTCGGCCTTCCCTGCTCGTCGCACCGGTAGTAGGAGCCGCACTCGTGTTGTTGCCGCCAGTCTCAGCATTCGGTGTGGTGTGCGAGGTGCGGAATTCGTAGCGAAGCACCCGCCGGTCCTCGCGCTGGGCGTCGGTGTAGTCCACCGCCGCCGTGAGGACTGGCTGCTCGGCAGAGCCGAGCAGCTGCACGTACCCCATCGACGCAGCCCGATTCCGCTCCCGCCCTCCATCGGCAATGGGCAAGAAGAGTGCCTTTGCCTTCTCTATGTCGCGCGCCAGCACCGTCACGCAGATACCGCGGCGGAGGTACTGCTCGGCAACAAACTTGCCCATCATACCTGTGGCACCGACCAGTGTCACCGTCTCAGGGGCAACGTCGTCGGCCGCCTGCATCGTGCGCTGGGCCGAGGCCTTGTTGTGGTAGGGGAAGTACAGCAGGCGGCGGTCATCCTCCTGTATGGTGGGGGGCGAGGTGGCACTGGCGGCGCCAAGATGACCCTCGTAGACGTTGTCGACCTGCCGCGTGTTTTCCTCGCGGAAGACGCTGTAGAACGGTGCCTGGCACGCCCGCTGCACCCGTACCCGCACCCCTGCATTCCAGTCATAGGGTGTCCGGTGAGCGGCGGACTGACTCATTACAGTGGCACCCTCCGTCAAGGGCCGGTGAAAGATACAACACGGGGGTCAAGAAGCAGTAGAGAAAGGGAAAAGAAATGGACGCACTTTGTTGATTGCGAATGAAGAAGTATCAGGTCGGCCCTTTGATTTCGAAAAGAATAGTTTCTTTCGGTAACACGAGACACCGCGAGGATAGAAGAGCGACAGAAAGCAGAGCCGTGACGTCGCGTCGGACGAAAGGGATAGGGGTCGGCGAACGAGGAAAGCGAAGGAGAAAAGCAACGTGAAAATAGAAACGGGCGTGGAGGCTGTCACGAACACTAGGCGAAAGCGACAGAGGAACCACAACGAACGAAGCGAATGCGGGGAGACAACGTGCACCACAACGTTTTGAGTTCTTCGTGACCGTTCGTCCGCGATGTAAAGAAGAAATCAGCGAACAGAGGAAAGAACGGGGCACCAAAGAGATTGGGAGAGGGAAGAAAGAGCCGGTTGTAGCTCCTCTCTGCGCCGCTAGGTGCCGAGCAGAACTGCTGTGTTACGACAAAGAAGCATTCCCAGAGGAAGCAAACAAAGAGAAAGAGAGAGGAAAGAAAAAAAAAAGAATGAAGGTAGTTTCTAAGCCTAACGCAGAAAGAAGACGCTTTGGGTGTTCAGCCCAAAGCCCTTTCGTTGGAGTGATCATCCACCGCGTTCTGCACACGCGAAATAACATTCTTTTGTTGACTCAATTTGCTTTTTGCAAGAAGCATCGTTTTCCACCGAGCGCAGGAATTTCAGAGACGGCAGCGCAACGCTTCCACCGACTTGCGCAAAAGGCGGTGCGTTGGAAGGAGAGAGAAAGAAAAAAAAAGTGGTGAGCGGATGCGTTGCGAGAACAGTTTCGCATATTTTCAGTAGCGGCCGTCGGCACAAAGAACAATCATCTCTTTAGCAAGCAAACACGAACGAGACACTTAACTTATGTGAAGAAACCCTGCAAATGCCGCGCACAGCATCGCGTCACAACCAATCGAATGGGGAGAAAACGAACAACAAAAAACTGTACAGATTCCACGCAACTCCTTCGTCGCTGTCACCAAAAACAAAAGAGCAGCAAACAGCGTTATTTCCTTTCCTTGCTCCCCTGCACTGAATCACGTGAGCGAGGCCGGCAGAAAGAAAAAAAAAGAAATAAGAGAAGCTTCGGGTATTTAAACTGCGCTGGTTCTCTTTCTCGTCCATCAGTTAGCAGTAGAAGTGTTGAGCCCTCCAGCGTGGAGGTGCATCGTAGCCATGAGCATCGTCTTGGACCGCCCCTCCGGCTCCGCCTGGATCAACTTCTCTACCAAGTCCTGTCGCTCCACAATGTGAGCCCCCTTCGCGCAGGCGACGCGGACGATATCGCTCGGGTGCCTCGAGTACACGTCGAAGACGTCCTCGACAAATCGCGGGTAGTTCACCAGTGCCAGGTACACGATGGTGTACGCAAGCTGCCCGACAATTTTGTTAGAACTCAGCTGGTCCTCGGAAATGCGGAACACCCGCTCCAGCTCCGGCGCCTTCTGCGCGGCGGCCGTCAAAAACTTCAGCTCCTCCAGCAGCTCCTTCTCACTCTTCACCGCGTTGTCCCGCGCAAAGGTGGCCAGCACGTCGACGGGCATGTCCAGCGGGTAGGACGTTCCCATCACTTGGTTAAAGCGCTGAACGAGGGGCCGGCCACCACTCAGCCGGGTGTTGGTCGGGTAGTTGATGGTACAGAAGATGGGCATCTCCAGTACAATGTCCTCCACATCGTCGCCTGGCAGGTGTGTTTGACGGTGGTCGACCTGCAGATCGAGACGAGTGTGGAACATAAGCAGCGACTTCGAGTACACGGTGCGGAAAGCGGCCATTCGCAGCGGGGTGTCCTCCAGGTGCTCGTTTCCGTCGCTCAGCAGCATTGGCCAGCCGAAGACAAAGGGGTTCTTCTTCATGAGCTGATCCTCCGTGACGCGAAAGTGCGGGGAAGTGCCGAGGAAGATGCTGTGCTCCTTGGCGTAATCAAGCTCCACCGTGCGGGGGTCGCGCCTGCGCATGTCCTCGATAAACTTGTCCTTCATGTGTGTAGGGCTCAAGGTGCCGGTCAGTTTCTCGTTCATCTGCGTCTCGAGGCGGTTCTGCAGCTGCTCATAGTAGGGGAGGTACTTCTTCATGTGCTCCGCGTCGACGTCGAGAAACTCGGAGAAGACCTTCTTGAGCGCGCCGAGGGTCGGCTTCACCGTGTGCCACAGCAGGGGAGGGAAGTGCTCCGAGAGCTGAATCATCACCTTCTCTGTGGGGCTATTGTGGTCCCAGAGGAGGGTGCAGGGGCGGTGCGGCTCATTCACAATCGGTGAGTCTTCGCGGTCGGGAAAGACGAAGGCCTCGCCAATGACGGTGTACTCGGTGTCTTCGCTGCCGAGGCAGAGCCGATTGCGCAGAAGGCTGCTCATGCCCACCGGGTCCCATAACTCTTTATCGAAGGTGAAGCGCTTGCGTCGCCACGACAGCTCATCGTACACCTTGATGTCGTAGGAGATGGATTTCTCACTTGTCTTGGCGTCCTGCCGCAGCTGCTGAATCCACGCAGGTGGCTCAGCAGCAGAGGCGGAGGAGAGGCGGAACGTCGTCTGGGCGAAGTAGCGAGCCGCGAGGGCGACGCTGGACGGACGGAGCAGCGGCTCCGCGGCGGCTTGCGCGCGACGATGAAAGCGCAACATTACCGCGAGAGCACAAACGGCGCAGTTTTCTTTGTGGTTGCTCTCGCAAACAGAAAAGGCGGAAAATGATTCGGGCGGTGATAGCCTAAAAAGAAGGTAGAGAGAAAAGAAAGAAACGGGAGCACTTAAAACAGAATAGACAGCATGGAGAGAGAACTCACACAATGAGCTGTCTTCGTTGCGTTGGAGAGCTTTGCCTTCTTTGTGTTGTTGTTGGTTTTTTAAACTGAAACCGCACCGAGGAAAGAAGACACCGAAAGTGGAGGTGCGAAAGTGAGGCAGAAGACGAATGCTTCGTAGCCGTCGTGAGGAGCGCCGCCTCTCCCTCCGCCCCTTCTTTGTGTGTTCAGCGAAAAGAACTCGATGACTGTGAAAGAGAAGCGTGCTGCGCCCGCCGGCTCTCCATGATCAAGAGAAGGCAGTACAGCATCGGCGCAGTCTCGTTCAGACCTTCGGTTCACTTCGGGAGACCGATTCGACCCCCATGGCACCCAATGCTATTGTTTTATTGTTATTATTATTATTATTATTACAATTGTCGTTGCAGAGACTTATGAGTCGAATGCGAATCCAGCGAGACCAACTGTACCTCATCGCATTTGGTGGTTAATCGTAGTTAAAACGGAGAATTCTGTGTGGGTACGTGACGGTGCGTCCTTTCTCACCCACGCAGATGTGCGCAATGCACGATGTGTTCTCTTTCTTTCTTTAAGGGCATCATTGTGACTAAGCACAGCAGCTCGTGTCGATACACGAAAAGCAGCGTTCTCGGTGTTTACAGCGTGAGAATATCCGTCGGATCCTCTGTAGTCGGCGTCTCGTACGCTACGGTAGGAAGATGTTTCTCGTGCAGCGGCCGAGTCACTTCGGCCGTAAAAAGGCGCGCGTAGCTCTTCTCATACCGCAGCGGGGTCTTGTCCTCCGCCGCGCTGGCGAAGGCGGACACCATGAGCGGCACGACCGGCATGAAGTGGCGCTCGAGCGCCGTGAGCTCCCACAAGGTGGAGTGGAGGGCGTGCGAGTCGGACAGCTTCGCGCTGTCGTCAAAAGGTTCCTCGCCGTCGAAAAGGGCCGCGGTGTCGCGCATGGCCTGCGCCTTTGCGCCCTCCGCCCCGCCCTCCGCCCCGCCCTCCCCGTCGTCCGGCACCACCGCCTCCCGGCTGCTGCGGTGAATCAGTGCCAGACAGTTCGGGTGCACCTGCAGAACCTTGCGCAGAAAGGGCAGCGTGAAGTACAGGGTCGGCGCCGGCGCCATCAGCGACACCCGCGCAACACGTTTGATCACACTCGCCGCGATGTACGACGGGACACGCAGAGAGGTCATGGAGAGGTCGAGGAGGCGAAATAATTCGTAGCGGTGGCGCGACGCGAAGGCATCGGCAGTGAGGAGGCTGTAGAGCTGCTCGTAGTAGTTGGGGTACTCGAGTCCGTGGTCCAGCATGAGCAGAAACAGGCCCTGCAGGGCGAGAATCGAAATGATGCCACCGCTGCTGAAGCACCCCGTAAGATAATCCGCCAAAACGAGCGGGTTGGTCAGGTGCGGCAGAACCACGGAGCCGAGGCGATGCAGCAAATGGACATGCAAGGCAGCCTCGCCGGCCTTCTCAACACACAGCATCCACACAGAGGTGAAGTAGTGCTTATGCGCCTTCTCCGAAAAGACGGACAGCACATTACTCGGGTTCAGTTGCAGCTTGCGGCGCTCGGCTGCATTGGAGTGCACATACGCGTCACTCGCCTCTACCTTCGCCCGCTCCTGCTTCAGAAAGCGCCACCGCAGTTGCATCTGATCCAGCTGCGGAAGCGTGCGACTGCACAGTAACACAAAGGCGTTGGTCACTAGAGCTGACAGAGAGGTGCCATCCTTGTCGCGAGAACGCTTGCGCTGCTGCCGTTCTGCCAAATTGCTGACTGCTCGGAACACAAAGAACCACACGTCGTCCTCTGCCGGTGTCGCGTCCTCCGCGCCGAGGTGGATGGAGAGAGCGTCCCGCAGCTCCGCAACGTCCGGGCTGCACTCATCAGGTGTTGTGTGATCACGCGGAGCCTTAATGAGAGGGAGCTGCAGCGCGTGTTCGATGATGGGTGCCGCTTTCTTGTCAAAGGTGGAGCACAGCTCCGCATACGTTTTGCACCTGTCACACGCAGCCAATGCAGACCTCAATTGCGCCTCCATCGTGCGTAAATTACTATTTTCACTAACCTTTCTTTTACAGCTGTACGCAGGAAAGGAAACAAAGAATGATAGCCACTTTTTGCTGTGTTCGTACGTTTCAGCCTCACTTAAAAAGAAAAAGAAAGGAGCATGTCGGATCACGAAGCACACAAGCAGCAAAAGAGCGTGGAAGCAGAGATAAAAGAAGAAGACAGGACAGTGGAACGCAGACGGAAGATGGTAAATGCAGGAAGAAGCACCCAAAAAAGAACACTTTTCTTTCAAGGCAAAACAGATCAGCAAACAAGATGAACTTGGAGCTGTGGCGAAGCAGAGAAGAACTGTATTTGCCAACCAGGCTATTTTCCTTCCTTTCCGGTTTCCAATAGCCACATGCAGTATAGGTAGCATTCGGCGCGGCTACTGGGTACAGGTTGCACATGATGTTCCCTTCTTAAAAAACGAAAAACAAAGCACTTTTTTTTACTATTCCTCGTTTTTTTTTGTGGGTGAGTGTGTGTGCATGCCGGTGTGAAGCCGTGAAAAGCGTCATGACTTGTCTATACCCAGCAGCTGCGTAATCAACGGAGGGCACGTCTCGCCGTCCTCGTCGTCGTCAGGGGTCACTTGAGCAACGAGGGCGGTAATGTCATCGAGTTTGCCACCTGTGTACTTGTAGCCTGCCTCTGCAGCGTGCTTCGCAAACGGCGAGAAGCACCGTGGGTCCTGCGCGTTGCGAAACGCCTCCTCCGCGATTGCCGCCGCCACTTTTCCACAGCCCACCGCGGACACCTCGCTCATATGCAGCAACAAGCGGTCCAGCTCCACGTTGTCAAGAACACCGTCGCTGACGCACAAGAAGACGTCGCCTGCGCGAATCTCCAGCTTTGCCTGCTCGCCCGCGCTGGGGGGATCTTCCGGTAGCTGGAACGGGCAGTTGAAGGAATGCTGCTGCATCTCCGTGCGATACAGAAGTCGCCCCTGCCGCAGTACCACAACGCCGCAGTCGCCGAGATTGAGTATGGACGCGTAGAAGTCATCCATGATGGTGGCGAGAGCTACAGGGCAGCCACCTGGCTGTTGCGCCTCCCTCGCCTTTCGGTAACCGTAATTGAGCGCATCGAGTGCTGAAACTCGCTTGGGGGTTTCTCCGTCGGCGTTCATACACTCCAGCGCAAAGCGCATCACGTTTCGGGTGTACATGGCCGGATCGATGCCGAGCGAGGCGTAGCCACCCACGCCATCTGCGACACCTACGGCGTACGGGTGCGACAAGTACGCGTCCTCACCACCGCGGTACGCCTTTTTAGGGTGTGAAATTGCGCACGCGCCACGGCGGCCAAAGCGCAACGGCGCACGTGCGACGCAGCGCCGCATCAACGAAATCGACAGCATTAGATATTGTTGTGTGTACGTATGTATATGAGTGTGTGTGTGTGTGTGTGCGGAGGCGGTAAAGCCGCACACCGCTCTGTATTTGTAATGAACGCAGCCGGATTTTTGTTGGTGTGGGGAACGATACAGTTTGAAAGCAGCGATGTATTAAGATGGTTTTTTAAATCTTATTTTCACTGATGTAACGCACAGCAGCTACTGTGCATAGAAGGTAAAAGTTGTTACAGAGGTAATGTGATGCTCGCCAAAAGGAAACGAACGACCGGGCCTTTGATTTCTTTTTGTTATTATTTAAGCCCCGTAAGATGGCAAAAGAATCCAAGTGAAAGTGGATCGCCCCTCAAAAAAAAGAGTTTGTTCGCTGATTGGCGGGGGTGAGGGAATACCACTAAGACCAGAGACGTACAAGGAGGCGGAAACCAGTGAAACAAGTTGAATGGGTAAGAAAAGCTCTTTAATAACTATTATTTTCAGCTTTTTGCGGTTCCACACGTGAAATTGGTGCCCTTCCACTGTTGTTGGTGCTAGCAGGAAAGAGGCATGTCGTGTCATCACCAAAAAAGAACACGAGGTATTTCAGCGTTTGGCCCTACAAAGCCTAAATGAGTGAAAAGCGCAATAACGCATCTTTTCGTTGGCTTCCGAACGGTTGAGCGGTAACGAAAACTGATTCTGGAAAGAAGTCCTCAAAGTGCACTGCGCTGTTGAGCTTTGGGTAATGGGGCAACGAAGAAACTAAAAGTCAGACAGCACCTTCCTATCCTTTTCCGTCGAAGTAGGCACCCACTGGTCTTAGACGTGGGTGTACAACGCTCGACTTTCTTTGTTTGCATTTTTGTCTTTTTGTTTGTTTTTGAATGTTTCAATGTGACGCACACCTCTGCATTTGTGGTTGACACACGCAAACTACACCATGTCGCAACCAACAGCCTTTCGCAACAGCAATATTTACCTTCAAAACCGTTTAAGCGTACCTCACTCCGTTTCCGATGCTATAGACATTCAAGGCTCGCACTACCCCCCACCAAGCTCACCAAACTCCATCTCGGCTACAATTCGCCTCTGTCGTGACTGACATGGTGAAGCAGTCCTCTCGCAAAGACGCATCCGAAACGGTGCTACGGAGTGAACGGTGCGGCTTCCTGCGTTTTGTGAAGAAAAGGGGAAAAAGAAAAAGAAGCCTGGGTGGACATGAGGCTGCGACTCTCGTTCCATTTGGAAATCTTTATTTTAGTCTCTCCTCCCTTGTCGTTCCGTCTGCGTACTTCGTAATGCGCACCCCATCAGCACGGTCCATAATGGAGGTGCTATTAGGGTATTCAAAGAGCGTGTCACCATTTCCATACACTGTAGTGGTCAGGCCTTTGGTTTGGAAGATCTTTGTTCCGTCCTTGCGCACTTTCGTCACGTCGCCGTTGTCGTAATGGTACTCCCAAGTCCCATCTGGCTTCAGTACGGGTCGAGGTTCAGCCGCAGCAGCATCAGAAGAAAACTCACCACCAGAGGACGACTTCTCGCCCGCGGACTCTCCCTCAACTGCCGACGCAGCTGCACTGGAAGCGGCCCCAGCAGCTCCTGATGCGTCCTGTGCAGCTGACATGCTCGTCTCTGCGTTGACTGCTGCCGTCGTTGAAGCTGCTTGTGCAGTGGTGGAAAGAAGGACGGACTCTTTCGCAGTCTCCGCTGCAGGGCCGACGGGGTGCGAAGATGAAATTGTTACTGAGTCGGCTGCGTGGATCACTGCGCCGCTGTCCTTCAAGCGACTCATCGCCCGCATCGCAGCAAGCTGCTCTTTTCCCTTGCGGTGCTCTTGCCTGGTGTTGGCACGTTCGGCGGAGTTGTAGTACGCCTGTGCAGACGCCAGCTGCTCCTCCACAAAACCCCAGTTCATGTTGTCCAACGCTCGTCTTGCGATGGCCGCTAGTAGGTCAGAAAGATTGATATGTTCGAATGCTCCGTCGTGAACTCCCCGTCCCACATCGACCGACATCGCTGCGGCGGCCCCTGGCGTACGCGCGGCGTGACTCCACGCCGGTGGCTGGGCCTCAGCGTCGACAGCTATGCGGTCTCCACCACTCTTGACGTGCCGCTCCAGCTCGTCGCAGAGACGCTCTTCGGACAGGTTCACCACTGCAAGAGGCCAGAGACCGTGAGCAAGCGGTACCTTGCAGCCTGGAAGGCTCAACACGTCGATATTTCCGCCCGATTGAGCTACAGTGGAAGAGCCATACACAATCCAGAGTCGCCCAGGGGACATCGCCGCGTTGGAGAGTTGCTGTACACTTTGCTGTAGAGCAGACAACGACCCGAAGCTCGCCGCCACCCCGCGTTCGAGCACCCTCGGTGTGGTAGTGGTTACCTTGTTTGCTTCTTTGCGGCTTACGCTCTGGTGACGGGCGTCACCGGCGGAGCACCTCTGCTCAAAATCGTCGCAAAACACCACAGATGCGAGGTAATGCACACGCTTCCGTACGCAGTTGACACATGGGCGCGATGTGAAGCTGGGCTCGCTGCCGATGCGTGAGAGTGGCAACGCTTGTGCCAAGACGGGGCAATCGCGCGAGTGCGACACCGACGAGTGATTCATAGTGTTTGCGAACGCGGTAGAGGTAATCAGCGCAGCCACAGAAAAGGAAGAGGAGGTGGAGCCATGCGATTTCAGAGGCAGCAGCGGAAGAAGCTTGCGCAGTTCGGCGGACGCGATCTCCGCCCCGAGAAGAAGAGCACGCGTGTTGCCTCGGAACATGGTTCTGTTTCGACCTTTTTTTGCAAGTGATCGTTATTGCCTCGAATTCGAACTGCCATAAAAACGTGTACCAACGGTTGCCTAGTAAAAATTCAGCAGCTTGAGTTGCGTAGAGAAGAAAACAGTGACGGGGAAAAAAGTGGGTTTGTGTACGGAGAAAGTTCACCTCACGCCATTAAATCACGGCATGCGAAGAATCGCAGTGATGACTGCCACAAAAAATCCTTGGCGGTCACGTGTAGCAAGTAGAGTCACCGGAAACAACTTGCTTCCTTCAGACGCGTTTGTCCTTCTCCTCAAGGTTGAGGACGCCTTTTCCACATTTGTTTTTTTTTGTTGTTGTTGTTGTGAGTGTGTGGGTGTGCCACTGTCCTATTGCTCGCGCCCCGTGTGCAGGGGTGCTCAACAGCAGAAACCAATGTGAAGAGAAAAAAAAGCTCACACATAGCTGAGGGGCAGAAGAAGTGAGCGGCACCACTGAGTTAACGAAAAAAGAAAAACAGGCGCCAAAAATATGAAGAAGAAACAAGCATGAAAAACAACAACAAAAAATCCTGTTTATGCCCTGCCTTACGTTGTCGATTACGAAGTTTCCCATATTATGCGCTTTGCTTTCGATGATTGCCTTGATGGGTTTTTGATCGATTTCTTTTCAACTCCATAAAGCTTTGCTGCTTTCTGGAGAGTCTTGTGCAAGTCGGGAGGGGGACTGGTTTTGAGGTCTGCTGCTCTCAAAACGAGACATTTTCCTACGCTGTCGTCTTTTATTTGATGGTCCCAGTAGAACTTGGTCCACAAAAGGGCGTTGTTGGGGGACAACCGGCCATTCGACACAAGTACCAAAATGGATTTCCCTACAAATCGACAAAATCTGTTTGGTGTAGTTGAATACCTTTGCGCACACCGCAGCAGACGCATCAAATGCTGCTCGCTTAGATCCTGCGGCGCATTTGTGCAAATTTTGCAAATGCCCTCAATTTCGGGGGCTGACACAGCGCATTCGAAAGCGTCAATTACGTCGTCGAGGTCGATATCGTGCCGCATGACAGGATCTCGCACAGTCATTGCCTTCGAAATGGAGTCTCTCCGTTCGACATTGGAAGCACAAACAGAAAAAAGAAGCACCAAATCTGAGGTTTTTATTTCATTGATGTCAACAGTGTTTAAAATAGTTCGCACTTTCTCAAAGGACAGCAGATCTCGGCGGCGTTCCATTCTGCAGCATCGCAGTATTGTGAGAAGATCCGCAGGTATGATGTCCGACAGCTCATGCAGAGAGGAAACGACATTCAGCTGCTCGAAAGCGGAGTTTAGTCTCAACGTCTTTGCGGCCTTACCCGCAGCTACAACATCTTTGAACGACGGCTTTTTGATCTCGAGTTCGCGGAGAAGGTGCTCAATCGCGGCAGCGTCACGAATCTTCAACTCTGCCAAAACGGTCATGGTGAAACTCAGCTCCTCGGCTGTAAACTTGTGGGCAGCTTCAATAAGCTTTTTAACGATTTTAGCTCTCGTAAACTGGCACGTTCTAGATGTTGCATCGCGTGTGTAGCGGAGAACAGTCATGGCCACCGCTGGTGTCAGCTGCTGAACCTGCAAGAGACGCTTTAAGAGCGTGAGTTGTTCTTCGTCGTCCACAAAAGACAAGCCCGCCAGCAGCACAGCAAAACTGTTTGAGGATAACGCCAGGTTCGCTGCGCCACCTTGTGAGTGAGAGGTTACAAGCCGCCAGCCTAACCGGCCAGCTGCCCTCTTCACTAATTCTTGTGGTGCTCTCTCGCCGGTTTTTTGACACACATGCAACACAGCAATGCTTTCCTCTTGATCAAGCAGGTCGCTTTTGGCGTGTGCACGGACACTGTGCACAACTACGGGGAGAAACTCGTTTGTGTTAATCATTACTTTGCACAGCAGTGCAGCAGCTTTGGCTGATGCCTTGGGTGTCTTTTGCGAATCGGCGTATCGTAATTTTAAAAAAAATGCTGCTTTCTTCACCGAGAAAAACGAGAGGCAATACACCCACAAAAGGCTGTCGTCGGAGAAGCTAGGATTTAGGAAGCGACCGAGCCTTTTCTCGGTGCAAGCTTCAAGACTAATTATCGAGCTAGAAGAGAAAAACTCGAGCTCGCAGCTGCTTAACTTGGCATCTTGCCACGCCGTCAGAATGAACAGAAACGCATTCGCAGAGAGCTCTTGAAAGTCCTCCACCAGTAGATCAATCAACGAGTTTGCCACGGGACAGTTGCAACGAAGTACGTTGGTCACCACGCTACAGGCGTTGGCTTTTGAGATACTCTCTGTATTCACAAGCGTTTCTTGAATAACAGATCCCCAGGCAGAATTGGGACTGGGGACTTGGTGGGTCACTATTAACCCCAATAGAGACTGCAGAGTTGCTGCATCTAAAAGAGCCGTTTGAGCAAATACCGCTCTTTTTAAAACTTCCCACTGCTCTGCCGCAAGCGGGAGGTTTTGTTTGGCAAGAAAATCGAGAAATTCGGCTTTGTTGCCGCTCTCATTGAGCTGTCTCGCTAACTCGTTGGCAACGATTTGCAAAAGGTGCGAAGCAACGAGTTTGGTTTGAGATCCTCTTTGATTCACAAATTTGCAGAACGGAAGAGCCAATTGCACCAGCTCAGCCCTCTCTGAAGAATGAATACAACGCGAAAAGGCGGCAAAAAAGGACGAGGAGCCCAGCGTGGCCTCATAGTGATCTAAGTCGCCGCCAGCAAGTCGCATATCAGCTGACAGTTGTCTAAGATTCTGTGTCGTCAATTCACTGCATGTGGCCTCAAAATGCTTAGCAAGAAACGATATTGCACGGCTTTCTTGAGGATATTTAACTTTCGAGATAAAGTCGGCTAGTTCCAGTCCATCCTCAAGTGTGACCACAACATTCGAAAGATCAAGGTCACGCAAATAAATTCGAGCAAGTGAAAGCATCTCAGCATCTTTTGCTGATGCGGCAATCCAAAACTTTATTTGCTCGGAATGTGGACGCCACAAAGCCGAAAGTAGAAACAAGCGGGAGTAAAACATAGTGAACTCGCTCTATATAAATACGAAAGTGAGATTGTTCACGAGCAATACAAAGTATGAGAACAGCGGGAAAAAAAGAACTGTAACCTCCCTGGAACGCTACGCAAGCCATGAAAGACTAAATAAGAGAGGATGAAGAGAGAAAGGTAGAAGATATATACTTGAACAGAAAGAAGAGAACGGCATGCCACTACTCTAGAGGGGAAAAAAACTGAAAAGCACACATTTTCAGAAGAATGCAATCTAAGGTTGAATTCTGTGAAACGAGGTGTTTCAGTGTTGCGTTTCATTTTCTCTTTCTGGTACGCCTAGGAGAGATTGTCGAATATAAAAAAAAATCTGTTCGTACTTCGTAACGGTTTGAGTTACCTTCCTCCTCTTACATCTCTACCAACGAAGAAGAAATCATCTGATGCACTAAAACAAAAAAAGAAACCAAACATCTGTCGCATGGGCATTAGAACTTGGTACACGCCAGAGTAATCACAAACCACTCCAAGAAGAGGGGAAAAGTTGGTTGGGTAGCGAACAAAAGAAGCTATATTTTGTTCATTTTTTGTAGAAATATTGAATCTATGAGGATGTGCGTTGTCAAACAGGAGTATGTTACTTGTTCTTCCTATCGTTTTGAGAGGCACTTATTTCGAGCTTGAACGTCGGTATTTGGGCGTGCCTCACAGCATTCTGCGCTGCCCAGATTGCAAGCAGAACACTCAACGCATTGATTCCCAAAAATGCAGCTGAGAAAGCAAGGTCGAGCATGAGAACATAGGTTTGGAGCCACATGTAGTATATCGCCCCCACCGCAGCAACCGCTAACAAAAAGGCGCAAAGGATTAATGTTAGCATAGTTTCCGTTTTGTTACCGCGGATTCCAATTAAGGTACCAAAAATGTTTATGACAACAACAAGCACCGACGCTACAATTTCCATTGGGAGCGCGGCAGGTGGAAACGGAAGGTAGATGGCTTTGAAGATTAAAAACCCAAGAGTCAGTATCCACCAAACAACGCACCAGCCAACTGAAAAGAGCAACGAGAGTTGGAAGAGGAAAGAAGCTCCTCCACTTGTACCGCTAGCGGTCGCCATTATCGCAATACAAAGGTCTTTCAGGCAAAGAGCTAAATGGGATATGCTGCAGTTTCTTCAGTTTCCGTTTAATACAGTATTGAGTGATCGATTTATTGGAGAAGAGGCAAGAGAATGAAACTAGAGGTGAAAAGTGAAGTAAATTGAAGGGTTGCTTTTTCTTTTGAAGCAACGTACTCTGAAAAGGGGCTAACACATTGCCTGCAGTTAAACAGCCGTTGTGCTGAAGGGAACATCTGACAGACTGAGCATCGAGGAAACGCATTTCAAAAAAAAAAAGAGACAGGCTTTGATTGCAGCTAATTTTGTGTCTTCATCACTTTCTTCTCGCTACCTCTTTCCTTTTTTCTTTCCTGCAATTGAAGGCAGTACTTTTCAGTTTCGATGAAAACAGTTCAATTAGATTTAAGCTAGAAAACTCACTACAACACATGTTACTCGAAGCATTTAACGTTTCGCATTTAGAGACTTTCATCACTATCTGAGACCTCGTCTCTCACGGTGGCCTTCCTTAACGCAGTCCGCCGCTCGCGCTCCCGTAGAGAGCTCAACGCCTCTTTCTCTTCCGCCTCCTTCTTGCGGTGCAGCCGTCGCTGAAGCACACGCACGTTCAGTCCTCGTAAATGATGCAGCTCCTCATCCTCACTCGGAAAGTCCACAAAATCGTATTTGTGCTCCTCACTTATTCGCCCGGCGTCTTCCGCAGAGTTGTTCTCGGAATCCTCATTCACAGTAGCCGTCTTTTCAGACAGAGGCGACTTTTGGCACTTTGCACAAACAGTAGCTTCCTCCGCGCATTTCTGGCATATGCGATGGTAAGGCAACGTCACGTTTTTTTCGTGACATAAATTGCAACGGCGAGCCAGCTCCTGAGTCACGTATTTACCGTAATCTACCTTCCATTGAATAATTTCGCAGCACCGCCGGCAGCACAAGCTAGTCATTACAAATTCTGTCCCTTTTGTAACGCACTCGTTCTCTTGCTTGTATCGATTTGGGTTAAATTTGCTTTTATTTAAGTAAGCCTGGCGAGAGCCCGGAACGCCGTTTTTGACAGAACGCTTCATGCCAGAAGAGGAGTCAAAAAGAAACGGATTGGAAAGATGTTGTCAGTAACCCTTTTGCAAAGAAGGCAGAAACTTCTAAATCGTCTCTTACCTTTTTGTCTGTCATTCAGATGACACCTTTCGGAAAAGAAGCAGCAGAAAAAGATAGGTACACAAAGGAACGATGACCTTGCTAGCAAAAAAAAAGGGTGCATATGCTGTTTGTTTCTCACTATCTGCGGTTCCAAAAATGTATTTGTTCTATATGGATCCATCCAATGTTTTTGAAAGCAGAAATCGAGGTAAAACAAAACTTCTGGTTTGAGTCGTAAACGCCGCTAATCGTCCTTGAAGCAGATCTGCGCTATATCGTGTGATTTCTTTTTGATGGCAATGACAGCTGTTGTCGTTTACTAACTAACATACGATTCCACCAGTTGAGTGCCACCGTGGTTTTCCTGTAAAAAGGGTTCCTCTTAATTTTGCCCATGTTTTCTTCGACGGGAGGATGCTTCCCCAGCCGCACAAATAGATGCACCGTTGAGTTGCCTCTGCCTCCCCGACTGCCAAAAAGCAAAACAGAAAAGATCGCAAAAGTCCTTAACGTGACGAAGAGCTACAGAAGAAGCTTCCTTATGCATTTTGTCCAGCGTCCACTCTTCCCATACGCCATCCACGGTGCCTTGTCACCCTCCCCCCCCCCTTCCTCCTTTCCCCCTTTCCTTCGCTCGTCACAACTTTTTCGTCGCAGTCCATTGTTCGTCGCGAGTGTCTCCCCTCACCTTTTTTCGATCTGTCTCTTCTTGGCAGCCGCCTTCGCAACATACGATGGGAATTACGACCGTCACTGCCTGCTCGGAAGAAGGAGCTACCTCTGATTTGCAATGCAGCGTAACTTTCCTTTCGTTGCCCATCAAAACCGGAAGCAAAGCACTTTTGATGCACACACACCTTTCCCCACTTAGTGTTGTGCGCAGACGCTGTAGCCGAACCGGAAACAAGGAGAGTGACAGAAAAGTCATTCTTGATTGAAGAGCTCTTGCTAAGGTTGTTTTAGCATCGTTCTCAACAGCCGCTTTTCTAGCTCACGTTGTCATCTCTTCTTTTTTTCCGAGCAATGCGACCCATAATTTGTGCTGTCGAAGTAAGGCTATGGGGTTGCTCGTTGTTAGCCATCTTACATCCTTGCTTCCGCAGAGTGTAGTGATTGGGTTAGTGTGTGAGTTCCGATCTTTTAGAATTTGGAGAGCTTCCAACCTTCCCAGCATGTCCGTTTTTTGACTTATGAGAGGTTTCAGGCTGTTAAACGCGACTTTTGTGCTTTCTTTTTGTTTTGCACGTGTGTGTGTGTGTGTGATTCAAAGAGTTTCCTTTACGCTTAGCTCTCTACAGCAGCTTTCTGGTTCAGGAGGTACGAGTGTTTGTTTCTAAAATCATCGCGGTTTCATTCACCAAACAGCGACGAAATCAATTGAAGAAGATTAAATGCTCACGTCTAATTCTAAGCATGGAACGTGATCGAAAGCTCTGCAAGGTACCCGTGAGCCTAACATTTTGAGTGCAACAGCTGCGTTCTACATGCTTCCTCAACTCGAAGCCTCGTCGCTTCTTGACCGATTTGTACCTTCCGCTTTCCGTTATGGTCTTGCTTCATTACTTCAACGCGTCTGTTTCCCACATTCTTTCCCTACCTCCTGAAAATGCGTTGCAACTTTTCATTCACAGATTTGTTGTATCGTCTCAGAACTGCAACGCTGCTCGCGGCCTCTAGTATTCTCTTTATTTCGCTTCTAACAATCTAGTTTTCCTCTCAGCTTCAACACAGTAGCAACGAAGAACCCACTTTTCTCTTGAGAATATCTTCTTTTCTTTTTTTCTATCTCCGTCATTGTTTACTTTTCTCTCGGTGTGTTTCTTTTTCTACATCTTGGGAGCACAATCTGTTTTTAGCCCTTTTTTTGCTCGTTTCCATCCATCAGCAGCCTTTTTCGCCTTTAAGGAAAAATTGCTGTTCATCATCGTTATTTATTTTCTCTTATACAACAACTAAGACGAAAAACTGAATACTTCTTCTTTGTATCGTTGTTGAACTGCAAACAGAAAGGCTTTGAATTTGATTTGTTTTAGAGTGCTTAAAGCCACAAAGAGGAATTGAAGGTCTTCCTAATACTTCTTCTATTCATAGGCTTTACTACACTTCCCAACAAAAACCGATATTTTCCTTCTCCTCTTATTTGAGTACGAAAAGTGATACAGTCACAGTACCGTTTCTTTCTCACCAAGAGAAATACTTAAGTGGCGTTCACTATTCACTCACTTTGCCGTTCGTCTTTTAAGTAACTAGTCCTTTTTTGTTCCAAAGGAACGTGTTCAGAAACACGAACTTTCCTCGACAGTTACAACTACTCCCGTATTCGCTCACAAAAAGAAACACAGTAGGATTCGCGACAGTGATATTTGCTGACTTGAACACATAACCAAGAGTCTAAGATAAGTAACTGTACCTGACAGCACAAGACATCGTCGTCGCATTGAAAATGTCCTTTTATCGCAATACGCATCCTGCTACTCCGCAGCTAAAGGTGGGCCAGGTGGTGGCGTATGACTACCTTTACAACAACAAGACGTGGCAGTGGACGCTGGGGACCGTGCGTGAGATCAACGAATACACCGCCACCGTCCAGCAATGGGGACTCCACACAGGCGACGCCGACACACTCCGCTCGATTCTCTCACGCGAGGTGGATGGGGAGGGCAACCGCATGAAGAGCTTTCAGGATTCTCTTGCACTCGCGCGTGACGCTTTGGCATCCACTCGTCGCAACAACGAGGACCGCGTCTCTCGTGCCCGCGACAACTACAACAGCGCAAGAGAGAAAATTGAGCTGATCGGAGAATACGTGTCACCTCGTCATTTGTCAGAACGCAGCCCTCGACCTTGCCGTCAACGTCCACCGGGCAAATGACGGTCGACAAGGGAATCGGCACAAGAACGGAGGTCTTCGCGAACGAGGTCACCTGCTCAGGACGCGCCGACGCCTTCTTCGCGGCCAACTCGTCTTTGAGCGTCGCGATCTTCGCGCGACACGCCTTCATTCCCGCGATGGCAGCGCCAATCGCGTCGTTGTGCTCTTGGATGCTCTTGTCGTTGTTGAGGTTGTTGTACGCCTGCTGGTACGCAAGCGCAGTCGTCACCCAGGCGTGCAGGCTCGCCACCACCGGCGAGTCCCGCGACGCCGCCTTGTAGTTCAGCTTAGGATCCTGCTCAAAGGTGCGCAGGAGAGTGTCCGGAGACGGGTAGAGCTTCGCCACCACATCCGTCTTGATGATGCTGTCGAGCGCGTTGGGCTTGCGGTACTCCACCTGCACGTCGGCCCACTCGTAGAACTCGACCGCCGTCGGGTCACACTTCGCAACGGACAAGGCGGACTTCAGCACGGCGACGGCAACAGGAGAAGGGGCAGCTTGCACGGTGACTTTGCGAAGGTCAACCTCATACGGATGCAAAGGTGATGCGATTTCAGCTGAAGAGTCTAATGAATGCAGTTACGTCCGGATACGTTGAAGCAGCTGCTGAGTTAAACACGCTCTCTCTTTATACCGCAGAGCTTGAAGAAAAGCGGCTGTACTTGCAGGAGCACTACTTTGCCACAGTTTTGCGTGGGAGTGGCGCTCGTCAAACTGCGGAAAAGTCCGATGAACTGCAAAGGGAGATGGAGCGCCTGAAAGAAACTGTGGCAGAGCTGGAGAAGCATGACGAACGTTGGTCACTCGACCACGGCGGTGCCACTCTTACTACTGTGCACAAGAGAACCTATGCAGGGGACAAATGGCTGGATGTTGTTGCTGAAAGACCTGAAGAAGTGCGCACTGCCTTCGCTTACGACGCTGCATTAGCCGCCCATGTGGATCCGAACTCGGTACAGGCTATGGATTTCCGCCACGAGGCCGACAGGATGGTGGTGAAGTGCGAGATTACGCATCCGGCAAAGATGTCTCGCTCAGAACTGGAAGAACGTCTTTCCCAGGTACCTTCGCGACTAATGGACTACATTTACAACCACCGTGATGCCCCCAAAACTGGTGTGGACCGGGCGATTGCCGAAATCTGCCACGCATTAGGCATTGACGACAGCAAGTTTGCAGGGCTCGGTTTTGATGAGTTTATTCATCAACTCGCCGGTTTTGATTACTTGGGTGACAAGGATGCTTACGAAAGCGAAATCGGTGACCTTCTCATGCTGCTCGACAAGATCAACAACGAAAACCGTTCGCTTCAGTACACGCTCGAAAAATCAGCTGAACGTTTTAAGAAGCAGGCCGCTGCGCTTCAGCGCGACCAGGACGCACTCAACAGCAGAAATGCCGAACTTGCAGACGAGATTGACCGCTTACGAGACCTCGTTGGAAAGCTAAAAGACCTTGCCGACAAACAGGCAGGAGAACTCGAACAATTCCACGTTCAAGAGCAGCAGGCTAAGCAACTTCGCGCGCAAAGGAACCTAGCACAAGTACCGGCAACTGCTGAAGAGCCAATCTATGCAGTCACGATGGATGAGCTGAACGCACAGAAAGCTCAATGTGAAGAAGCTGAGCAGCGCGCCGAAGAACTCGATCACAACCTCCAGGCTCACAAAGAGGCATTGCAACAACTTAACGATCAACTCCAAGAAGCAGAAAAGAAACTCGACGAGGTCAACGGAGAACTTGACGAAGCCCTCGACGACCATGCGAAACAAGAGGCCGAGCTCGCTGCGTTCCGCCAGAAGCGCCAGGATGCGAAGGACGCACGCGCGGACGAGCCGGAGCTGGCTGCTGCCGATGGCGTCCCGCCGCGCAGTGACCGTGCCAGCAGCCGTGGCCGTCCGGCGCAGCAGGTGGACCCCACGAGGGAGCCTGTGGACCCGCAGCAGATTGCGGACGAGCCGCTGTACGCCGTGACGCTCGACGAACTGAAGGACAAGCAGGATGCGCTCGCCAAGGCACAGGATGATGCGGATAAACTGGCTGACGAGCTGGAGAAGCAGAAGGCGGAGAACGAGAAGCTCGCGGATGAAGCTGAGAAGCTCGCTGCGGAGCTGGCCGACCGCGACGCCGAGG